TGCTGAAGGAAGAGCTGTTGTGTATTTATAATTTCTTAAATTTTAGTATTACCAATGATTATAAACAAAAAATTAATAGTGTTATTAAGAATTATGCATCTTAATCATTAAGATCAATCTTATTGTTGTATAGAGACACAATGATTTAAGGTAGACCATCAAAACCAGAAGAATTTAATAATGTTGAAGATATAATAGATAAATCATATACAATTATTGGAGTTACTGGATTATAAGACCCATTAAAAGAAGGAATCATTAAAGCAGTTTAATAATGTAAAGAAGCAGGTGTAACTGTCAGAATGGTAACAGGAGATAATTTTGATACTGCAGTAGCCATTTCAAAGAAAGCTGGCATATTACCACCAAATTATGAACATCATGAAGATTCACTTGCAGTTATGGAAGGAAAGACATTTAGATAAATGGTTGAAGGATTAGAATATGAAAAAGATGATGAAGGAAATGAAATACCAAAAGTAAAAAATTTAAGCAATTTCACTACTATTGCATAAGAATTAAAAGTCTTAGCAAGATCTTCTCCAGAAGACAAGTTTTTATTAGTTACTGGCTTAAAATAACTTGATAATGTTGTAGCAGTTACAGGAGATGGTACAAATGATGCACCAGCATTAAAAAAGGCAGATGTTGGATTTGCTATGGGAATTTAAGGAACAGAAGTTGCCAAAGAAGCAGCTGGTATTATACTTTTAGATGATAATTTTGCTTCAATTGTTACTGCAATGAAATGGGGTAGAAATATATTCGATTGCATCAGAAAGTTTCTTGTGTTTTAAGTCACTGTCAATGTTGTTGCTGTTTCTATGGCATTTTTGGGAGGAGTCTTCTTAAAAGAATCTCCATTAACTAGTATTCAAATGTTATGGGTTAATCTTATTATGGATACATTGGCTTCTTTGGCTTTGGCAACTGAACCTCCTACTGATGAATTGTTGACACGTAAACCATATGGTAGAAAAGAACACATGATTACACCAGGAATGTGGAGAAGTATAATATGTCAAGCAGCATTCTAATTATTTGTTCTTTTGATCATATTATTTAAGGGAGATTCAATTTTTGGTATTGAATCTAGTAGAGGACATAGATTAGATGAAGAATATAAGTAATTATCTATTTTATCTTATTTTAGTCCTGTCTATTAGGAACATTATACAATCTTCTTCCATATTTTTGTATTTTTGTAAGTCTTTAATGAAATAAATGCTAGAAAATTGAAAAAGACTGAATTGAATGTATTTGATGGATTCTTTAACAATTACCTTTTCATAAGTGTTATTGTTGGAACAATAGTTGTTCAAATTTTGATAGTGTATTATAATAAGATTTAATTAGTTAATTTGGTGGAAAAGCTGTGAAAGTTACTCCTTTAGATTTTGCTCATCATGTTGTTTGTATTATAATTGGCATGTGCAGTTTGGCTGTAGGATACTTTATTAAATAAATTCCTGATCAATACTTCTAAACAATTGAATTATTTAAAGAGCAAGTTGCTCCTGAGGCTGATCCAGATACTTTATAAGTACACATATGAATTTTCTATAATTTTTAGGGTAAATTCAAACGACCCTCAACATTCCTTAGAAAGAAGAGAGCCATAGAAAATAAATAAACAAATAAGGGTTCTTAAGAAATAGAAATGAAAGCTGGAAACAGTGGTTTTAAATAATGAAATTTTATTATTTTTAAGATTAAGAATTTAAATTATAAAACTTAACTATCAAGGTTATAAAAATGATTTCTATTATGCATATTTTATGAATGATTGTGTCAACTAAGTTTAATCTGTGTAAATGTAGAAGCTTATCTAATTTTAATATAAGGTTTTTTATTATATCAAATCCATCATCGAAGGGAATACAATTAATGCTTATTAACAACATTATTGATCATAATAGATATTTTAAGAATATTAAATAGTATTATAGGGTCCAATCTTCTTTAGTAAGAAATTTGTAATAGGATGATTAAGTTAAAATTCTTAATTATTGTTGAAATGAAAATCTTCATATGTTTATGGATTCAAAATTAGAGTATTATCTGGTTATAAATCAACTTATGTGCTTGAAAAAAAAGTAAACTCAAATTTGATAAGTTTTAAAAATTCTATTTTAGTAGGACTTTCTTATGAATCTTCAGCAACTTTTACAATAAAATCTAATTCTTAAAGACAATTTTTTTAAATGATGTTATTATGTAATGGATTAAGATTCAATTCATTTGTAACATTTAGATTAATAGTAGAATTGGAATCAGATTACTTTAGACATTATTCATATATGTTAATTATAATTTATGAAAGGAATTTAGAGTTTACTTTAATCATAAAATCATCTAGATTTAATTAATAAACAAATTTCTTTTTTTATTTCTAACTGATATATGAAAAATGTTATTGTAAGTTAATAAGAAAGTGTTTGATATTAAATTTGTTATAAGTTGCCAAAAAACTATCAATTTAAGTGGAATTAACAAAAAAATAAAAGTTTTAAAAATGATTCATAATGGATAAATTAATACATTTGATTTACCAAAATTTATTAGTATCCAATGAACCCAATTTTAATCCAATTATTTCATTATATAAATGTTAATGTGATGCTGAAAGTTGATTGGCAGCATATTAAATAACTTTACTTAAGAATCGAATTTATTCTTCACTCTTAGACAACATTTAAGGTTATTTTTCTTCTTTAATAATAATAAGTAAATAATTTTTGCCATAATTAATAGTTTTGATATCTATACTGACAATGATATTTTTTTCTTTCACTTAATTATAAAACACTCCTTCCATTTATTCATTCTGTTCATTTGGTTATTATTGTTCATCTTATAAATTTTATTTAATCTTATAAAATGCAAATTCCTCTAAGGTTTATTTCTTATTAGCTAATCTTCTCATAGATAAATCACCTGATCTTTATATATTAATGTTTTATAAATCAACACAGGTTGGTATTTAACCTTTTGGAACAACATAAATATTTCTCATCATTTCAATTAAAGTTTTTGTATCTTCAACATTTAAGTTTGTTTAACTAATTTAATTTTGAAATTCTAATTAGAATGAGTTAGTTCTAACATTAAGACTAAGTGCTAAAAAGGAATGTGGTATATATTCCTAAGTTATATCTCTTATTATAAAATATATGTATTTACTTCAATTTAAGATTGTAGGTCATATAAGAGAAGGCCAAGCGAAACATGAATTCATTATAATGAGAATATAGTAGTATCAAAAATTGTGTCATAAAGGTTAGGATAATATATCCAAAATCTTAGACAGTAAATACATCTAAAATATAAAGTTAGACTGCTGGAACTATTAAAAGAGTTAATAGTCTTAATTTAAAATGACTAAAGAGGAATTGTATTATTGCAATAGTAGCAGATGAATATCCATAAAGAAATGGTGATCTTATATAATTAGAACTACAAATTACTTTTACGAACTTTGAGATGCAACATACAAGCTTACTGCTAAAGATGTCATATACATTAAAAAGTAATAGTATCTAACCTTCGATGCTAATTTCTGACCATAAATTAAAGCTAAGAATATAACTAAACTTGAAAATGCTAAAGTCACCATTACAATAATTTATCGCCCACCCATCAAATTAAATATGAAGAAAAGGATGCACAATAGAAGAATGATTATTTCTATAATTCTAAAGTATGATTGTCTGTATTTATTCATCTCAACCTCATAAAGATCTTCATATTATTTGTCAATGAAGCTCAGGGTCCATTTATTAAATGGTAAATTATTCATAATTATATGATCAGCTGCATTACAAAGAATATAATAAAATTATACTCAATCCAACTTAAACTCCCAGAAATCCATATCCAACCTTTCGACAAATAGCCTCAAACTCTCCACTCTAAGGTACCTCAACTAAACTCATGGCTATAAATAATCCTCCCAAAAAACCTCCCAATTCACCTAAATTATCATAAAAACTATTCTATCCAGATCCAAAAGTAAACATCATTACAAATATTATCACTATAGCTACAAAACATACCACAGCACATTTCATTTCTCCCAAAGCATCTAATTTCTACCAATATAGAATTATATACTATTAAATATATGATAAATTATATACTCCTATCAAGAATCCTACACAAGCATATATACATGCAAAAGTTTCTGAGTATGTTGTATATTTACAAATGTTACATAAATCTCCAAATAAGGCACCACTTGCTCCTGCTCCAAAAAATACTATTATTGCTAATTGCAATCCTTATGTGGCTTCTAAAATTGAATAACAAATCAATATCATCAATATTGCAATCACTAAATTATAGAAGTCTCCAACCAAGAGTAATGATGTTACCCATCTGAAAATCTCAAAATTATATTTAACATCATTTGGATTATTTCCACCAAATTGATTTAATGTACTCCTGTATACTGATAAAAATCTATCATTTTTATTAACACCTCCAACTCCTAACATTGTGAAGTATAGAATTATTATTAGAGCTGAAATTATTGTAGTAAATGATAGAAGTTTAAGTTTTGGACAAAATGATTTCTTCAACATATCAAAAAAATTCTCTCCTCTTGGGTCTGCATCAATTCCTCCTAATGTCTTTAGATGAACTTAATTACCAAATACAGACATCATCTATTATCCTCCATTACCCCTAAAGTTCTGATAATTATTTTACTAGTCATTGTTATCACCCAATCTATGTATATTTGCCATTTTATATTTTAATTATTCAATTTTATAGATTATTATAATTATATATAAAATTAACAGATTATAGAAATATCAAAAAGAAATGTGAAAAAATAATTATTATTCCAAATATTTTGTATTTTTTTTTTATGAAAACTAAAACTAAATTATACAATAAATGTTATATAATATTTTGATAAACCATTGCAATATTTGTCCTACTTAAACATATATAGAGCTCTCATAATAATTAATTTATCTATTATGAATTCAAAACATCCTGTTGAATTATTGAAGAAAAAGATCGATCCTGAAGCCATCATGTATAAGTTTAGATGGAGTAACAACTCAGTATCAATAGAACCAATGACATAATTAACTCCTGAAATGTTGGTTCTAGTTCATGATTATGAATTAAAACAATTAGGCCATGACCCTTAAGAGCCTAAACCTTAAAAACATATTAAATAGGATACTCAAGTAATAACTTAAATTAATAATGGAAAAAAACAAGAGGAACAAAAAAAGGAAAAGAAATCAAATGATAAAATTGAAAAAGTGGATAAAACAGAAAAAATTGTTGAAAAGCCATAAGAAAAACATTAAGAAAAATAAAAACAATAATAACAATAGAAAGATCCTGATATTATACCCAATAATAATACAGGAAATGGACCTCATAAACCAAGAAAGAGTAAACCATGTTAAGTGAAACAAGTTAGACATGATAATGGAAGAGTAGATTTTTTGGTGTGTTTCGAAGATTCAGCTGATTAAAAGTGGATTTCATTAGATGAAATGAAAGAAAAGTCTCCTGTAGCTGTTTGCGAGTTCTTATTAGGGAAAGTGAAATATGGAGGTACAATGAACAAAAAATGATTGAGAAATTATTGTTTTTAATAATTATCAATATTAATTTAATATAAAAATTTTAATTTTCTTTGTGTTTAAATTTTATATTATTAAATTTACAAGAAAAAATTATATAAAAATAAAATAATAAAATTAAGTTAAGTTAAGAAATCAAAAATTCCTTATTAAATACCTTAATTATTTCAATTACAAATTTTCAATAAATCAATGATGTAAAATATAATTTAGTTTTACAATAAAAATTATTTGGATATTCATAAATTTTATGTTTTTAAAAAATAAATATTCAAAGTATTCAATCAATTTCAAAGAATAATATAGATTGATTAATAAAATTTGATATCAATAAATAAATTAGAAATATATATATTTTTATTATATAAAATGAAGACATAAGATTAATTTTAATAGTATTTTGATATATTAATTTATAAACATAAATTATTTGATAATAATAGAATATATAAATCTCATTAATATATTAGAAATCCTATCAAAATTTATTTAAATTAGGAGATGCATTATTTCTGTTTATCACCTTAGCAAAATCAATATATCTTTTTGAATAATTCGGTCTTTTTTAATTATTAAATACTTTAATTTTAAATAAGCTTATGCTACTTTACTATCATCTATTTAATGATCATATTTTGGTCTTTCTTTATTCTATATTGCTTTTGAATAATTAACAAAACAGATAGATTTCTGTTTTTGATAATCTGCTACAGAATCATGAAGGACTTATAAAGTAAACCATGGTTTTCTTTTTGTTTATTTGTTTAAAGGAATAGGTTTTTAAATTGGTTCCCAAGACAATGAAATGTTGAGTCCTTGCTATTAAGAAATATCTCTCTTTTCATCAAAGATAGTGATTCTAGGCTTGCAATTAAATGATATAGATGGAGTACGTGGGCGTATAAATTTCCAATTCTTATCAGAATTTTAATCAATTTTAGTTTTAAAACAAGGAATTGTAACAACTTCTCTTCCTGCTGTAGTATGAAAATGTTGACTAAATGATTTTAAAGGTATAATATTCTCATCTTGTTGAATAGATTCTATAGGTCTTTTGACTTTAAGAATTTAACCTAGAGATTTGTCAAGAAGTATTTATTTAATTTTTGATTTTTCTAACATTAAAAATAATATAATTTACGTGTTATGCTATCTGTGCTTCCTGATAAAATTGGTAAAGCATTTGGAAATGGTACACTTGCAATCTCCTAGAGTAGAAATAATAAATTAGCTGAACTAATCAATTCTAAATATACTGAAGATCTAGTTGAAGCAATCAGAATTTTGTATTGTGTATAAATCTTATTTATAATTGTAGTAATATTTACAAAATAAAGATCTAACTCTATATATGTCTAGAATAATTAATTTGCTTCCTAGAGAAGATCTTGAATTAAAGAGATTATGTCAAATATTGATTAGTGAATTTGCAGCTTAGCCAAATGCAAGAACAAGTAAATCACAAGGTGATGTACTTATTTTGGCTACTGCTCCCATTTTTAAGGATTTAACTAATTTAAACACATCTATAAAATTAAATGCTTTGAAAACATTATCAAGTTTAAGGATCTAAGAACTTACTCCTATGTTATTCACAGCAATAAAAAAGATTTAAGCTGATAAAAATCCATTGGTAAGAAGAAGTGTTGCATTATCAATTCTAAAAATGCATGATATGTGTAGTGATGATGTTTAACCAGATGATTATAATGATATTATTAATTTTCTGCTTAAAGATACTCATTAGACTAGATTATATGCTATTTATGTTATTTTCAAAATTACAGGAGATCTAACAATATTACATAAATATTATTTTTAACTTATCAAAGATTTGTTAAATTTTAATAATTTTGATTTGGAAAGAGCTCTTCAATTATTATATTAATATAGTGTGATGTATTTCAAAGAAGGAGATAAAGATCTAATAAAATTATTGGATGCTTGTGAAATACTTTTAAGATTACCTTATCCAGGCATAGTTTTAGCTATATCTAGATTATATCTTTAGTTTCCTTAAGAATCTAGAATTAAGAAACTTATAAGAACTGTTGTTAAATTTTTAAATATAGGATCTGAATCCAAATTTATAATCCTTTAAATGTTACATTAATTAGCTCTCTCATATCCATTATATGTGAAAGAACATTATAGAGCACTTTCAATTCTATAAATTGAAAAATTATATTGTAAATTACTTAAATTAGAAATTCTATCTTTATTAATAGATGAAAATAATTTTAATAACATTTTAGAAGAATTATTATATTAAGCCAGATCTAATTAACCTTAATTGGTAGCTGTAGCTGTAAAGTTATTATCTAAAACAACAATCAAATTTCCAAAATTTATTAAACGTACTATTAAATCTCTTCTTGATATTTTAAAAACAGGTAGTTCTGATACTAAGAATCATGTGATAGCATCATTTTGTAATTTAATTAGTACTTAAGATAATAAATTACCTCTTTTAGCAATTTGTCTTTAAAATATAGATGATATTAGTGATATTAGATACAAAGCTACTGTTATTAAACTTCTTAGATTAGAAATAGAACAAATACCTACAATTGCTGCTGAAAATTTAAGAAAATTATCATTAAATTTTTCTTAATAACATGAAAATGTTAAATATGAAGTATATATATATTTTATATTTTCATAGATTTTGTTGCTTAGCCATTAATTATTAGCTATTCACTAAGAATAATAAATTGAATTACTTCATTAATATATAATGACTTTGGCTAAATTTGATTCTAGTCTTTTAGTAAGAGATCTATATAGAACATTAGCAAAATGTGTAGATTTTAAAGAAAACATTGTTTAAGAAGAAGAAAATAGTTCTACTCTTCCAATAGAAACCTAAAAACTTCCTATAGGATCATTATCACATTTGGTTGGTATGCATTTACCTGGATTAAAGTTACCAACTTATTTAAATGAAGATACAAGTGAAAAAAGAAAGGCTGAAATAATAGTGGCACCATAAAAAGTTGAATAACATTAATAATAATAATAACAATAATAATTAAAATAACAACCACAATCCTAAAAATAATAATAAACATAATAAGTTGAAAACAAAAAAGAAGTTCTTAAAAAAGTAGAAGAAGATGTTAAAAAGCATTATTAAAATTTAGATTAAGTTTTAAATGACTTCTTTACCGATTGATATTATTAATTTATGTATGCTAAGTATTATCAAAGTAATAGTTAATTTCTAATTATATATCATAAACATTCTCTAATATAAATATTTGATTCTGAAAGAATTATTAGATCTTATTCTCTATATTGTTGATCAAAGATTTCTTCAGGAAGAATGAATATCTAAATTTATTGTAAACTAATTATTACTTGATAAGAATTATTTTAATGATTAATTATTTATTAAACATTAAAAATCACTTACAAATTTTCAAGTTAAGCTGCTATAACTCTATTATTTTTATCCATTCTCACATGTTAAAAATTTGGATAATTATATAATCCCATTAAAATTAAATCTTCAGAATTTAATTAAACTCTAATTGGAGATGGTTTCATATCTAAATTTTATTAATAACCATTCTATTTATTTGTAATTATTTATTAATATTAGATATATTAAGAATTATTAATAATTATAAACCTATTTTATAACTTATACTTTACTTTTCATCTGTACTTAATATAATATCTTAAATAAGATCTCCTAAACCTTCAAATATATTTACTTATTTCATTGTTTTAATATTATCAAATATAATCACTATACCTTATTCTGTACCTATAACAATAGATCCATTAATTGAACATCTTACAATTAAATAATTATCTTTTAAATTTTAATCTATTTCATTAACTAATATAATTAATTTTAATATTACTTTTATAAATAGATTTACTCTCATCTAAAACATAAACTGATTAATTATTTAACAATATGAATTATTTTTCATAAGAACAAACATCTGCGATTTTAAAATTTAATTTAATAATATCCTGAGTATAAGTATAAGTTCCTAAATCAATTAAGTATAATACACATTAATACTATAAATATAACACTAATATTTTTGAATTATAGTCTAGATATGTTTTATCAAACTTAATAAATTAATTAATTTAATATGTTTTATTATTTTTGATAAATGATATAGTTTTATCTTCTAAAATAATTAAATTATTATTATCATTATAAATGATTTTCTTAGTAGTTGCTTACTTTAAATCCCCTTTTATTGTATGCAAATCATCTTTATAAATGTATTTTTTAAATTCAATTTATTAGTTATATGATTCATTTAAATTAATAGTAGTTGTTGTTGAGATTTAACTAAAAGAAGTGCCAGTTTCTAATTATAAATTTTATTTCTCATTCATGCATATTCTGAATTTCTCTAAAATAATAGCCATTGATGTGGATCCATACAAAATATCAAATTTAAAATATAATACAATCTAATTCAATCCATCAAAATAAACCCAACTTAAATAATTTTGATCTTTATCTACTTCAAAACTGATAAAGTCTTTTATTGATTAAATTAATAATAATTATCTATCTTTATTGTATAATTCCATTCTACTCTCTGTTATCGAAATAATATTTAAAGACATTATAACTAAAGGATTGATGAGCCTTATTACAGCTAATTTAGGACAAAGTATATATAATTTTCCAACATATAGTTATTTTATAGTATGAATATCTTACTACAATAAATAATTGATAACATCTCCTATAATTTCTTTATCTTATGTAGTTCTAGTAGTTAGTAATGATAAAATTGATCTATCTACTCTCAAAATGGTTTTTGTCATTTATTTTTGTTGCACTATATTATGAATCTACAATTTTAACGATTATTTTGTAGGAATTAGATTATCTAAATCATTTAAGTTTTTTGGGAGGGCCTTTTTGTTTTACTGAATCCAAATTAATTAATTTAAATACAATTTAAAATTAATAATTTTTAAATTTTCTTGTTTTGTGTATTTTTGGAAATGTATTCTTATACTCCATTTAATACCTTAAATGTCTCTATTTTAAAGTTTAAGTGATACATTAAATCTATACTAAACTCTTCTACCGAATCACTTAAAGTTGTATGTTGTATTGATTTAAAAAATGAAATATTGAAATAAAAATCTCCTTCTTTTTATCTAATTACATTATTATAAGATTTAGAGGCTCTATTTAATCGAACAATTAGAATATGATCAAACTCATCATTTGATAATTTGTCAAACACAAATTCTGAATTAGATGATCTAAACATAAAACAAATTTTCTTACATTTTTGTATATTTAGCTTCATCTTATTTAAAGATTGTTCCTAAAATAAAAAACTCAAAAATCTCTTATTTTACTAATGGTTATTATGTTCCTACAACTTTATTGAATATATCCTTAATAAAATGCATTTTTATAATATAATCATTTTTTTATTTTCCAAATAGTAAATATATAAATTAAGCGAGCATGCATCAATAAATTTTTTTGTACAACATTCATTTAATATTGATCTAATTTTCCTCCTGGTGGTGACCATGGTTTGGCTTTAAAATTAAGTAAGATCTAAAATAAAATAAAGTTTATATTTACTTTAAAACATTCATTAGAATTTGATTTAAATGCATAATATAAAGGTGATAATTATTTATTATCTAATGCTTCAATATTACTACAATTCTTAATTAACAATTTAACCAATAGAGCATTATTACAAATACAAGCAATATGTAATGGAGTTTACCCATCTTTGTTTCTGCTATGAATTAGATATGGCTCTTATGATAAAATAAAAGTTATCCTATCATAATTGCCTTCAATTATTTATTCATAAAATGAATTATTATATTTTATTGGATATTCAAACCAAAAGTTAACTCGACATTTATATTTGGCTACAAATAAAACTTATTTTATAATATTTTTAAATCTTTCTCTAACTTTATGAGAACAACTAACTAATTTAGTTCTTGATTTAAGCATTTTATGACATGTAATAGGTATTCTTTTTTTACTTTATTCATTGGTTAAATTTTAAATCTATTAAAAAACAGATTTAAAAGTAGATTATTTCATATTAACCATATCATTTATTTGATTATCATATTTTTTTTCTGGTATAATTTATTTATTTGACTAATGAAATTGAAATCGAATTTATTGATTTTGAATTGATTTGATTTAAGCTGTTACTATTTCTTTATCAATATCCTCAGCATAAATCTAATTGTCTTATCTAGATAAACTTCTTTTATGAATTAAGTTACAAATCTCATAATTTGATAAAAATCTACTTAATCTTCTTCTTGATAATTCATCAATATAATCTTCTTGAAATTACTTTTTATTAGTCAATGCATTTGAAACCTAGCTAATTTAATTTGTTTAACTAGATTTTCTTTCTGTTTTAATTTAAGATTCATATCCAGCAACAACAGAATTTCTTCTTGTTTTAATTCTTGTTGTATTAATCTAAGATTAAGAGTATTTCTCAACTATACTATTTTTCCTTTTTAATTACCAAAAAGCTAAGTGTTTTTAATCTGAATTGGTTTGTTTAGATTGTAAAAGTTATTCACTGTATTAACATAAAACCTTATTTGTAATTAATTCATAATACATTAACTTTTTTGTCATTCGAACATAATTAAGATTATTTTGGTTTATCTTTCCAAGTATAGTAAAAGTATTTTTCATGAGTTTCCATATCAAACTTATAAATAAAATAAAAATAACATATGAATAAAAATCATAATAAACTTAAACAAAATAAATTATTGATCAATATCAATTTAATATTTATATCTCTAATCTTATTTTATCATATAAACATTTTTAAATGACTCAAATTATAAGAGAAGAACAAAAATAATATATTTACAATATTTATACTAGTCTAAAAGTATATTTAATTTTAATTACTTTATAATTTTATAAAACTGAGAAAGTAGAAGAAAATTATAATTTTTTTAATTAGATAAGGTCTTACAAAGTGACCAATAATACTATTTATCTAAAAAAGCACCTATTCCATATAAGAAAAAAAGCACACTATAATAATTCTAATAAGCGCTTATTAAAATAAAACACTATACAAATAAAATCTATAAAATAGATTGAAAAGCAAAATATAAAAGTTTTGATTAATTGTAAATAATTTTTGTAATTAATTAAAAAAAATTAAAATCAGGACAATGAAGAATAGTATATTATTATTAAAACATAAGTTATATCAATTATAAAATTAAATAACATTTTATTATGAAAACTGATATATATTTAATATAAAATAATAAATGAGAAAATATAAACCAACATATAAAATTATTGTGAATAGAGGAATACCTTCTTTGAGAAACAATTAAGAATAAGAAGAAACAGAATCACTTCCAGTCATTAAACCTAAATCAATAGCAATAGGCTCTACAAAGAATTTTGAGATAAAAAAGGTTAGAATTAAAAAGGCCATTACAGAGGAAAGATAAGAGATAAACTTAAAATAGGGCAAATTACATCCCATTTAAAAAGAAGAATCTCCTCCATTGAGTGAAATAAGATAGTATCAATCTTTAATTGATTAAAAACTAAAAGAAGATAATAATAGATCGGTATCAACTATCAAAAAAGAAAAATAAAATCATTCGAAATCGGAAGTAAATGAAAATTTAGAAGATAATTTAGATGCATATGTAAAGATTTATTATTCAATAATTAATTTGATGGATACAATGAGGAAAGTAATATTATTTCATTTTTAATAATTAAGAATGTAAGCGATTAAGTAGAATAAATAAACAGGTTTTAAGAAATAATTGATGGAGTGCATTTTTAAGCATTAGAAAATCTTATAATTGAAAATAGCAAGAAATTTAGATAAATTTTAATATTGATAAAATTAGGAGTAATAAATAATAAAATCATAAATATTAGATTGTTGTTATAGTGAATAGTTTTTTTGATTAATAGGTCTACTCAGCTAATAATGTGAATTTCAGAAATTTATTGATTTATAATCTTTAAAACTATTTTTTTCTAGGAGAATTCATTATTTAAAAAACATAAAAATAAGAATTGGCTACTATAATTATGTAAAACTAAAAGCATTTCGGCAGTAAGAAAGTAGAGTCAAGTATTTAGATAAGATAAAATGTTGAATTACTATAAGGATTATATAAGTCTATAAGTAAGTAATCCAAAGATCTTTATCAATTTTTAAATTCATTTTTTAGATTAATCCCTAATTAAAAAATAGTTGAAAGTAATTTAATGCTCTAAAACTTTATATCCCTATATTTTACAAGATAATAAACTTATCACGGATTATTGGGTATTCCATTGTTAAGTGTAGCTCATAAACCCTATCTTCCTAATGAAACTACCCATTAATTTACACTAATATTAGACATGGATGAAACTTTGATTCATTTCGTTGATTAAACTAAGAGCTTTTTAGTAAGACCATATGCAGAGTAATTTCTATAAGAAATGAGTAAATATTATGAAATTGCAGTATTTACTGCTGGATTACCAGATTATGCTAATTGGGTTCTTGATTAAATTATTTTTAATAAATACATCTAATATAGATTATATAGATAACATGCTATGTAATATTAAAAACATTTTGTTAAAGATTTGTCAAGACTGGGCAGAAACATGGCTAAATGTATAATAGTAGATAACATTGCAGCAAATTATTAACATTAAGAAGAAAATGGGATTTAAATTAAGACTTGGTATAATGACTCAGATGATAAAGAATTGCTTAAATTAGGAGTATTTTTAAGAAAAATAGCAGAAGAAAATTGTTAAGATGTTAGAGATGCTCTTAAATAATATAATAATGTCTAAGTATACTGATTCTCTTTATCTAATTAATAAATATCTAAATAAAAATTAATTAATTAACAATGTCTTCATTTAGACCACAATCCTCTTAAGTTATTTCAGTCAGATCACCTAGCAGAAGTGAGTATACTAAATTTTATATTAGTTATTCCTCCTATTATTAATATGGGAAGATCATATGTAATACCTGCTGCACAAAATTTGGCTACTACTGTTATTGTAAAAGAAAAGAATGCAGGATCATATAATAATGATAAAGAAGTAGATGAAGGTGCAAAAGATGAATTAGAATAGTGGAAGAAAAAGTGTTTTTCATTAGAAGCTTAATTAGCTAAATATGAGATAGATAATGAAATTGTACTGAATTTTGAGATATTTTTAGAAAGATGAATTATAATCTAGGATATTAGGTTCATAAGAAGATGTTAAAAAGTTTTAGATAGATATTACTAAAGCACAAGCTGATTTAGATAATTAGAAATCTGAGATGAATAAATTGATTATTGAGAATTAAAAATTGTTAAATTAATAAGTAGAGGTTGAAAGATTAAAGAAATTAGTGGCTGAAAGAGAGGATACAATTACTCAAGTATCTAATAATATTACTTATATAGCTTTTGTAAAAATGCAAGGAATATCAAGAATAATTATAAGAGCTTGAAGCTTTTTAACATGCTCTTTAAGATATGCATAATCAAAATTAAGGGAAAGAGTAAATGATTGAATAGTGGAAATAAAAATATTATGAAAATGACAACAAAAAATAAAAAGAAATTGATGAACTTAAAAAAAAACTTGCTGAATTTAATCCAGCAGAAGTTCAATCTTTAAAAACTTAATTTGAAAGAGAAAGATAAGAATGGCAAAATCAATAAAAAAAATACTAAACTGATTTAGCTGATGCCCTTAAATAATTAGATCAATGGAAAATTAAATATAATGTAATAAAAATCTTTTATGATAGAATCTTGATCTCTAACATTAATAATTATAATCTAATCAAAAAGAATCACTTGCTAGAGTTGAGACTTTGTCTTAAGAATAAAATAAGTTGTCTGCTCAAATTCATTAATTTAATGATGATAAATAAAAATTATAAATCGAATTGGAATAAACCAAAGGATAGCTTAAACTTCATTAAGGCTTAATTGGAGAATTAGATAGGATTAAAAAATTATTATCAGATAAAAGTACTGAATTATAATAAATTTTGTAATAATCACAATAAAAAGACATAGATTTAAACAATTAAGAATTGACTATTAATGAATTAAACCAAAAAATCAAATCATTATCACTTTTATAATAAGAAAATTAAAGATTATAACATGAAATTGAAGAATCTCATAGAGAAAACGAAAGACTTAACCAAGATAATTCTTAATTAATGAAAGATATTGATAAATTTAAACTTTTAGAATAAGAGAAATAGTAATTAGAAAGTAAAGTAAGTATGTTGGCATCAGAAATAGAGAGATTAAAAGTTTAACTTAAATAAAAAAATGAAAAGATTTTAGAATAATAAGAAGATTTGAAAAATTTATAAGAATAATTAAGAGAAATAGATTAATTAGAAAATTTAAATTAATAATTATAAAAAGAATTGGAATAAAAAGATAAAATCATAGAGGAATTAGAATAGAAATTATAAGAACTCAATATTCTTGAATAAAAATTGGCTGATGCTAATAATAAAATTTATGATTTAGAAAATAAGGTAGCTATGTTAAGTGCTGAATCTTAAAGATTGAGATATTTGAATGATTAAAAAACAGAATAATTGAAAAATGCAGAAGAATAATTGTCTCATTTAAATATTTTAAAAGAAAATTTGAGTTAATTATAAAATAAATTTGATGCATAATAATAAGTTAATTAAAATTATTAAGATGAATTGGAAAAACTTAGAGGCTAGTCAAATTAAGCAAATACTAATATAGCTGAATTAAAAAGATAATTAGAAGAATAAAAAGCATAAAATATTGTTCATAAATAATCAAATTCTGAATCTGTAATTGCAGAATTGTAATAATAGCTTAGTACTTTGTAATAAAGTTATAAGAAAGTCTCAGAATCAAATTTAGCAAATGAAGAGGATCCTACTTTAGATTTACAAAATAGATTAATTCTACTTAAATAAGAAAACTAAAGATTAAATTAAACAATTTAATAAAAGAATTAAGAAGTCCTTAATCATTAATAATAGAATCAAAACTTATAAAAAGAATTATTAGAATTAGACTCTTTAAAAGTCTAAATCAAAGAATTACATGAATCTAATACTGTATTATAATCACAACTTTAAAATGAGATTCAAGGTAGACAAGACTTAGAATAAAGAATTTAATAAACTGAATCTGAGAAGTATGATCTATAGAGTAAATGTGCAATGTTATCAACACACATAGAAGGAATGAAATATAAATTAGAAAAGATGGAAAATGTTGATGATTTAAAAAAAAGAATTTAAGAATTAGAAGGTTAATTAGCAGAAATGTAAGCTTTGGAATTAGAAATTGAAAGTTTAAAAGATAGAATTGCTGAACTAGAAAAAGAGCTAAAATTATGGAAATAAAAGCATGAATAATTAGATTAATCATATTAATAATTATAAATGATAAAAGAATAAATGGAGAACAAATTAGCAATGCTTTCATCTGAAATAGAAAGACTTAAAGTTTTAAATAAAAAAAAGCAAGATGAAATTGATGAATAGAATTAAGAATTAATAAAATTAGATTAAGAAATGAATGACTTACATAATTAACTAGAAGATATTAATGAATTAAAAACTTAATTAGGTTCTCTTTAGAACCAATTATAATAATAAATTGATGATAATTAAGATAAATTAAATGAAATTACTCATCTCAAATAATAAGTAGCCGAAATTGAAAATTTATTGGTTAGTTAAGAAGATTTACAAAACTAAATAAAAAAGTTACAAACTGAATCATAATCTAAAGATGAGATTATAGAATAATTTAAATAAAAAATAACATAATTAGAAAGCAAAATTGCTGAACTTGAAGATATAAAAGTAAATTATAATTTTAATAATTAGTATAAATATGAAGATAAAATGGCTCTATTAAGTAGTGAAGTTAAAAGACATGAATTCAAAGCTAAAAAATTAGAAGAAAAATCTAATGATTTAGCATCCTAAGTAGATCATTTAACAGTAGAATTGAATGAGGCAGATTAAAAAGTTATTGAATTAGAAAAAGTACAATTTTTACTTATTTTAAGGATTTAAGTTAATGGAAATTTGAATATTCAAAATTAAACAGCCTTCAATATAAGATAGATGAATATAGTTTTTTGTTAGTAGTTTCATTCGCTGAGATAGAAGCATTAAGATCTTAAATTAATTCATTAAATGAGTAATTAAATGGTCATAACAAAACCAAAATGGCATTAGCATTAGCATAATGAAAGTAATATAATAATACAATAATATAATAATACAATAAACAAATTTATTTATGAATAAAATTCTTAGAGGGTTTTCAACAGTAAAATCAATGAAATTCATCAAAGATAAATAACCAATAATAAAGATTAGTGAATTACCTTCTGGAATAAAAATATTTACTGAATAAACTGCTTTTCCATTTGCTTCTGACATTGGAATTTGTTTTAAAGCAGGATTAAGAAATGAACTACCTTCAGAAACAGGTTCATTATTCAGTCTAAATTAACACATGTATCATATTTCTGAGAATGATTGTCTTGAAAATTTGTAAGTTTCTATGCTATTTAGTGAATAAACACTTCGAACTGGATGCATTTTGGATTAAACTTATGACTCAGAATTATCTTATTGGAAGTGTTAATTTATACAGGAAGACTTTGATATGATTGTAGATGTCTTATTAAAACTTGCTTTAACAACTAAAAAAATTGCAAAAGAAACAAGAGATTAATTTAAAATCATGAATATTCCTTAAGAAAGAGTATTAAATAGAAATATTTAGATGACTGTAGATGAAGTTATAAAAAAAGCTGCATTTGGTAAGCATCCGTTAGCAAATGCTAAGACAACTGCTTAAATACTTCCTAAATAGGAAGACTTTTCTAGATTTTAAGAATAAATGCTTACTAGTTAAAATATGATAATTGGTTATGCTGGAGTTTGGAGCCATGAATAATTTAGAGAATATATTGAAAAAAAATTAGTAAATCATCAATAATGTAATTATACCAAAATAAATGATAGTTTTCCAAAGATAATTAAGAAAATAAACAGCCCCAGAATTCCTTTCTCAAACCTATGCGTTAAATGATGATAAAAATGATACTATTGATATTGCACTACTATTTAAAGGAATTAAATGGAGTGATAAAAATATGCCCACTTAGCATATATTAAACTAAATTTTAGGATCTTCAAGTATTTAAAGTATCTCATAGGTTCTTGGTCAACTGGTGGTCCTGGAAAAGGAATGAGATCTAGAACAACACTTAATTTAATGTAATCAATATAGTCTGTAGAAGAGGCTTCAGGGATTTCTTAAATATTCTCTGATGCTGGAATATTTGGTTTGAGAGTTTAAGGACCTCCTGCTTCCAAATAAGAATTATACTCAAGTTTAATAGAAGAATTCAGATAATTGGGATAGCCTATGAGTGATGAAGAATTTTTTAGAGGGAAAAATATAGCCATAACATTAATAAATTTGAATTTAGAGAGATAAGCAGATCGATTAGAAGAATAAATTAAAACTGTAAATGATTCAAATTATGCAAGACTTTTTTGATGGGATAAAATGCTGTACCACTTTATGAAAGTTTGTTTGAAAATGTTACTAAAGAATAACTTTAAGATTACATAAAAAACCTTATAAATAATTCTGAACCTACTCTCATGTATTATGGTAAAAATGTGTAGGACATTCCAACCCTTCAATAGATTAAAAGAAATTTGAGAAAATGATAAGTATAGTAATGTTTATTATATATATATTTTTATGCTTAAAAGTCTTCAATAACTTTTATAAATATTTCTCATCCAATTTTTTCAATAGATTTTCACTTGAATATTTTATTTAAATTAAAAACATATTTGCTTAAAATAAATTAATAAAAATAGAGTTTATATATCAATAATAAATTATTTTTGTCATTATAATCTTGGTAATTTGACTTTTGATCTACATTTAATTTCTTTAAATTTTTATGATCTTTCATCTGTGATATCATAAATCTCTAATACAGTGACAAATCTTGAAGCAGCATTACATTCAGCCTTAACATAAATAAAATAATTTACTTCTGATAGGAAGATTTTAGGATCTGAGTTATAAAGTGCCTTGCTTTTTAAGTTTTATTTATATAACTTCTCAAATAGTTAAGGGTCTACCTTTTTAGTTTATCTTTGTGTTACATTCTTCACTAAAGGTGGAACTGATGTAGATTTCGCTTAAGGAGTCAAATTACCTCCTTTATTTCCAAATTTATAATTTTCCTATAAATCAGAGTGTTGTTATTTAAGCTCTTTAACTATATCGCTTTAATTAATCATGCTATCTAAATTTATTTATAGGTTTCCTCTTTATTAAATTTAATGCTGATCTTTTTACTGAACCTTATATCTTTACAGTACTTATTCGAGCTTTATTTTTTGAGTAAATTATTATGAGGCTTATTACTATAATGGGTGATTATTATTTCCTTCATCATCTTTTATTATTGGTTTATGATTTTACTCAAATTGTTTATCATCATCAGATGGTCCATTTTACCCTTTAAAATGTCTATTATGTATTCCTTATTTAACTTATTTCTCATATACCTCCCTTTCTTTAATTTTAACTTATTCAAATAAAGTTTTAATTTTTTATTCATAATTTTCATAATATTCTTTAAATCTTATTTCTAATTTCCATTCAGGATTACTTTTTAGAGTTGATAATTTAGATTAATCTATCTTTTCTAAGTAATAAAATGGATTGAATTCTTCTTGAGGAGATTTAGTTTGTCCAAGAGGATCTGAAATCTTTTCTTCTAAAACTTAAATTTATTGAACTTAACCACTTTATTCTTCTTATTATTATTATTGAAGTAATAAAGAATATTTGAGATCCACTCTTTCATTTAATTCAGCATTATAAATTTCATCTGTTCCACTTCTTTTTAGAGCAATAGGTCTTGGTTCTTTCCTATCATAATTTTATTGAAATGAATCTATAAATTTACCTGTTTCTGCATCCCAGAGTTTCACTTTCTTATCAAAAGCAGTAGTAATGAGAAAATTCTCTTTTTCTACATATTCTAAAGATTTAATAACTTCATAATGAGCTCTAGTAATCCATTTCATTTTAACCTCTTTTTAAGCTATTTTTGGCAACGTTAGCATTTGCCTTCCATTTTAAGTAGTTTTAAGTCCTTTAATTCTTTTTATAGCTGCCTCTTCCTTATCTTTTTCGTTGACAATATTAATCAAAAAGTCTACAAGCCAATCAACTTCAAAACATTTAATGAAACCTTTGTCATCACTTATATAGAGTACTTTTTTATCTTAACTGAATACTGCATTAGAGATTCCTAATAATTAACTAGGAATTTCAGGATCTATATTAGTGAAAGTATAAACTTTGACAAATCTATGTAATACAGGAGGCATTGACATAATTGAGATTCTACCTTAACTATTAGTAACAAACATAAATGGAATTCCTTTGATTAAATTGATAGATGTAATTTCTTCTCCTTATTTAAATTCATTAGCAACTCCATGTAATTTATTTGTATCAGTTTCATAAAATCTAATTTAACCAGAATTAGTTCCTGCTAATAAATGTTTCATTGCAGGATCATAACTTAAATATGTTAATTAACCATCTTAGATTATAAATGTACGTAATAATTCACTTTCTCCAAATTCATTATCTAAAGTCATAAATACATTATTATCCATAGATCCAGTAAAGAATGATCCAATATCAGATGCATGAACAATAGCAACAACTTCACCTGAATGTTTTGGTAGATTCTTGATTTTTGCTCCATTAATAACATTAAATAATGCAACAGTTCCACTACTATCTCCAATAATAAATCTTTTATCTAAATTATCTAATTTAAATGCTGTGATTTCAGTAGTTGTAATATCACTATATATTTTTTTAACATCTCCAGTTAAAGCATTCCATATTTTTATTTTAGTTCCTGCTGGTGTAAAAAATGCCATTTAATTTTCTATAAATTTACAACATACTGCAACATAATCATCTACTGAATTAGGATTATAATTCTTGTCATATTCATAAGAATAAATTGATCTACCACCAAAGATTAACCTTAAAGGTTTAGGTATATAACATAAACTCGAAGGATTAAACTTATGTTTTTCATCTTATGTTTCAACACTAAATTATTAAACACAATTAAATTTCTTTGTATCCCAAACCTTTACACTACCTTCTTAATCCAAAGAAACTATTTATGATGTACCTTCAATAACTACAACTCCAATAACTGGACTACTATGGCCTTGTATTTTGAAAATCAAACTTTCAATATATGGATTCCAAACACATAAATTATGATCAAATCCAGCAGAAAATAATAATATTAAACTCTCATTAAATGCTAAAGACACTATGCCTCTTGTATGTTCCTTATATGTACGCTCTCGTTTTTTAGATAAAGTATTCCACAAAATTAAATTATGGTCTAGACTAGCTGATGCCATAAATTGTAATTTTGGCATAGCAATCATATCCATAACAACATCAGTATGACTTATATCTTCAAATTGAATTTCTGTATCATTTTTCAAATTCCATATATTAATTTGGCCTTCTTTTTAACCACAATACAATATTTCATTTATCCCATCCCAAGTCATACTATATATGTCATTATTAAAATGATGTTCTATCATCTCCTCATCATTATCAGGTTAATTGGCCTAAACAAATCCTGAGGATTAATATCTCCACCCTCTTACATAGCCATCATGTGTTGATGTCAATAATATTTGATATTTAGGGTCATCAATGTAGAGCATTGACAAAATTTATGTCTTTTTTTCTATTGTGTCTTCTTTTTTAACAATAACAAACTAGTTCTGAATTAAGTTTATATACATTTTGTTTATCTTTATCTTTTTTTGCTTGTGTTGTCACAACTTTATCACTAATAGGTACAATTTTTAATGGCTTTAAGCCAAATCCACCATCAGGAGTCATAAATTAAATTTCATCACTTCCTTCCTCAAAAAATGCTATTTTATCTATTTCCTTTATGTAAATTACCCTAGTAATGATTTATGTGAATTTTTTGAATGGTTTCATATTAGATTTGGTGTAAAGTTTGATTTCATCTTATTTAGACTTAATATTATTTAATACTGTTGCTTTTTCAATAATGTAGTTTGTGAATTCTTCCCATTCTAAATTCCCATTACCATTTAAATCAATCTCTTCAAATAGATTAACAAGTTATCTTATTATAATATCAAATACCTAATTAATTTAATATCTCTATTTGAGATTTCTAATTGCCAACTTAATAAATGTTCCTTGACAACTAAAATGAATTCTGTCACCTCCATAGATCCATGTCGCATTAAAAATTCTGTTCTTAAAACATTAATAGTGAATGGATCAAAATTAAGAGTAAGATCGGCCAATAATGTTTCATCAGTATGTAAAATCTGTTTATAAGTTGTACGAGGAGAATAAATTGGTACTGTATGATCTAGTTTTGATAGTTTTTTTATCTAAGTTGTCATATTATATTAATTATATAAATAATTAGTAATTAAATTCAAATTCTCATTCTTAATTTTTTAAATCATTAAAAAAATGATCAAAAATTATTGCTTACTATTTAATTTATATAGTTTTTCCATCTTAATTGTTTGAATTAATATATATTTTTGGATTAATTTATCTTTATCATTTATAAATTATGATAACCTAGAAAATTATAATATTTATCCAATTTTCTTTTACTAATTGTTTGACCATTTATAATTAATTATTTTTAACCAAATCTTGTGTTTGGTATGAAAAAATTAATTTATATTCAAAAAATTTTAAGAGTATATTCTCTGTTCTTACTGCAAATTCTTTTATTAAGAAGTTATATTCATTCTAAAAAGAAGTATTTTTATGTAAAATTTACGCTACATTGGCCTCCTCAAATTATCTTTTATTTTGAAATCATTTATTAATTTATGACTTGTTTATGTATTAATTTGAACTGTTCTAAGTTATTTTTCGGTTGATTTTTATTCAACAATGATGTTCAACCAAATTTTATTTTCTGAGCACCAATCGGAACAATTCTAAAAAAAATTCTAAGAAGAAACAAATTTAATAAATATTTTTAATGCTTGTAATAAGCAAGTCTAAGATAAATTATTGCATACAACATAATTTTTCAATTATTAATAAAAAAAAATCTAAAACACTTTGATTTCCAAGTTACAACTTTTATTCTTTAATTGAGATGTTATTTAACCTAACAATATAATTTAATTTAATCTAATCTGACTTTTCATAAAAGGGATTTTTATGAAATGATTAAGAAAGGTTTATGTTAATTAAATTAATAATTTTTTTTTCGATAAATTGTATTTTGAGTATTGTCTTTTCTTTAAATTTTAATTATTTACATCAATAATATTTTAGCTTTATATTTATTTATTAAGATATTTATCAGATATTAAATAAATAATTAATATTTTATGTAAAATAAAATATTGTAATTATAATCTTGGTAATTTGACCCTTTATTTACATTTGATTTCTGCAAACTTTAATGAGCGTTCATCTGTGATATCATAATTTGCCAATGCTGCAGCTAATTTGTATCCAGCATTACATTCAGCCTATATTATATATTAAATAATTTACTTCTGATAAGAAAACTTCAGGATATGAATTAAAGAGAACTTTGCTTTTCAAGTTTTATCTGTACAACGTCTAATAGTTAAGGGTCAACTTTTTTACTTCTTTTTTTTGTTGTAGCTTTTGCTAGTGAAGGAATTTAAATAGATTTAATTTAAGGAGTGGAAATACTTACTTTGATTCCATGTTTTAAATTTTCTTATAAATCTTACTGCTGTTATTTTAGTTCTTTAACAATTTCACCTTAATTTGTTATACTATCAAAATTTATTTATTGGTTTCCTCCTTATGTAATTTGATGATGATCTTTTTATTAAACTTTATGTTTTTATAATACTTATTCAGGCTTCAATTTTAATTAAATTACACTGAAGCTTATTATTGATGAGAATGATTATTTTTTCCGTCATCATCTTTTAGTATTGGTTTTTGATTGGAATCAAATTGTTTAGCATCATCAGTTGAGTAGTTTTGAACTTTAAAATGCCGATTGTGGATTCCTTATTTAACTTATTTTTCATGTACTTCCTTTTCTTTAATTTTAACTTATTCAAATAAAGTTTTAATTTTTTATTCATAATTTTCATAATATTCTTTAAATCTTATTTCTAATTTCCATTCAGGATTACTTTTTAGAGTTGATAATTTAGATTAATCTATCTTTTCTAAGTAATAAAATGGATTGAATTCTTCTTGAGGAGATTTAGTTTGTCCAAGAGGATCTGAAATCTTTTCTTCTAAAACTTAAATTTATTGAACTTAACCACTTTATTCTTCTTATTATTATTATTGAAGTAATAAAGAATATTTGAGATCCACTCTTTCATTTAATTCAGCATTATAAATTTCATCTGTTCCGCTTCTTTTTAGAGCAATAGGTCTTGGTTCTTTCCTATCATAATTTTATTGAAATGAATCTATAAATTTACCTGTTTCTGCATCCCAGAGTTTCACTTTCTTATCAAAAGCAGTAGTAATGAGAAAATTCTCTTTTTCTACATATTCTAAAGATTTAATAACTTCATAATGAGCTCTAGTAATCCATTTCATTTTAACCTCTTTTTAAGCTATTTTTGGCAACGTTAGCATTTGCCTTCCATTTTAAGTCGATCCAGTTTTTATTCCTTTCATTCTTTTTGTAGCCGTGTTATTAATTTTTATAATTATATTCTTAAAATAATATTTACAGGAATTTTAAGTGTTTTAAATAATCTTAGAGATTTTCATAATTTATTTAAAGATATAGAGTGAATATCTAGATGAATTATTTAAAAAAAATTGTAATAATTTAAATGAACATGAATTCAATATGCCTATCAGAATTAAAGTAGATTTAGCATTTATATCTCTGATTCTAATTTGAATTCTTTTTAAATAAAATGGTATATCAACTAACTTAAAAAATATCAATTTTCGTAGTTAAATAGATAAGTATTTATTCTTAAATCAAAGTAAAGTTATTAAACAAAGTATTTATTACTATTCTTAATTTTTGAAACCATTTTTAGAGACCTTCTGTATTTAATTGTGTAATAAAATTAAAATTTTGTATGAATGCTTAGAATCTCCAAAATTTTATAATAATAGAATTACAAATAAATATTAATATATATTTTCAATTATAGTCATTAAGATATAATTGTAAATTTAATTTTTATTTGATTATCTAAAATTCTGTTGTTTATTAATAGCTATTGAGAACAATACTTTAAATTTAATAAATATATCATTTATGCTAGATTTATCAATATCAACTGGATTTTTAAAACATATTTCAACTATATTATTTAATTGAGATTACTGAAGAAAATTGAATTAGAATGCTCTTATTTGGTAATGAATTTAAACTTATAAATATCGATACTTTCTAAAAGGATCAAAAAATTGAAATAAAAATATTTTCCAGAAGTAATAGAAGAATTCTATAAATGAATTTTTGATGATTAAAATATAATGAAAGATTCAGAAAGGAACTGATTAAAGTAATTTTTTAATATATTAATAATTCTAAATGAATGAATTTGATTCTGGGGATGTAGCAAATAAATTTAGTGACTTCTATGAATTTGAAGAATTTTTAGGTTCAGGAGGATTTGGTAAGGTGGTTAAGGCAAAGAACATTAAAGGAGAAAGTGTTGCTGTCAAATTAGTACCTAAGCGAGAATGCAGAAAAAGCTATTCAGAAATATTAGCAGAAGCAAGCATTTTAAGTCAAATGAAGCATCCCAATATAGTTTAATTTAAGAGAGTTCATGAAACAGATACAAGATTATTAATAGAAATGGCTTTGGTTAAGTACGGGCAATTGAAAAGATTATTTACAGACAAACTTTAATTGAGTTATGAATAGAAAAGACTATTAATGCAAACTTTGTTCAAAACAGTGGCATTCATTCATGAAAGAGGAGTAATTCATCGTGACATTAAACCTGAGGTGAGGATTGTATGTATACTAGAGAACCTTTTACTTGAAGACCCAAACGATATGACAACTTTGAAAATAGTGGATTTTGGATTGTCGACAAGGTCTTAACTACTCATTAGTGGTTAATGTGGTACACTTATCTATATGGCTCCAGAATTCTTTACTAATAAACATTACTCTAAAGTAACAATACTAATAAATAGATTAGCCAGTTGACATTTGGAGTTGTGGAATAATATTGTACATGGTATGTACAGGAGGAAAGCATCCATTATATGTATAAGGATAAACAGCAGATGAATATAGAGAGAAACTGTATGAACATCTGTAAAATCCGTAATGGAATTTTCCTGAAGATTTTGACTAATTGGCAAAAAATCTTTTCTTAAAATGCGTTGCAGAGGATCCTATGCATAGATATAATGCACAATAAATCTTACATCATCCATGGATTACAGGAAATGTTAGTGATCCAATTCCACTCTCTTTGCCAGAGATGTATAAGTCATTTTCAATGAGAGAGCGTGTTACAAGAATTATTAAAGCTTTAATGGTCATTAAGTTGATGTCTAAGGATTATTGGAGATGTGTAAATACTAAAAAGATTGATACATCTTATTTAGAATAAGTAATTATTAATATAAATATAATAGTGCAATAAAATATCCCAAGTCCATTAATAATAATAATAATAATAGAGTTTACTAGACAAATCTTATGTGAAGGAGATGATGGCTGAACATGCATAAATTAAATCAAGACAACATAATCATAACCATAGAGTTGAAACACCTAAATATCAAAGCATTTTGAAAAGATTGATAGACCCATCTCGAAATTAGCATGACTTATACTTAGATTAACCTAATAGTAGTTAAGTAATGGATGAAAATATGCTTAATTAATATAATTCTGTTAATAATAATCAGTAAACAGAAGGTTCTTAGCATTCAATATCAGAATAAAGTATTTAAGATGCATAAGAGTGTGCTGAAACAAACAGCGGCAAGCTAATTCTTATCAAAAGAACTAATCATAACAAAAAGAAAACTAAAAAGATTGTCTAATTTATAACAAAAAAATAAAATAATAGTTCAGTTGATCTTTAATAAAGATCTAGATCAACTACAGCCAATAATCCAAAATAACTTATGAATACCCTTACAGAGAATAAACAATTTGATTCACCTAAAAAAGTTTAACTAGCATCTCTTACTTAATTTTAATAATAATAACAATCTCAACCACATCTCATATAACCCTAACAATCCATACAATTTTTAAATAATGTCTCATAATCTAATGTATTAAAATCACTTCCTTCTAACTAATCACCGGTTCACAAACTTAGTAGCCATAATGGTGGTAATAATACTCCTAACATTCACAATATATTGAATAAAAACACAGAAAAATAACAATAGTAAAATCATACTTAAGTTTTTGGTTATATTAGAAAAACTAGTGTAATTTCCTAAGATCAAAAAGTGGTTGAACCTCCAAGTAAAAATTATAACAATATTTAGTTATTTTAGGAAAAAGGAGTAATACATCTACTCGGAAATTAAGTGTAGTTGAATTAGATTGCCACGACTAATATAAATATGAATAATAAGAGAGTAGAAATTCATAATATTATCAATTTAGAAATTGTGCATAATTAATTTTTACCTAGAGGATGGTACAAAACCTTACCATTTTAAAAGTTTCTACCTCCAAAATAAATGCAAGTCCATCCTCAATTCATTGAACTTAATGCTTTGAGATAACAGATTAAAATTCCAATACCTGTGCAGTTCTTAGTTCCAAAAAAAAAATGAAATAGTTTATTGAATATTGAATATTAATATTATTAATTAATTTAGTTTACTAATTTTTATTACAAATTAAATAAATAATTTACAGATGTTAAAATTGGCATTGATTAAGTTTCGCTGAATTATTTATGTTATCACTTATTGATTTAAAAAGAATAACATTCTTTTGACAAATAAATACTCTTCTATTTATTATTTAATTCATTTAAAATGTGAAGATGTTATAATATTTTGAGTTGATGCTGTATAATGGTATAACATTTTGATTCTTGAAATAAATAATTGCCACAAAACTGATATTCATTAAACATGATTTATCAGGCTGAGAATATTTAATTTTTTCAAAAATCTTTAAGATTTAATGCTAATGTGACCCTTCAATATCAAATTAATTATTAATAACTATTGCTTTAATTGAAAAAAAGGGATGACTCAACCTATATAGTTAATCAATATCTTATAACTTGATTTGTTTTTCTATTAGTTTGATCTTTTGTTCTCTTATTGAAGCAATATTTTCTCACTCCATTATTGATCTTAATTTAACCTATTTTTTATTGTATAAGAATTATAATAAGTCATTTTTCATAACAAAAAATAATTGTGGATTAAACATTTAATTTTTTATGTTATGGATAGTTCATTCAAAAAGAAATACAAATTTAATGGAATTAAAATTAAAAAGAATTATTTTTTGTTAAAATATATAATATACTCTATAAAAGATATAAAAGTGCTGAATCTAATTCATTTTAGAAAAATAGAATAATCGGTAATAATTATAATATTTTATTAGCAAATCTGAATAAAACAACAAAAAAAATAAAAATAATATTTAATATGTTTTAATAAAGAATCAATAATTACTCAATTTTAAAGGAATTAGGCAAGGGAGCTAACGGATAAGTCTATCTTGCGATTAAAGACGAAGATAAGAAAGAATATGCTTTAAAATTGTAATAATTTGAAATTTCAGAATATGAATTAGCTATTATAGAGTACATTTATTTTTATGATTATTGAGTGAATTAAAAAGTTATTAACTTTTTAACATAGCTAAGAGTTATGAAAAATTTGTATATAAATTAGGTTTTATGGAATACGATTGTATCGCCATGGATTATTGTAATAATGGCGATCTTTCAGACTATCTAAAAATTAATCGAAAGAATTTGAATATATAAGATATAAGAGATATGATCTTTTAAGTATATTATTTTCGATATCTAGATTGCTTTTGGAATATGGGAACTTCATAAATTCAAAATCATACATAGAGATCTCAAACCTTAAAATATATTAACTCACAAATAATAAGATAAACTTTTTTTAAAAATTTGCGATTTAGGGCTTTCAAAAATATCCAAATAAGGTGGTGGCAATCATACAGTAAATATAGGTACTCCTTATTACATGGCTCCAGAATTAATTTAGAATGGTGATTCTAATTCTTCATATGATTGCTCTGTTGATGTTTGGGCTTTGGGGGTAATAATATATGAGTTTTTCTCAGAAGAATAATTATTTGCTGGAAGAAATATATAAATTATTTTTGATTAAATTAAAAATTTAGACATAATGCAGAAATTAAATAAAATATATGATGTTTATTTAAGAAACATTTGTGAAAAATGCCTATACAAAAATCCAAAAGAAAGACCAAAAATAAAGTAGATACTTATCGCCTTAGATAAGATAAAATTTGAAAAATAAAAGTTCATGTTAAAAAATGATTCAACAAAATTATTATAAAGTCAGATAAAAATAAAAGGTGCTATCACTACAATTTAATAAAATTTATATTAACAAAATAATTAAAAATTGAATGAGGAAAATTAAATTAATAATTCTTAATAAATCAATTATTAAGAGGAGCCATAAAATAAAATAATTGAAAAAAGCTCATAATTACAACCATCATTAAATAATTTATAAGTTCGATTGCAAGTTTAGCTTTTATCAAAAATTAAGGATAAAAAATTTGCAAATCAATTAATATTTATGTATTGGAATAAAAAAAGTGAGGAGGAAATATTAAAAGTAATATAAGCAAAAGGAGACGAACTGATTGTTAATTCATAAAAATAATATTGAAGCTTATAAATTTTAATATGCATTTGGATTTTTAATATCTAGCGTATTATTTTTTGTTGGTTTTTTATACTTTATTAAAACAGAAATCGAAATGGTAGGATATGATATAATTTATCACATCTTGCCATCATGAGATTATTTTTTTTTAAGTATTGGCAAAACTTGATATAATTTATAAAATTCTTTATTAGAATTTACATTTATCTCTGTTAAATTTTATTATTTTATTGAGAGAGTTTCTATTAAATTTCATCAAATGTGAATTATTTAAATAATGTTAAGGTGGGTTTAACTGTGCTGGATTAAGATTGGCCTAAGAGCCATGCAATTTTTTGGAATGTAAATTATTTTTGTAAAGTTTATATCAATGGCTTTAATTCTCTTATAGATTAAAACCTTGATGCATTTAGATTTCTTTATAAAATGAAGTTTAAATCCATTATAAATAATTTATTTTATTTGAATTAGCACTATCCTTATGCTGCCTTTTTGAAAGAAAGTATTTTTTATGCATCCTATTTCTTCTACGATGCTTCTGAATTTTTCTTTATTTTGAATCATTATTTCATTAATTATTAAAATTACATAAAATGCTACTCTCTAAAAAAGTGCTTTTTCTCTACTTTTAAGGAATGGTTATTGTTTAGGTTATTTATTTTCTTCATCTGAATCTGCTATTGATAATTTTTTGATTTTATTTAAGAATCCTTTATATAAATTATAAATAATAAATTTACAAAATGATTATAGAATAAAAACCTTTTGTATTAAATATCATTCGATGTTCTATAGTTTTTCATTGAAATCTTGCATTCTCTTCTTCACACGTGAATTCCAATGATTTTTAATTGCATTATCTATTCTTCTTTTTAAATCCTCAGCCATTTCTGTCCATTTATTACTAATTGCGTTTTGATATTGAAATAAAATTCATTCTTCATCAGGATCCTAAGGTTATTTGTTAATTAGTGGATTCAAATGATTATGCCATCTAATCATAATATCTAATAAGATTATTACCTTTCTCTGCATTATTTTTCTATTCTTCCTGTTAATTTGGAAGCAATATTAGTTTATTTATGAGGGCCATAAAATTCATCTAATTAACAATCTTCATTATCAATCCAAGGTTCTAGTATACTTTTTTTTTGTTTTCTATATTTTCTTTCTCACTTTAATTTTTTTGAATTAATTTATTTAACTGATAAATACATTTAAAAATCAAATATATTCTCTAATCAAAATATGAAAAATAGACTAATTAATAATATGATTCATTTTTAATTTAGCACTTTCCATGTATTTAGGGTTTCTTTTTGATTATATTGATAGTAAGAAACCAAATGTTTTAGTATGGTAATAAGATTGAAATACTAATCCTACTATTAATAGCCTATTAGTCATAAATCATTTTGATTTAATAAGTGATGGTGTTATTATGTTCATCGATATTACACTTCATAATTGAATTATATCATAATATATGAATAAAAAAGATTTCAAAGACCCATGAAATTTATACTAAGAGTAAAAGTATTTCTTCACATTACAACAGAATTTCCATCATTATGCCTATTAATAAATTTAAAATATTTTTAAGTAGATTTATAAAATTTTAACAGTCATGACTAATTATTATAAATCAAAAACTAATTTCCAATTAGAATACTAGGAAAATAAATAGCAGATTTATAATATGAGATGAAAATTATGCTAATTATTGTGTTTTTTATTCATGTTTTAGATTAGAATTAATTATTATATTTTAAATTTAAAAAATCAATGTCTGATCCTTTACATCTATCAATTAATTCTAAAGAATATATAATTAAGAATTGTTTAGGATAAGGTTCATTTGGAAAAGTTTATAAAGCCGAAATATTCAGTTAAAAAAAAATAGTTGCTATAAAAGTTCAAAATAAAATTAGTGAATCTGAAAAGAATTTAATTTAAGTCTTTAAAGGAAAGAATTTCAAGAATCTCGTCAACATTTACGATTACAAAGAATAAAACAATTTGATATATATAGTGATGGAATATTGCTCTCATTCACTTTATGATTAAATTCAAAAAAAAACAATTAATCCTAAAGATATAAGATACGTATTGAAATAAATAATGAATGGCTTAAGTGAGCTTCATAATATAGGTTTGGCTCATAGAGATCTCAAACCCGAAAATATACTCATTTGCCATTTAGAAGATCGTGGAATGATGTAGGAAGTTTATAAATTATGTGATTTTGGCACTTCTAAATAATATGATAGATTAGCAACGGAATGCGTTGGTACTCCTTATTATTTAGCCCCAGAGTAGATTTTAAAATAAAATTATGATAAAAGTGTTGACATTTGGGCATTAGGGGCTGTAATGTATGAATTATTTACAAATGTCCCTCTTTTTTCAGGTACCTTATTTATATGTCATTCTAGGTTCAACTATTTAATAAATATATAACCAAATTTTAAATCTTGATATAAACAATAAAATTGATAGTCTTTAAGCTCTAGAAATTAAGTATAAGAATTTACTTAAGTAAATGCTGATTAGAAATCCATAGGACAGAATTAATCTAGAGTAAATAAGAAAGATAATTGAAGAAAGAATGTCATAGAGTGTTGAAAAAAAAACATAAGCAAACCTAAATAATCTTGAAATTAAAGAGATTACATAATTGAATCTAAAATAACCAAATTAAATCCCATCCATTTTCAATTAGAATTAAAAGCCTCCACTTCATATAAATCATCCTCCTAAATAATAATCTTAAATTTAATAATTTAACATTAATAATTAACTACAAAAATAGTTTTCAAACTAAAATCAAATAAAACCATTATAAAATTTTAATCAAATATCTTAAATATAGAACTCTCAATAAATATAAAACTCTTCCCAAATTAAATTTAACTTTTAAGGGTAATAACGTAATTCTGCACCAGATTTAGTTTCAAACATTTAAAATAAATAATAATGACAAAATTTGATATATTAATATTATAAAAAATAATGATTTTTTTTAATATACTATAATCAATGGAATTTTTTATGAAAACAAAAGCCTGATTTATGAATTCATTCATCTTGTCTAATTATATGGAAAGTGATTTCATCATTTAAATATATTTGATAATTTTTTACACACTTACTATTTATTGTAAGACATTTAAAAATGCTAAATTAATTTTTATAAGAAATTTAAATATTAATCATTAATGTAATTACTTTACTCTTCTATATATGCTAGGATGATGATATCTTTCATTTTTTGAATTTTAAATCCTAAGACTTTTGAATATATTTTATTTAATATTGATTATAACATATTCAATAGATTTTGTGTTTTATTTTTTAATTCATTTTATAATTTATGGATATTCAATATTTTCATTATAACTTTAAATATTATTAATATTAATATTCGTTTTTAATGAGAGTAACATTATTATTATTGATACTTCTGATAAATAATGTTATTTGCTCTAAATCAATTTATGAAATATCATAAAATGAATATGGAAAAACTGTGCTATAAGCAATCTAATTAACTTTGAATGAAGAACCATCCTCATTCGGAAAGACAATAGATTTATTATAAGAGTTAAAAAAGGGAATTCAAAATGATTAAGATGAAGATACTGGACTATTATCTGAAAGATTGGAAACATGTGAAACACAAATTTCTTAAAATTCATAAATAATATTAGATTCATAAACAAAATTAGCATAAGCTTAAGAATAAGTAAGTCCACTTGAATAAAAATTACTTGATAAAAGACATTAAGCAGAAGATAAGGAAGGTGAGGAATAGAGAAATAATGATAGAATAAATAAATTGATTTAATAAAGACAAGAATAAAGATAATAATTTGAAAGCAAAAGAGATGAATTAACATCTATTGTTGGAGCATTAAGTGAAGCTAAAAAGATTATTGGTTCTATTAAAACAGATCCAACTGCTTTAATTTAATTGAAAAACCATAAGGAAAATATATGTAATTATAGAGAATGTAACATTAGTAAATTAAATTAAAAAGTAATCAATGTTTTATACTTTGATTCATTAAACACTTTCTTTAATCTAATAAGGAACAAGTCAAGAAAAAGTAATAAGAATTATTGATGATTTAATTGATGAAGTTTATTAAGTTTAGAAATTAGAAATGATTGCTGATGATCAAAGAGAAGCAGACTTTGTAAAACTAAGTAAATTAAAATTTTATTATAAGAATTCGTTTTGAATTTGCAAATACTAGATTAAATACTAAAATTTCTGAATTAAGAGCTGATGTGCAATAATTATAATAATAATTATTAGAATTAAATAATAATATTGCAATTTATTAAGATTTAGTTAATCTTAAAACAAAAGAAAATGCTGACTGGCAATAATCTTGCAATGATGCATAAAATAGTTATAATGGTTTGGCTGATTACAGAAGCTAATAAATTATAATAATTGATGATTGCATTTCATTATTATAAGGAAATGACCCAGAAATCACTTAATTCATATAGAAATTTGTTTGAAAAATATTAATTATTGATAAAAATGCTAAAAAACAGCATCTAATAATTTATAAATCTATGTAAGTAAATTCTTTTGAGATTTTTGTCTATGTCCATTTTTATTGTAAAATATGAAATTAATTATAAAATAATAAATATGAACTTTATGAATACTCATTCACAATTTAACTTTTCAAGAAAATCTATGCCTAGACCATTGATATCTCGATAGCTTGTTAGGGAAAAGAGTTAACCAAACTTCAATCCAATTACTCCATCAGTAAGTTAGTAATTAGAATCATTTAGACTAAATTTCGTATCTCTACTACTAATTAACAATTAAATCGAGAGAAGATTTAAAAAGCTAATGGCAATTATTTTAGTTAACATGATGATACAAGTGGAAGCACCAAAATGTCTAAAGCACATACTTAATCACTATTGAAAAAGCATGAAATAGAATTAAAGTAGTCTTTATTTAATCAAGAAGACATAGAAGAAGAAATGTAATTTACATTACTATGTTAAACTCTTGAAAAACTATTTTGATTATATGAAATGATACAATATTTTTGTTTTATTTGTTTTGTTATAATAAATAATTATAAATATGTACCGATAATATGATTATACTTACTCTCCATCAAAATCATCGAATACCATAGATGACATGGAGCAAAGGCTTAATGCAGTTATTAATGCAAATGAAAAATTGGTAATATTTTATAACTAAGATTTCATTATAGACTTTACTGTTAAAAGAGAAGATTTAAGAGAATGATTAGATGAAAGAAAATATTGATATTCTTTATAATAATAATCAAGAATTATAAGAAATCAATATATAACTGTGTGAATAAATCAAAAAGTGTAAAAATTAGAAATGTTCATCACTACATCAGAAAAACAATAATGAAATGGATAGAGAACTCAAATAATTAAAGGAAATCATAGTTTAAAAGGATAGAGAACTAGCAAATTATTAACAGCATTTTGAAGAAGAGTTGCAGTTAGAAATCACATAAAAGGATTATGTAAATAAAAAAATAACGTATTAGATTGATAAAATCAAAGGTTTGGAAGATCAAAATTAATAATTAATTCATGAATTGGATTTGGTAACAAAAAAGTTGATATAAAGTCAAAGAGGTTCATTAACTAATTATGATAATAATTATTAAGAATAATAATATGAATAAATCATAGAGGATTTACAATAGAAAATTGAATAGATGAATAAAATTTTAAATTAGAAGGACGAAGAATTATCATAAAATAATAATAAATAGTTGTTGATTCAAATAGAATAATTATAAGTAGAGAATATAACTCAATCATTATAATTGCAAGAATAAAGCAATAAAATCAAGTTATTATAGTAAGAATTGGAAGAAAAGAATAACATAATTGATCAATTGAAAAAAAATTATAGTCTAAATTCATCTAGAAATGAAATTATACAAAAATAAAATATGTTTTAGAATAAACAACAATATATTAAAATAGATTAAAATGTCTTAGAATTAAGTGATGATATAGAAACAACTATTAAGAGAAGAACAAATTTTGATTATTAAACTGGGAAATAGATTCCATCAGGAAAAGGATTTTTTGAATAAAAAAGTCCACGTTCTTTATTATCAGATTAAGATTCTTATTTTTATTTGTATGAAAAATTATAGTAAGATATGTAAATCAAAGAAAAATAATATAGTGATCTTATTAATAAAAAATAAATAGCAGATAATGAAAATGAAAGACTTATGAATTTAATTAAGGATTTGGAATACTAAATATAAGAAAAATAATTACTAATTGAACATTAAGAGAATGAAATTAAATCTTAACAAAGAAATATAAGAAAAAAAGAATCTGAACATAAGAAAAATTTAATATAACAACAAGATGATATTTAAATTTATGAAGATAAATTAATTGCATTAGAGAAGCTTAGAAATTAAGAACTTAAAATTTATGATTAATAAATTTCTTAAATTCAAAATTAACTTAAATAAAAAGACATAGAACTGAAAAAAATGTAAGATTAAATTAAAGATAAGCATAAATTGTAGAACAACATATAATCCCTTATAGAAGAGAATATAGAAATATAATAAAATTTATAAAAAAAAGATTAAAATGAAGAAGATTTAAGAGCAAAAATTGCATTATTTTAATAATAACTTAAAGCAAAAGAATTAGAAAATAAAAGTTAAAATTAAAATAAAATTTATGACTTAGAAAGTTAGATTATTTAACTAAAATTAGAATTGGAATAAAATATAATTAATGTTCAAGTTTAAAGTGAAATCAATTAAAAAAATGAATAATAGATTAAATTGAAAGAATTTCAAATTAATAAATTATAAGATCAATTAAAAGAGGCTAATAACAAATAAAAAGAAATAATAACAGAAAGAGAATTAGAAAATCATAGAAATTATTAATAAATTGATGAGCAAAATGATTTATTAAGACAGTAAGAGTATGAAATAAAGAAATTACAAAATTTAATCTCTTAAAGACCATTAGAAAATACTTTCAATATTTAATCAGAAAATTTGATCTTAAAAGAATAATTGGAGGAATTGATAAGTAAATAAGCAAAATTGGAATAAAAAGTAATAATATTAGAAACATAATTGAAAGGAAAAGATCAAGAAATTGTTATCTCAAGCCAAAAGTAAATATTATCAAATGCAGAATTATAAACTAATATGAAAAAGTAAGAGGCAGATTTTAATGATAAATTAATTGAAAAAGAATAATAGATCTAGAAATTAATAAAAGAATTCTAGTCATTAAAATAAGAGAATGAATAATTCCTATAGAAAATAAATGTTTCCTCTTCTCGACAGGCTGAATTAGAATAAAAGTAATAATAAGAAATAGAATCTCATAGATAAGAAATATAAAAGAAAATTGATCAAATTCCTTTAAGTGATGATGGCAATACTTTGAGCGAACTGAATTCTTATCGTATGGATGAATTAAAAACATTTGCCTTTTAATTGGAATCATAGAATAAATCAGATTTAATATAAAAAATACTAGATTAAAAAATTGAATTGATTTAGAATAATAATTAATTTAACAATTAAATTCAAATAATTGAAGAATTAAAATCTAAAATTACAATATATGAAGAAGAAATTCAAGATCAAAATTAACTAATAGAGACTAAAGAAAAATAGTAAACTGAATTAAACAGTTATAAATAATCAATAGCATCTCTTGAAAATTAATTAAAGATAAAAGAATAAAGTCTTAAAAAATTTTAAGAAGAAAATAAAGAATTGCAATAATAGAAATAATAAGTAGTTTAATAGAAAAAATAAAATGAATGCTTATAATAAGAATCCAAAAAATTTTAAGATACTATCTTAAATTAAGAACAATAAATAAAAGTTAAAGATGAAAATTTAAAAAAGTTGTAAGATTAACTTAGAGAGTTAACCAAAAAAAATGATTAGTTTTCTAAAGATTTAAATTAAAATAAGACTTTAAAAGATGAAATTGAAAAACTTAAGAGTACTCTTAATTAGAAGGAAGAAGAACAAAAAAATTTATAAAATTAAATTAATAATCAAAAAAGATAAGAAGACCAAATTAATAAATTATAATAACAAATTGAAAGAGAAACAAAAATAAAAAAAGAAGAAATTGAAAAACTATAGAATGAATTAAATTAATCGAATTAAGAATTAAAGCAAGTTTAATAATAAAATTAGAATTAAAAAAAATTAGATGATTAAGTGAAGAAGCTTTAATAACAATTAGATTCATAAACAGAGAAAATGAAAAAACAATAACAAGATTTTGAAAAAAAAGAATAGGATTTAAAAAAATAACTTAAGGAAAAAACTGAATAAATATCAGAATAAGAATAAAATGATCTTTCTAAAGATTAATAAATATAATAACTTGATCGATAAATAGAAGAATTAAAAAAAAAAGATGTGATGTATTAAAAGTAAGTTAAAATTGTAAAAGAGTTATAAGAATAGTTAAAATAAGCAGAAAAAATGAATATTGAATTACAGAAAGAAAAAGAAAATAAATAAGCTTAGGTAAGTGGTTAAAAAGAGAATTTAGAATAAGAAATTAAAGAATTAAAAGATCAAATAACAAAATTATAAAAATTAAATGGTGAACTTGTTATTTATGAAAATATTATTTAAGTAGATGCGCGTAAAATGTAAGAATTACAAAGGAAGATAGAAAGCTTAGAAAATTATAATTCATAATAAGGTTCAAAATAAAATATAGAGACAAAAAGTTAAGGAGTTACTCCAAGAAAATAAGTTAGAGGAAGTTCAGTTATGAAATAAAAAGATGATTAAATATAATAGATGTCATTCGAATAATTGCAATTGCATGCTAAAAAATTAGAATAAATAATCAAAGAAGCAGGATTAAGTAATAAAATAAACTGATATATATTTTATAAAATAAGTATGATTTTATTATTCAATTTTTCATTTTATCAACAAATTACTTAATTTTGTCAAGGGCACTTTAAGGTATATCTGTTTCAAATTCAGCTAATGGAACTGTAATTGTTTCTCTATTTGGATAGGTTAACATCTTGATTTTATAAATAAGAAATTCTTTGATTATATCATTAGCAACAGATATATTATATTTAGATATAGTAGGTTCAATACTAATATTCATCGAAGGTTCTCCTACAAATGAAACCCAACTACGGCCGATAAAATTAGGTGTATAACACAACCTTAATCTACCATTTAAAGATGTTATTTTAACTTTAATGTTAACAGGTAAATGTTTTTTAGCCCAACTTATAGTAACAAAGGTTTCTAATTCCATATAAAAGAAACCTCTAAATGATAATTCTAAATCAAATATACAAGAATCAGTATTTTTTTATGGAATAAATTGTAAAACTTCTGGAGGTTCTCCTCCTATGTCTATAAATGTTACATAAATTTCATCTAATTAAGATGGTCTCTTCTTATTCAAAGATCTATATAGTTCAGTCATAAATTTCTATCTAAAATAGATAGATTTAGTCCATTAGAGAAATAATACTCTTATTAATTATTTTAATACAAATGTTTCCTTCATTGAATTTACTGTTTCATTAGGTTATTTAGTTAATTAACTATTAGATCTTGAACTAGTTTTTGGAATAGTTGTTGTATTATTATGTAATAAGCTTTAAGTTTGATGGATTTGGATATCTTTTGGAGTGAATGATATGTTAGCTTGATTATCAAGTAGACTTTTGACTATTTAATCCTATTATTGATACATTTAATCAACTAAGAATATTTTAGATAATTATTACATTCATCAATAATTTTCATAGTATGATTAACAACAGATTTTGAAAGAGTAGCAAAAGATAAAATAAATTGAAATTTAGTCTTAGAGATTATATCAAAATGTTAATCGATATAGTGTTTATATTTATTTTCATATTAATTGAGTTTATTCTTTAATTATTCTGCTTCCTATTAATATTAAGAATAATTCTATTTAAATTATTATTTCATTCTTTAATAATCTGTAAATCCATCTACTTTTACAGGATTGAATTTTTCTGAATCTTTCAAAATACAATTGAATAAATATGTAATATTATTAATTCTCTCTTTAACTGATACTTAAGTTTCTTTATATTCTTTATATAGTTTAGTTCTATCTTCAACAAAATTGTTTGTAATTAATTTGATTTAAGCAAATAAATTTTAATAAAATAATTTATCCTTAGGAAAACTCTTTATAAATAAATCAGTTATCCATATATCTTTTAATTAAACTAATTGTATTTTGATATCATCTGATATGATTTTCTTAATTACTTCTCCAATTTCTACAAAGAAGTCTAAGCATTCTCCATCATATTTTTCAAATTAATGAATTTGATCTTCATAAAATTTAAATTTCTTAATCAATTCTTAGAGTTCTTCTTTTTCATTCCTCATTAATCTAGGAGGATCTATTTCATCTAATGATACTGTCCGTGATTATCGATGTAATAATTAAGTAGGAGCATTTGTTTAACTTTAACTCAAATATGAATCAGATGATGCATTTTATAATTTAAGAATATTTTTAAATGACTTCAAATATTGTTCATAATTATCATAATGAGTTTATAATAATGATCTAATAACTGTTTGATACATTACAATAAATTATCTATCCCAATTATCTTTAAATTCATTTAATTATTAATTTGTTTTTGTGATTGCAACTTGTAATTCTTTTAATTCATATTTAGAACTTTATAATTTATGTTATATTGTAGATAATTATTAGGTTGATAACTTAATAGACATTTCCATTTTAATTAATTTTTCTGGATTAGTTTTATTTTTTTTTAGTTCTCTATACTAAGAATTATTAGATTCTAGATCTTTTTCAAGTAATTACTTTTATCCTTCATAATTTTAATTCTTACGAAACACTTCATCATATTATGATTAAGTTTAGTTTTTAATTTTCTTAATATTTTTATATTCATCTAGATATGTTTTCTAAATTGATTGAATTTGAGGTTATGCTACTTTTAGAATTTAATATCTTTATTATTAAAATATTTAATTCAGTTATTTAATTTACTATTTTATATTGTTCCAACAAGGTACTATAATATTTCTGCCTTGAATTTATATAAAAGAATTGACTGTTAATTATTATTCGTTAGTCAATTCTTAAAATATAATTTTGTGTTATTAAGATGTATCAATTTAATCTAAAATAGATAGAGATTCCTTTTTGGCTAATTTACTTAATAGAGAAGCTTAATTCTAAAGTTCAAAACTTTTTTCTAGATTTGAATAATATGTTAAAAGAGAATCTGTTAAATTAGTCACACATTGGTATTTTTATAGTATTCCTTTCCTATCTAATTTTATAAGAGGTAATTTTTAGGAACCAAAATAATTCTTAATTTAATTTAAATAAAGATCTGCTTATTGTTGTATTCTACTCTTTTATGCAGCAGGGAAATCATCATTTTATTCAACTTATTCAATAATATCAATTTGACTAGGTTCATAAGCACTAAGAGATAGAGAGGAATCATCAAGTTTATCAGAGTCATCAGGTATATATGATTGAAAATTTGTTGACTGATTAATCATAGAAGCTATTTATTTAAATCCTATTGTCAATTTAGAGTTGTTAATTCTTTTCAACATGCGATAACGTAATATCCAAAAGAAAATTAGTATTTCAATGTAAATTGTATAGAGGGTTCCATATAAAAAATAAATGTAATTGGTTTTGTCTAATAATGGAATAAGGAAGGCTATAGATATTATCAATAATGCAGTAATTAATTTCATTATTTTATATAATGTCAATTAAATAAAAACTATATTAAACTTGGCATAGATTCTTATAAACAAATTTTAATAGTTATTTAAGAAGTGCACCTACACCAGGAAAATAAAGGTTATATAAACATATTGATATTTAAAATGAATTCGATAAATTTGAAAAGGAGAGAAGAAAGTAGAGATTATAATTAATTGAATATAAGAATAAATTAAAAAAAAGAGTATTAGAAAAGGAAATTGCTTTAATTAAATAATTTGAATCAAGTTAAATTGATTATGTTTCTACTAATGCTTCACTTGAAAATAATAATATAAATAAAGATGTCACAATGGATGAATAAAGAAGACAATCTCTTATTAAAGAATTGGAAATAATCAATAATTAATTGACTTAAATTGATAAAGAAAAGGAAGAATTAAAGATTTTAGAGAATGATATTGCAGAATTAGAACCTAATATGGTAATTTTAAGAGGCATATAAAAAAAAACTGTATTAACCATGATTAATTATATTGAATTTCAACATAGACATGTTTCAGGTTTGGTTTTGAATCCAGAAACAATGAAAAATATTGAGACTGTTCATTATCATGTTATGAATAATCTACCAATTCAAAGAGAAAAACTTTATGAAGTTGTTCCAGAATTATTTTAGGAAGAAATTGGAGAATTGGATGAATATAAATAATAATTAATTTAAGAAATTAGACCTACTTTAGATGTATAAGAGACTAGTGTAATCTAAATTATTGAAAAGAGTAGAATACCTGAATCAAATGATCCTATAGTTACTTTATTAAATGAATAAAGAGAAATGATGATGTTTGTTTATAATAAATGTACTCATTTTTGTAATAAATATGATGATTGGATAGAAATGGTATATATATATTTAATATTTTGTATATTAGAAATTAAAATAAGGATTTCCAGATATTGATGCTATTATTGAGAATTTGTTATTGAGAAAAGATTTAAGTGGAATAGATCTTGAGGTATATGAAGGATATAAAGAATTAGAAAAAATAAACGATGATTATCATGATCTTTTAGAATTAAATAAAATTAAAATTAGAAAAGAATAAAACAAATTAGAAATGCCTCCTTTTGTTGAATCTCATGAATTATTAAGAAAAGTATGGACAGAAAAATGGGAAGCTCATGTTAAGAATTCTCTAGATTTCTCATAATCAATCTTAATTCCTCATAATACTTATGAATCTAAATTAGATTAAGTATTAGCTGATTATAAAAAGCATGATATATAAGATTTGATTGAATAATGTATTAAAATATAATTTAAATAAATCTAGCAAATCAAGCTCTTAAAGAGAAATTAGGAGGAGATTAACCAGTTTAATATTATGATAGAAAAGATAAAGATATAAATTTAGTCAAATAAATATAAATTTTAGGAGATGTAATGCATTAAATTCCAACTCATGAAGAAGAATTAAAAGAATTATAAAAGAAAGCTGAATAATTTGATAAATTATAAATTGATGATAAAACATAGATATATAAAAGTGAAGAAGGTAGAATTTTATTAACTGAACTTCCTAAAGTATTACATTTAAATAATAAAGATCCAAAATAAGTATTTATTAATCATAATCTAGTATAATTTATTATTTTGGGCTGAACACTTTAATATTGAACCTTAAAAATTGAGAAATATCTTCAACTTTATACATTACCCAATCCTAGATTAATAAAATATGGAAGAAAAGTAAAAGATTTTAAAATTTATATATTAATGAATAAGACAACACATAAATTCAACGTTTATATTTTGAAATTTCTCTTAAAAATAATTCTCTCAATCTTGGAATTTGTAACTCTCCTTCTTATTCAAAATCTAAGATAATTGGCCCTATTCATCAAAATTTTATTAATACCTGGAGCAACTACTTCCTTCTTTTTATCCCTTACCTTTTATAGCATAGGATGCTCAATAGCTTGATCAAGAGTAATTCTCAACTTTGGACTAAATTATAAACATTTATCAAGAAAATCCAATGCTTCAGGAGGAGCACCAGGGAAGATATCAGCAAATGCCACTTTAGGTTTCTTGGGAAAACTTTTTAAATATTCTATAGCTTTTTTGTCAGTTACAAAGTCCATATCCCTATATATTATATAAATTAAATTTAACTTTTCTCCTGGAGTTCCCAAAACAGAAAAAATGACTGTTAATTAATCAGTATTAGAATATGGAAATCCACCTTTTTTGGCAATTGCACTTCTTTCTGGACTCAAAGGAAAACAACTTGTTCCTGGAAATAGAGGTGCTCTATCTAAAAATGTAGGCGCATTCTCTTTCATCATATTTAATAATTCTGCAAAGATACAACCTACCGACCAAACATCTATGGCTGCAGTATAATCTTTCTCTAATAAAATCACTTCAGGGGCTCTGTACCAACGAGTAACAACATGACCTGTTAATTCTCTTTTAACTGCTTTAGCATTTAATTTGTTTTATTTTTAAAGCATCCTTGGACCTTTTTTATCATCCTTCTTTTTTGGTTCCTCTTATTATCTAGTTATTTCTTCTTCTAATGTTTGATCAGATGCATCAATCCCTAGTATGATATTTTTTTGTACCTTACACACTTCTAGCCAATCCAAAATCACATATTTTAACAGTACAATCTTCATTCAAAAGCACATTAGCTGGTTTCAGATCTCTATGTAATACTTTAGCTGAATGCAAATATTTAAGACCAACAATTATATTGTAAATTATAGTTTATATATGTAAAAACTACAAGTGTATTGGTGATTTGAATAATTTTTTTAAGTCACTCTTTTTTAAAATATAAAAATTTACTTATGCATATTCCATTACAACATAAATAGTGTCAAATTTAGGATCAGTAGGCTCTAAAATCTCAATAATCTAAATTAGGTTTTGATGTTTTAATTCTCTTAGAATACTGATTTCTCTTAGAATTCTTTTACAATCAATCTCATCATCAAATATTCCAGTCAATCTTAATTATAATAATTTTAAAAACCTTTTAATTGCCACTTTCTTGTTTGTAGATTTCTGTAAGGCTTCTACAACTTGACCATAAGATCCAGAACCTATTTGTTTTATAATTTCATAATCATCTCCAACTTACCAATCTGAAAAATTTTTGGGAAGAGAAGATAATTTCTATAGTTTCTGACCTTCTTACATTACTCGAGTTTTTAAAAAATAAAATAATTTAATGTTTCATAGCATAGAAATTATGTAATTTAATAACTTAATTAAAGATTTATATAAATGATTATACTTAATTATTTATTACATTTTTTACATCTATCATCTTTATTAAATAAATATACATTAATAAAGAACTGTTTAACTTGTTTCTTATTTTTTTTAATTAAATCAATTAAGTAATTTTAATTATGTTAAGTGACCAATAAATTTTATAAATAGTCTTGGCAGCTGACAGTGTAATATTACACTTTTAATTTTACATTACAAATGAGATATTATACTTAATAATAGGTTTATCATCAGCACTTTTTCATGCGATAATATTTATAATTGAACAAATGACAAGAAATTAGCTATTAAAGATGTTACTCAATATACTTAAACTAGCACAAATAGTTATAGTTTCCTAAATGTTTTATTAAACTTGGATGATTTATGTAGGAATTCAAATAGTTTGCATAATAAAATTGAACTAAAAACTAACAAGAATAATGATATTCACTTTATTTTGTATTCATTCAGCATCTCTTACTTTTTCAAATATGAATTATTTAGCAACAGGAATAGTGAGAAATTGTTTATGTTACATTTTGCTTTTAAGTTTATTTAAAAAACAAAATTATACAATCGATTAAATAGAAGAGATAATAAAGTAATTAAGTTCAGACATATTTATTTTTCTTGATAATAATTTTAATCCAGAAAATGAATTAGAGAATTTTCAGATCATCATGAATGATTATGTTTTGAGAGGTGGAGATGATAGAAGTGATCGAATTATAACAAATAGGGAATAAAATACAATTACTATTCAGCCAAAATTGATTGATGAGAAGAATACTTTTGAATTCAAGACAATTTTTAATCATTTAAAAAACACTAAAGATAATTGGTAAGATTAAATTTACGAAACATAATCTGATTATTTTATAATAGTTAAGAAAGTATTTTATAATTAAAACATCCATTAATCCAATTTTATTAAATGTTTTACAACATAGTAAGATTATTTTTTTATTATTCAAAAAAAGTAAAAACCAATTTCACTAAAGAAATAACCTTAAGAGGATAATACAAAAGAAAATATGAAAATTTTAAGTAAAGTTTCACATGATATGAGAACTCCTTTAAATGCAATAATAAATATGCAGTTATGCTTAAAAGATTAGATTGATGAAACTCTAACTCAGAGATATTTAAAACCTTCTCTTAATTCTTGTAGATTACTTTTGAATTTAGTAAATGACATATTAGATTAAGCTTAACTTTAAAATAGGAAGATACGTTTAGTATTCAAAAAATTTAATTTGAAAAAATTAATCAATAAAACAATATCAATTTTTGATATTTAGAAAGAGAAAAAAGAATTAACCATTTTATTCAATTATGAAGTTAATGTACCTGAGTTTATTAATAGTGATAAAAATAGAATTAGATAAGTTATTATGAATCTACTTAGTAATGCTGTAAAGTATTCTATGGCAAAAGGGAAAATTGTGATAACTTGTGAATTTATGATTAAATCCTAAACTTTTAAAATCTCGGTTAGTGATACTGGTTTAGGAATAAAACCTGAGAATCTGGAAATGCTATTTTAAGAATTTGCTAGAGTTGAAGATAAGGAAAATCTAGAGAAAAATCCAAATGGAATAGGTTTAGGATTATTAATAAGTAATGAATTATCAAGACTATTATCTTCCAATAATTAAGGGATTTCTGTAGAATCATAATATTTAAAAGGAGCAACATTTTCTTTTTAAATCTTAAATCAAAAGGTCCCTGATGAAGATCTTTCTGATTCCTAAATTTCAGATGGTGCTGTATAGGAAGTAAGTAATTTACCAGAATCACATTTTTTTTAATAATATAGTTGTAGCTTCAAATCTAAAGAATTTACTATGCCAATTATTAAATAATTATCATTGGATAGTTAATAAGCTATACCTACAAATAATAATTAATCAATTAAAAAGTACAATTTGAGAATGAATTCATCAAATTTATAATCTTCAAATCGATTACTTCCATTTAATGTGGAATGTGAAAAATCTTACCAAAGAAAATCTACCAGTTAATCAAATTAAATTATTGAATAAATAAATAATTGGTTAGATTAAACTTCTAAATAACCTCCTGTCTTAATTGTAGATGATAATGAATTTAACATTATTGTCTTATAATATATTTTGGAATAATTGTATTTAACTTGTGATTCTGCTATTTCAGGATAAATAGCATTAAAAAAATGTGAGGAACGAGCTTTTAGCCAATATAAATTAATATTTTTAGATATTGAAATGCCTGAAATGGATGGTTTGGAGACAACTAAAAAACTTTTAGAATTCGATGCGACTCTTAAGATTATTGCCTGTACTGGAAATAGATAAACATAAGCATAATTAGAAACTTACAAATAGGTAGGAATGTTAGGAGCCATAGAAAAACCAGTAACCAAAACAAATTTAAAAGAGCTGCTTCTTAATCTAAATGCATAAAGAAATGATGCATAATTTACTCATTACTTTTGATAATTAGTCATTATATATAATAATAGTTATTTATAAATACAAATTATAATCAAATTTTAAAAGGCAAACCTTTACTCCTTTTTTAATTTTTTATAAGGCTCGAAAAATAGAACAAATTCTAATACTTTTATTAAAAGAAATTGTTTCTAATGTTATTTAAAACATTTTAATAAGTAATACAAGGAAGTTTATTTTATTTTTTTTCAGGATGTTTAAATTAGCATCTTTCACCATAATTACAATAACTAAATTTCTTTCTCAATTTTTACCCAATCATTGTATAATTTTTACAAATTTATGTTTTGTAATTATGAGGCACATGTATTTTTTATCTCATTTCATATTTTTCATGAGCAAATGTACACTATTATTATTATTTTTCTATATACCTATATTCCATAAGGACAATATCCTTCTATTGACCAATATTTACAGATCTAAAATTTATAATAATTTATTTATACTTCTGTCTTCACTTTTACAATATAAGGGATTTAATTTTTGTTCTTATTTACAATTTTTAATTTATTTTCACTTTCAATTTAATCACTATATTATTATAAGTAAATGTTTTACAAACTCTAACCAGATGAGAGATTTTCATTTTCATCTTAGGTAGAAATACAACTGCACAATTGCATTATAATTAGTAATATCTTAAAAATAATATTATTAATCTTATGTTTAATTGATTAATATAAAAATATGAATGAATTAGCATATAATCTATTTATGTATTAATGATTTTCAAAGAAAAATAATAAAATTATAAAGAAAATACAAAAAAAGAAAATTCCTTTATTACAAGTTCAATTTATTCAATTATAACTTTAGTATTCAATTAATAAAATTTTTCAAATTTAAGAATGTTTTTTACAAATTAATAGACTTGGCAACCTTCTAAAAATTAGTGATTCAATGATGATGTAATTCAATCGAATTTGCATGTTAAAAGTTATAATTAATAGTAATTATTTAATATTTATTTTATATTAACTGATATTAAAATAAAAACGGGTTATTTCAAAAACCGAAATAAGTTTTAATTATTTTTATGAACAAAATTTTATTATCCTTACTTCTTGTTAGTGTTTGTCTCTGTTAAGAGGGTACAAAATATCATGTATTAAAGAAACTCTAATTTAACTTGAAAATGGAGTAAGTTTAACCAATCTAAACAAACTAATGACTATGGATTTTAACAAATTGAATTGCTAAGCAAATTTATTGTAGATGACTCACTAATTAAAAATGTGGGCTGAACTATATTAGGATGAGAAAGTTATACATCATGAAATTAGACTATTGAGTACAGCTCATAAAATACTTAACTAACAGAAGTTTAACAGATTGAGAAATACAAGTAAAATGAAATTTTAATGATAGACACTGTCTAAAGAGCTAAAAGAGTACTTGCTGCTTTGAGACACAACACACATAAGAAATAACACACTATATATTAGTAATGGAGAGTAAATGAAATCGATTAATTGAAACATTCAATTTAATTGTTATAAACATCAACAAGTAAGAATATATATGAAATTTATAGCTGAGGATGAAAGCAAATAATGTTGTGATAGAATTGAATAATTAATCAATAAATTTTTAGATGAAAGAAAACATATCGCTAAATAATGTGGAAATGCTGATGTATATATTATTTATTTAATTAGGTAACCATAAATATTATTAATGATGCAGAAGGCAAAATTTAAATTATTAATAAAAAATGTCATGAAAAAGACCCTGATGTAAAAATTAATAGAGTTGATTCAATTGATAAAGTTATAGTTGGATAATCATAATAATAGAAGAAGGAAGAACAAATTGTTGTTACTGAATAAAGATAAGAATAAGTTGTTGAAGAACATCATGAATCACAAGTTGTTGAAGAACATCATGAATCATAGGTCGTTGAAGAACATCATGAATCATAGGTTGTTGAAGAACATCATGAATAAACTGAAACAGTGACAGAAGAAACAGTTGAAGAAGAAGTAGAAGTAGAGGAAACTGTAATTGAAGAAACAGTCACAAAAACAACTTCATCTAAAATTGTGGAAATACCAGATGATGATGATGATGTTGTAGAAGGAGAATTAGTTTCGGCTTAAGGAGTAGGAGCAAGTGGAGAAGGAGGTAGAACATGATTATGTTATTATTAACAATAAATATAAATTTTTATTAATGAAGAATCTTTATAATTTAATTAATATTGAATATGTCATTAGAAGAGAAATAACAATTTTTGGTTGAGGAAATCATTAATAAAGCATATGATAGTGAAGATTTTACAAAATATATGGATAGAAAGAAAGAAAATGGTGGATAAGATTTAGACATCTGGTAGATGGATGAATTAAGATAAGCAGTCTATGATTATCAAAAAATGAAGAATGCTATGATGTAAATTGTTGATGATGATATTGGATTTAAAAAGAAAATTGATTGTTAAAAACTAATTGGTACAGAAATAGGAAACACAAATAATGTATTAATTTCAATTGAAAAGTATATCATTAATTAATACTAGCTTTGATAAAAAGGATACAGGATTCTTTAGTCTTAGTAAATCATATGTAAACTATAAAATTGTTACATAACCATTTTAATGGGCAGTCACTAGAAGATATTCAGATTTTGAATGGTTAAGAGAAATCTTAACAAAATAATACCCTGGAGTATTTGTACCTCCTATTGCTAATAAAACTCCAACTAGATAATTTAGTGATGCTTATTTAATTAAAAGAATGAAATTCTTAGAAGTAATTTATTAAATTCCTATGTTTTTAGAAATTCTTAAATCATATACTTAATTCAACTATTCTCAAGAATGATAAATACTTTTGTGAATTCTTAAGAATGCAAGATGAAAAAGAATTTAAATCACTTTAAACTGCCTCAGAGAAAGTCTAAAAAACCACTAAATTAGATAAAGTAACAAGCGAGACAGGATCAATTGAAGTAGCTTTCAATCCTTAAACAGATAATTATATTAGAGCTGCTGGTAATTTAATGACAAGTTTAAATTTAGATTTTGATATGTAAAATATATCTTTATAATTAGAATTATGAAACAATCTAAAAAAATGTTATAAGATTTTGAAGTAGTATCAGCAACAATGTTTTAAATGGGTGAATCTTTTGAAATGCTAACTAATCATATTAATTAATTTAATTAAGCTGTTTAAGAGCCAGAAAAGATTTTGAAGTTTGAAGCAGTTACAATTACATTAAATAATATGATGATGATATGGGGTAGAAACTTTTAGAATTATGTTAATTATATTTAAGATAACTTTAGAAATTTCTTTAAATATCATGACAAAGAGATTTCTTAATTAAAAGAACATTTATTATTAAGATAATAAAGTTAATCTGAATATCTTAAATATAAGGAACGTTTGGATTTAAAAAAAGAAAAGTTTTATTAATTAAAAGAGTTTAATAAATGGGAAGTATCAAAGGAAATCTTAGATGAATTAAAACTTAATATTGATAATAAGAAATTTTGTTTGAGTGTTATGTTACCTAAAGAAACATCATAATAAAATGATTTAAGAGATACATATGCTTATTATAATTTATCTGCATATAATGAAATTAAAAGAGTATTTGAATAGAATATTGATATTTATGCAAAGCATTTCATTAAATTTGCTGATAGTTAAGCAAACAATCTGACTTAGGTTAATTGTTATTTTATAAATTTAGATGCATGTCACATGGGCTGATATATAAGGCAATTTAAAAGGCTTAGACTTAATTACGTAACAAGATTAAAAAGTCTAAATTATGCAGTAACCAAAACCAAAGGTTTGAAAATTTATAAGCTTTTAATAATTAATAAAAAAAATTATATTATTATCATGAAATAAGACAATTAATTTAATGAAAAAGAAACTTATTCTATTTCTACTACCTTCTCCTCAAATTAATCAAAAGGTTAAAATAAAGAACATAATTCAGAATAAAGTAAAATAGTTAAATATGCACCTCAATAATTAATACTTTGCATATTTAAAAAAACTACTAATCAAGAAGAAGAATAAGATTAAAGTTTTATGGAATAGGATAATATACATCTTATTGAATATATTTTAGATCATTAGCACTATTTAATTGATGGAGGAAAAAAGTTGTATATTACATTAAGAGAAGAATATGAGGACAATCCTTAATAATAAAATTAGAATCCACCTATTTTTTAGATATTAAATAAAATAATTGAAAAAATGTAGAATGGTTAAAATACTACTTTTATTTTTTAAAATTGCTGTATTTCAGGAATTCATCTCTTATAGAATTTAAACAAAATATAAGAAGAAATTTATTAATAAAAAATAGAATAATAATAATATGATAAATACAAATTTTTAAATGAAAATAATAAAATAACACTTATCAATATTATTTCAATTAATAGCTAAAATACTGAATTTCTATAAAAATAATTTAGTAAAATATTGTAAAGTTTTACATTTATCATTAATCCTAATAAAAATTTTGATTTTTCAGATATATTTATGGATTTAAATGATTAACAAAAAGGATTAGTTATATAAAATTAGTATTTTTTACCAATAAAATTTAAAAACCAAGAATAAAATATAAAAGTAACATCAGAGATAGAGAATTTATATAAATATTTCTTAAAAGTTAAAATCAAATAATTTAAGCCAAAAATAATTATATTAGGACTAGAAATTGATAATTCTTTTGAAATAGACTCTTATTATCTGTAGAAAATTATCTATCAATTAAATAAGATTTCATAAAATTAATTGATAATTTTACCCATAAGAAAAAGTACAAATTAAGAATAATATTGGTAAACATTAGTTTAATGTATTAATGCAATCAATACTTATAATAAAACAAAAAAGAATCACATCTAAGATAATAATAGAATGAGGGCACAAAATTAGCTTGCTTACATCGAATACATGAGTAAAACTAATAAAGAAAAAGAATTCTATAAAAAATAATTTAAAAGTTTGAATTTACTACAAAAATTTGAAGAATCAACTGAAAAAAAACAAAATAACTAAGAAATATTTAAATTTCCTATAATAAATTCAAAAAATGTGATAGAGTATGTGATTTTGGAAAATTCTGAAAATGGATAATAAATTTATATTGATTCTGAAACAAAATATTATGTTTCCTATTTTCAAGAAAATACTGAAAATAAGTTAACAATATCTGTAATTAAAAATTAATCACTATATTTGGGTGAAATCAATTTACAAGAAATAGAAATAAAAAATGTAAATTAAAAAAAAATAATTTTGGAAGAGATAGTTATTTTTTAGGATAATCCAAATTCATCTTTTCTTTTAGATTAGTAAAAGTTTTATTAAATTACTTTAGACATTAATAAAATGAATTAATTTGTTGGAACTGTCATTATATATAATTTTTAATAAAATCAAAATAAAATTGATAAATTTTCAGTATAAAATAATACTGAAATTTAAGGTCATATAAAAGGTTTTACAATTATTAAACACTCAGATACATCATTCTCACTATTAAGTGGATGTATGGATGGAGAACTTTATTAATAAATAGGTATAAAATTAGATCTTGTTGAATAGAATTCACTTAAAATTAATTAATATTAGAAATAAAACAACAAATTACCTAAAGGTTATGATTATCCTTTAATTGTAAAATTTGAACCTAATAATTAATAAACAAATAATTCAAATAAATATTTATATTTTGAATCATAAACAAAATATTAGGTTCAACCTTTCTCACCAGAAATACATTAAATAATCTTTTCATATAATTAATAAAATATAACTTGCAAAAGTGAAATACTTACAAATATTACTAATATTCAACTATTTAAAAAATATTCAAAACTTTTTAGATCTGATAAAATAAATTTAAAATATTCGAAATGTACTTCTAATATAATTGTAATTGATTTATTAGTTTTTGAGAAATCATTTGAAAGAAATTATTTAAAAGATTTTAATGATAATAATAAAGATATTGTGCTGTCGAAATAACCATTATAGAATTATTTGCATTTTTAATGTTGTTATTAGATAAAATCTTTCTAAACTTAATTAAAGTTTAATTTAAATATCAATTCAATCCTTTTAAAAACTAATAATGAAACTTTAAATTAAAGATGTCTATATAACAATGTAAAATAATATTTATTATTTTTAGTGGCTTGAGGATTAAAATTTTTAGCATATCTTTTTATTTAATACATCATAGCATATTTATTTATTATATTATTTAAAAGATAAATCAGGATAATATTATAAAAAGAAATTTACATTTTATTGTGATGAAAATCCAAAAGATTTTATTCCTTATGATGAAATTATGATAAATGATTTTTATAATAATGTAATATGGATTGTAAGATAATATTATGATAGAAATTATCCATATCTAGTCATTTATAACTGGTAATACAAATTATAAATAATTTAGTCATTGGATGAGACTTTAAGGTATCAAAGATGATGATGTAAATATATTGGTAAAAGTAAAGATAGATATAATTTTTGAATTAAATATAAATTCACAATAATTCAATTTAATTGGTCTTGAAGTACGAAAAACCGATAATGTAATATATATAATTAAAATTAAGATGCTCTTAATTTGCTCCTCGACATTTATTTGCCAAATTCCAATTTAAAAAATCAGAAATTACATTTGCAATCAAAAATAAATATAAAAATAGATGATAGAAGAAAACTCTTTATATTAAATCTTTTATACTTAATTACCTATTTGTCATAACTCTCAAACTATACTAATGAATTTGAATGATACTACAATAGCTTTTTTTTATTAATATTGCACAATTAATTGTTTAGATGAATAGTAAGGCTTTTATCAAATTGAAATAAAAGCTTAGATATGGTCTTAAAAAAAGTAATTAGATCAAAATATAGAAAACTGTTTGATTTTAAGTAATAGTAATGACAATATGAATTATTATAATTAAGATGAGATCCAAGATGATAAAGCTTTAATTAAATAATCATTTAATTATGAAGCAGAAAATACCTTAATTCTTGCAAAATTAATTTCAATAGAATTTAAAGGTTAATTTTTCCAATATTTGATTTTTTTTGAGTAAGAGTTTAGCCAATTTTAAGTTATAGAATATTATTTTACTTCGAAATGTAATTCAATTATTAAAAAGAGAATTATCGATCTATAATAATCATAAGGTACAATTCAATTCTTAAAGAGTATGTCTACAAATAAATACGAAACATTAATTTTATATGAAAATTCAACTTAACTGATTCAATCAGAATGTACCCAAGATATATTTTTAAATGAGGAAACTGAATAAGACTTCGGATAATAGAAAGTTCACAATTATTTTGATAAGTAAGAGTATTTATTAAATTGAAATATACTTAAATCTATTATTCTCAATATATGTATTTATTAAATTAAATTAAAAATAAGTAGAAATTAATTTTCAGAATTGACTCAATAACTAAACTTCTAATTGCAAACAAAAATCACTTATAATTTATGAATATATTAATTATTTATATATATAATTGAATTCGAATAGAATTCAAATCAATCACAATCCTGTAATTATTAAATTAAAAATATACTAATACTAATAGGCCTTTTATTAAATCTATTCTTAGTAAAATACGTTGATATTTATTAAATTTATCAATTTACATCAAATAAAATGATAATGATTAATTTATGTTTAAAAAATCATGACTTTATCAATTTTTAATTTAATCTTCATTTTAAATAATTTTTAATATAATAATAAATCATTAATCAATTTGCACTAAATATCTCATTTTTACTCTACTTTCATCGTAGACTATATATTCAGTATTTTGGGTGTAGAAACTTAAATTTTTATTCATTTATTATAATTGAAGTGGGATTGTATTAGAAATAATTTATCCTATTGGAACGACGCATCCATTAGGCATTTTTATTTATGACATTGGATCAGGACCTTTTGAACCAACAGCTTTAAGAGTATATTCAGGCTCTAATAAATTTAATTAATTTTGTACTTTAATATTGAAGACAATTAGAATGTGGATCATTATATGAGTCAATTTAATTCATACAACTTACTTCACATAATAATAAATATCGATATCGTTAATACTAATTAGTATTACATTAATTTCCATAATAAGAATTATATCCAAATCTATTATTGATTGTATAATCTTAAGTATAATTATAACTCTTTGAAAATTGATCTGCAAAATAAATCCCTTTACCAAACATTGCTCCTGTATTTACTGCCCATGATGGTGCAACTATAATTTTATAAATATCAATTACTTTTTAATCCTAAAGCAAGTAAACTCATAAAATTTGAAATTTTAGATCCATGCCATAAAAGAATTCTAGGTCCTTGATTAAATTTTTCAAATTTCTATGCTTCTCCTTTTCTTTCAATAGCAAAGATATTTGCAATTCTAACACATTAAGTTCTATAAATATAAGTTTATATCATTTTAAATTCTAAATCCTATTAATTTAATGTAAGCATTTTAATATTTAATGCATTAAAACAATAAGTTATTGGATGAATAGTATTTAAATTGAAATTTGCTCCAAGTAATATTTTAATAGATTATTCAACATTTAATAATAATTCTAATAGTTGTAATTATGTATTGATTATTTCTTATGTCTCTAATAATGGTAATAAATTTTATCTCATTTAAGTTTATGGTATTATTTCATAATATCTTGCAGATTTATCATTAATTTCTGAATAAAATTATTATAATCTCTTTAAATCAACATCTAACTAATTCTTATATAGATTAAGTTCTAAAACAATTTCTTTCAGTTCTAATAATATTTCTTTTGCTTTTAGAATTGTATTTTTGTCTAATTTTTCAATTGGCACAAATCCTGTATCAAATGAATGATTTTATAATTCTTATTAATATAATTTAACTTAAGAGAATTATTCAATAACTTAAAAAATACTAGGATCTAATTTACATTTAGGATATAATGAAGACTCACTTAAATCAAAAGGTTCTAAAAGAGATTTATAGTTTTTATTATTTTAACATTTAATAAGTTAATATTTATCTGGTTTTTTATCAAATTCTTCTTCTCCAGACTTTATTAATTTCCAATTATTGCCACCTGTTTTTGCAGCAAATATTTTACAGTATTCTTTAATTGTACTTTCTAAATCTTCAAATGGAGTCATTTAGAATTATCCATCTTCACCTATTTAACCCCATTTTGTAAATAAAATATAATTATTTCTATTTTTATCAAATAATATTTGCATCTTATAAAATACATTTTTATGAAAATTCCTATTAACAATATCAACTTTAGAGAGTAAACATTACCATAGACCATAATCTGGATCATCATAAACTCTTAAATCTCCTTTTGCAATTTTAGCTTATTTATCAACAATTTACTTATTATCAATTTCAGCTTCGATTTGAATACTTTTTTTATCTAAGAATTTTAATGCATCCTCTTCAAAATCAACTTCATGATCTGGCCATAATGCAGTAGCAATTACAGAAGTAGCCATTCTTTATTATCTCAAGCTTCTAGTATGATGAGCATTATTAGCTAAAAGTTCTTCCTTCATAACTTAAGCATCAAATATTAATGCATAATCTAATGGAGTCAATCCATTATTATCTGTTAAGTTATAATCAAATATTTTCATTAAAATTTTCAACATTTCTAAATTTTCATAAGAACCAAAATCTAAAGGTAAAACAACATGATGAATAGGAGTTTTTCCATCTTAATCACGTAATGAAAGTGAAATATTAAATGTAGGCTAATTTATTAAAAATTTGACAAATTCTAAATTATTATTTTTAATAGCAATATTTAATGCTGTTAAACCTTATTCATTTTATTCATTAATATCAATTCCATAATTCACATATTTTTAAAGAGTCCAACAATCATATATTTTTAAGTGATCAACTAAATACATGAATGGTTTAATATATTTATTAGTATTCAAAATTTTGAATTTAACATCAGCAACTAAACCTAATTAAATCATTCTATCAAAATTATAATTCTAATTTCTTTAGAAAAGTAAAGTGAATGCATTATTTTCTGTATTATCCATCAAATTAGGATCACATTTCCTATTATATAGAAAATATTCAACTAATGAATCATTATTTTTTGATATTGCATAATGTAAAGGTAATTTTTAATATATATCTTAAACATAAGGACTTATATTTTTTTATTCAAATTATTCTATAATTTCTAATTTAAGATCTGAAGCCACTTAAGCTGAATATAATGCAAATAAGTGAAATAAATTTTATCCATTTGAATTTAATTTTGATAAGTCTTTTTCATTTTTTACTTTCATTAAAAGAGTTAAAACTAATTAAAATTAATTTGCATTTATAGCATCTTGAATTGCTTTTACAAATTCATATCCATCACTAATTAATAAATAAGCAACACCTTACCATCCAAATTTTATTGCTTAAGAAAAATAACTATATTCTCCAGTTTATAAATTATTATGTAAATGTTATGGTATATCTAAATCCTAATTAATCTTTTGTTTTAATTTTTATTATATCAATCTTTCTCTTTAAGTTATTTTATCTGCTTAACTTCTCACAAATTCAATAGGTGTTTTTTATGTTAATTTCTATTTTTCTCTTTTACGAGAATAAAACACATTCTTCTCTGAATCATCTTAGTAAGATTCCTCTATTGAAAGATCCTCATCTTCTTAATCATCATCATCATCATCGTCGGATACATCATCTATATATAATTGTTGACATTAATTTTATGTTGCAGCTATTAATGCTCTTTCATTTTCATCTTCAATAATCATTAATTTATCAATTTCTGGATCATTCTTTATTTCTTCTCTATAAATCTTCTCTTTCTCTTATATCAAATCCTATAAACTAATAATATTGATAACTTTATTAACATCTACCTTATTATCAATCAACATTGTACTAAAATTAGCATGTTAAAAGAAAGAATATGCAATTGGAGAATTCTTAAATATATCTGGATTATCAACTGCTGCTCCCATCTTTATCATATATCTACCTGAAATAGCACTTCCTCTTAAAGCTGCATAATGTAATGGAGATCTTTAATATCTATCCAAAACATTAACATCGCATTCTTTATATGCTAATAAAGAAGAAACTGATTCAAATGGATCAATCTCTTTTGTTGAAAGGGGATCATTAAATTTAGTAAATGAATAAAATAATGGAGTTCTGCCATATATATCTTTTATATCACATTTAGCTCCAAATTTTATTAATTATTATTCCATTTAAAAACTTGCATTTGCATTTGGATTACTAAAATTTATAGCATAATGAAGTGATGTTCTTCCTTTTTAATCTTAAAAGTTTGGATCCACTTTAAATTCTGATAAAAAAATCTTTACTGTTGATAATTCTGTTTTCTCTACAAATGAATTTAAAGGCACTTAATTCTAATTATTTACATCATTTAATTAACCTCCTAAACTTAATAATTTTTTTAAAAGAGAATTCCATTAAGAACTGTATTTTAAAGCTATCATCAATGTTGGAGTATCTCCATTACTATTTTTTTCTTTAAAATCTAAGCCTAAAGTTATCATATAATCTAAAAATGTATTTGATGTTTCATTATCTCTATATAATATGACTTAACCATTGTTAAAGTTTTTAAAAAAATAATGTAAAGGAGTACCAAATGAATCCATTTTAGTAAGCATCTCATTTGGGAATATTTATAATAATTCCTTTACAAAAGAGATACTAGGAAATGATTAGAAAACTAAATGGAATATATTAGTTTAATTTGAAGTTTAATTTTAATTTTAAATTCTTAATTATTTTGCTTTCATAACATTCAAATTTATATTTGATCCTTTTTAAATTAAAATCTTTAATAATTTCAATATCTAATTTTAGTAGAAATATCCATCTTCAATCCTTTTCATTTATAATTAAGTTTATTTTTAAGATGATATACCTACTTAAACTTATAATTTATCATAATAAAAATATTTTGCATATAAATGACAATCAGCCTTTTATAACCTCTATTAAATTTCAATCTAAAATTATTCTTCAGGTGATTTATAAGAATTTGAAAATCCATAATTATTATTTTAATTTTAAAAAGGTGTATTTCTCTAAATAGAAGGCTATATATTATTGATATTTCCATATAAAGAAGGTTTATTTTATGAAAATTATCCAAATAGACTATTGTTATTTCCAAATGAAAAAACATTAGTTTAAGGTTAAATTTATGAAGGTTATCCAAATAAATTTAATCCTGATTATAAAGTTTATGCTTAACCAAATCCATAAGTTTAAGTATTCATATAATTCGATTTATTTGAAGGTTGTGGACCAAATAAATTATTTTATTAAGGTATATTATTCGAAAAAACATTTTATTGTTATTATTATTAACTCTATTATTAAAATTATGGAATTTATATATTAGAATTTTAATTTTGAAATAAATTTGATGATTAATTTAATCCAATTTGATCATTAAATAAGTTTGTTAATTATTACTCTTGATTAACTATATTTTAATTATTAATCATAATAAAAGACTCTTAAGAAATTGATTCAGATAATCGTTGTTCGAATTTTTTAAGATTTTGGGTTCCTTCTTATTATTATTCTTTTTAAAACTTTTATTTGTACTCATTTACAATATCCTACCATATTTCTTCTATTGATATCTAAATATTCGATTAAAATTCTGTTTAAATTTTTTATGAAATAGAACTCATAAATATTTAAATGAGTTTTAAATGAGGTACAAATCCATTATTATCAGGTTCATTTATTAATGGTGCATTTATCTTATCTAAAATGATTTAAAATAGTTAAATTCCTTGTTCTTCATAAAAGAATTGATTTTCTATTAAAATATGTAACAAAGTTTTATCTTCTCTATTTATAATATTCACCTCAATCTAATTTTCTTATAGAAGTTCAAGACATAATTTGTAATTCTTCTTTTATAACAATAATGAAAATGGAGTTAATCCATTTTCTTTTTCTTATGAATTAATATTAGCACCATTTTTAATCAATAATTTGATCAATTTATTTTAGATTTCTGATTATTAACCGTTAATAGCATGCAACAAACTAGATCTACCATCTTTATCTTAATTATTTAAATCTGCTCCATGATCTATTAATAATTAAATGAGATCTATTAATAATTCAGAGAATGTGCAGGATAAAGCATGTTAAAGACATGTTTTACCAAATTTATCTTGTATATTGATATCAGCCTTTTTTTCTGTGATTATATATTTAATGAATTCAAATTATTCAATAGATTAATCAAACTATTTAATTAAACCTGCAACTAATGTTAAGCCATCATCATCAATACAATTTACATCTGTACTTTCATATTTCAATAATGCTTTAACAATACCAAAATGATTTTTAGCTTAAGCAACATTCAAAGGTTTTAATTTCCAAGAGTTGAATTCATTCTAATCAGCACCTGCTTCAATCAAAGTTTAAACACAATCTAAAAATCCATAAGCAGCAGCATGATGAATTGCAGTATTTTTTGATGAATCACTAATTTTAAAGTCTGCCCCATAATAAAGTAATTTTGATAAAATAGCTAAATTACCATTTCTAGCAGCCATAATTAATGGTGTTCTTCCAAATTTATCCTTAGCATTTATTCTTGCTCCTTCATCTAATAAATATTCAACTAATTCTAAATGATTATAGGCAGCAGCAAAATGCAAAGCAGTCATTCTGTTTCTTCCTGCAAAATTAATTAACAATCCATTTTCAATTAATAATTTTACACATTCAACATGACCATTTTAACTAGCTAAATGAATTGCAGAATTCCCTTCCTTATTTTTTGCTTTCAAATTAGTATTAATTAATAATCTAACATTATGGGAACGACCATATTATGATGCAAGCATTAATGGAGTAGTCAGAAATTTATCACCTTCTCTTGCATCAACACCATTAGCTAATAAATATTCTAAACAATTAGAGGTTTAAGAGACAGCAGCATAATGTATAGGTTTACTACCAATTTCATCTTAGATATTGTATTCCATAGTCTATTCCATAAAATACTTAAGGAATTATTCAGAAGGATTAATACATGCACAATGAATTGGAGTGATGAGATAGTCATTTTAAGTTTTCTTAGTAATTGATATCTTTTTTATTTAATCTAATTTGTAAGTGTTAAAATTATCATCTAAGGCATCATGATGTAAATAATTAAATCCATAACCGTCCAGATTATTTGTCAAAGAATATTTGATCAAGAATTTAGCAGATTTAATATTACCACATCTAACTGCAAAAGCAACATTATCAATTAAATGGTGATCATATTTTGATGATTTTCGATAAATAAATAATTATTCATACATTTCACAATTTGTTTCTATCTCTAATAATCTTCTACATTCTTATTTAATATCATAATTATAATTTAGATCATAAACAAATGCATTATTTCCTTCTCTATTTCCTCTGCCAAGAGCAACTTTTCTTAATTTTACTCCATAAGCTTATTTATTATTATAACCTGTATCTATTTCTTTTAATTAACAAGGTAAATCATGATAAAATTTAATTCTTTTATTCTCATTTTAAAGAAAATATGTTAATAATTTTTTATCTTATCTTGTAAATAAGATATCAAATATTGAGATATCATATTCTGGTCCCCATTTATCAAAAAAATTAGATATTTTTTATTACCCTAATAAGATATTTTCCATCAGAATTTAATTACCTGTAATTGCTGCTCTTATTATTTCTTTATTATTCATTCTTGTACTATCATATTCAATAAAATAATCTTCAGTTCCTTCATATTAAGTACTAAAACTCTTCAGATTTTTAAGATTTTCATTCATTTTTCTTCTCCTTTTTTTCCCTTTCTTTTTATCTTTTTCTTCTGTTTTTCTAGATTATCTCTATTTTTTTGGAACAGGTTCAGCTTCAGCTTCTGCAGATGAACTTTATGCACTTGACTCTTCTTCATATTAACTAAACTGAGTATCTACTTATGTCTTTTATTATGTTGATTTTCTTGCTTTTTTTTTAATTGGCTTATCATTAGACTCATCTTCATCATCAAATTTTAATTATGATTATTTGACCTACTATTTTATATCCTTTACTAAGCTTCTTTGACTTTACTTATATATCTCCATGTCTACTACATAAATGGTTTCATCTGAATCAATGATGGATATTCCTTATATATCAACCCTAAAATAAACATTAATATTCACCATTTAATTTATGAAGAAATAGTTGTTTATCCATTACATTTATACTATTACTTATTTTTTTTTTTTTTTTCAAAAGGTATCATCTCAGATACATGAATTTCTTCATCATTCTCATTCCAATCCTAAATTATTTTGTATAGTTTGTATTCTGTCTCAACTTTACACAGTATAACTTATTCTCTTTTTAAAATCTATTCTTTTTTGGCGCGGTTGCTTCTTAAATTTCTATTCATAAAATTGAATTTAAAATTAATTGACAATAAAAAATAAATGAGTTTCTGATATATTAATAATAATTTCCGAAATGATAATAATAGATCTTAAAAAATATAAGTTAAATCAAGAATACGTTATCCATATTTAACTTTTATAAATTTTAATTACTTTTTTCAAATCTTGATATATAATTAGAAAATAAATTAAGATAATGTATTTATGAACCCTTACAAAATTTATTTTCACAATGCTTGTTAGATGATTTCATCAATCGTTTTATCTATTGTTCTAATATGAATTATGAAAGATGCTGCTTTAGCAACTATATTTAAGTCTGGATCAAGAGCTTTTGCTAAACCTTCTAATACAATCATGTTAGTCAATAGAGCTGCAAAATGACCTTCAATTGACATTCCATTTGCTCTTAAAATTTCTAACATGGATCTCAAGACCTATCCTATATTCATTTAAGCTAAAGGTACTTTACATACATTTGTAAATAAATCTTACATTTCTTTCATAAATTTATCTTATACTTTTTTTTCGATTTATCTTTAATTATATTATGCTAATTGTAACATTAATTTTCCACATTCATAAGGTTTTCTCAAAGTTACAAACATTACTAATTTAATAAATGATGCACGATCATTTTTATTTAATATTGTTATCATTCCAGGATCTAAAAAAATAATTTAAACATCCTTTCTTGCTTATCCTTAACCTCTTAAAAATTTATGAAATAACCTTTCATCTGACTTTTTTTCTTATTTTAATTTTAACATCTATAAAAATAATTAAATAATAAATACATTTCCTTAATCCATTGTCTATTATGTTTGATATTCTGCTATTTTTGTTAGCCCTTTCTCTATTATGTCATCAACAATCTCATAAACTGTATCTTAAAGATACCATAATTTTTATTATATTTTTTCATTAAATGTTTTAGGAACAGGAAAATCTTTTATTCTTATCATTATATTGCCTGCATGACAATCTGCATGTATAAAATTATCATAAATTAACATTTTATAAAATGCTTTCAAACCTAAATTGGCTAAAGCTAGGTGCTCTTCTGTTCTTTCATACTTTAAGAATTATGTTAATGGTATAGCATCTTCATAAGTTTCTGTTAAAATATCTGCTGATATATATTCTTCAATAGGTTTTGGAAATACAACATGAGGATTATTTTTAAACTTTTCACAAAATACCTTAAGGTTTCTACCTTCAAATCTTAAATCAGTTTAATTTACAAGAGTTTTCTAAAATTCTTCAAATGTAACAGGCATCCCTAATTATTTAATTTTTAAAGTTTCACTAAAAAAATTTGCAATTTTATATAATATTCTTATATCCATCACTAAATTATCTATAATATCTGGATGCCTAACTTTAATAGCAACATATTCTCCATTCAATTTAGCTTTATGAACTTAAGCAATTGAAGCTGAAGCTATTGGTTTTTCTTCAAATTCATCAAAAACATCATTGATTTTCTTATTAAAAGCTTATTCAAATTATTTGTAAGTCTTATCTAAAGAATGTGGAGGAGTATCATCTCTTAATGATTCTAATGCCTTAATAATTTCTTCTCCAAAAATATCTCCTCTATGACTGGCCCATTGTCCTAATTTTATCCATAATGGACCAGCTGATTAAAGTGTGTAAACTAAGTATTTAAGCCAATATGGAAACAAATAAGACTTGAATATTAAGGAAAATGGCAAAGTAATAGCCAAAGGTAAAAATTTTATTAGCAAATGCATAAATCTGATTTTTCTTCTTAAATTTTAGATCATTCTCTAAAATAAAGAGAGTTATTTATTATTTTTCTCTCCAAAGTATTCTTATGTTAGAGCCTTGATTAAATATTTGAATTACTTCAGTGTCAGGAATCTAATTGTACATAGAGGAAAAATGCATTTACTGATATCTTTCTCTACCTTATCTATATAAAATATATGAGAATCCAACACCAAAAGTTAATCCTATTTTTGTTTTGGTAAAAAATGGCTATGATTTATTCAAATTTGTAAATGGATATTTAAGAATTTTTTACATATAAATTTATTTAACAATCATTTAGTTAATTCAGAAACTGATTTCATATTGATATATTATTCCAATTTGCCTATTTAATTATCAAGTCTCTAAATATATAGTTATTTATCTTCATTCATATAAATGTGATGTTCTAAAATAAACCATCCACATTATTATAAAATTTAAGATAAATAGTATTGACCAGCAACTTTGAATTCTTTATTATATTTTTGTTATTTTTTCTTCTTGTCTTGCTACCAAAATATAAAACTATTATTTATACCTTCATTTATGTTATTACTGGTCTTATCCAATATTCTTCAGTTATATTAAGTAATATACAATGTTATTCAATTGATTCTTCATTATATAGATCTATTTTAACAAATTATGGTATATCATTTGTACCAATCAACGAAAAATTTATTGGAATCTTATAATTATTTGAATCATAAAATATTTTGTTTGTTCCACCAAAATTCAATTCTCTCAATAAAATAGAATTTTATTTAAATAATTCATCATCATCTTCATCAAATGGTTTTGAAAATGTTTGTAAAGTGAATGATTCTAACAATTTTTCATAGAAATAGATTTTATCTTCATTTCTAAGTAAATTATCAAAACTGATTCCATATCTTTATTTTAAGAATTCATTTGTAATCTCAAATGATCCATCAGCATTAATTTATTTATTTTAAGGAGCATAAGTTAAATAGCAATTTTATAATTTCACCATACATTTTCCTTCTTCTAATAAGATTGCTTAAATCTAAGATTTGTTTTCATTAAATTAAATAGAAATTTATTAAATTTAAATAGTTTTATTAATTTTAATTTATTGAGTGGAATGTATATTCTATTAATTAAGAAATTATTCAATATATTTGATTTGTTGATTAATTAGAAATATTAGTTTTTATTTATCTAAAATTTAAACACTTGGTAAATAATAAGTATTATGAATTGAATTTTTAGAAGATTCTAATATTTATATTTATTATGAATTTATTTTTGACAGATATTATAATATTTCTTCTTTTTCTTACATTTCATATTCATCTAAATTTTCTTATTTAAAATATAATTAAAATGTAGCTTCATCATATCTTATATCTAATTATAAAATAAAATCTGATTAAGTATAAATTGTAATTCGAAACCATTTTAATCCTATATTGTGAATCCACCATTAACAATTATCATTAAGAAAATTGATTTATTATTCTAATAATAAACCTTGAGGTTATGGCCATATAGCAATTTTAGTTTCATTTTACTCGGTTACAATTTAAACAAATGGTATAATCAAATATTATATAAATGTTTTAAAATTATTCAAATATTTTATTGGATAAGGTAATGTATGAATATATTGAGTATATTATAAAAAGTCTTACAATTAAGAAATTTCAATAAATTCATTTAATATTTTATCATTTATTTTTGCTGATAATTTCAATGTTTATTATAATTATTAAACTTCAATTTATATATTTTCTTATTTAAATATAAAAGAGACATTCTAAAGTAAGGGAATATAGATCATCTATCCAGTAGAATTATCTGTAAAATAAAAGTATTAATGATCATCAATACTATTATTATAAGTAGTATAATTCTTTTCATGATGAAATGTTTTATTCATTTATAATTTTAGTTATTAATTTTGTTCATTTAAATGTTTAATTTATTCTAAATGTCTAAAATGCTATTCTTTTGCTTCTTTAATATGTATTTATTCATTATCAATAATTTTAATTTTTAATTAATTTATTTCTTCTTATAATAATTTAATCTATTATTTCCATTCATAACCTTATTTTTCAAAACTTTATTTTTCTTTTTCTATTTTATTAATTTCATTTTATAAATGTATATATTTTTAATCTAAATCAATTTTACTACTAGAAACCTAATCTTCTTATTATTTTTTTTAGAAATGTAATTATACTTATTATTCAACTTTGTTTGTAATAATTTTTTCCAAATTTTAAATAGATGTCATTTTAAATGATTTTCTTTTCTTTTTTGTTTCAATTGTTGTTTCTTAATCATCTTCTATTTTACTAATTCTTTTTATTCTATAGAACTTTCCTTTATTTATAGAATCTTCATTTGCGGTTTTTAATCTTGAAAATGCTTTTTATGGAGTTTAAGATTATATTTCTTAAAATTCTACAATTCTTTGTAAATCATTTTTAAGAGAATCTAATAATCTCATTATTCTAATTATTATTTATCTTCTAAAAGCAAATTAATTATTATTTTATTCATTCTAAAATATAAAGCTTCTCTATTGTAATGCTGATTTTTATGAAGATAATCCTACTATTTATTTATATAATGGATGAGTTATTCCAACATATTTTACTAAAAGTTTTTTAGAATTTTCATAGAATATTTATGTGCTCTTAAATCTAAATTACTATATTTTGATACCCATTTTAAAGTAATTTGCTTTTTCTACGAATTTTAGCCAAATCTTCAAAAGTAGCCATTTCATAAGATTTAGCTAAAGTAATGTAACCATTTATCAATAATACAGCCTCAGATTAATTTAATTAAGAAAAGGCAAACTTTTCATAGAATTATAAAGCCAACTCAGCTTTTAAAAATGCTTTACTATGTAATCCCAGTTGGTTATAAATTTTTGCTGAATTCATAAAGATAATAAATTAAAGGGCATTTGGAAGTTATTTGAGTAATTACTATTTTACAAATCTAAAAATTGATCTGGATAAAAGCTCATTTCTAAATAAATGTGTTGATACTTATTAAATAAAGCTGCAATATTGTTGAGACAAATTGCAATAACATTTATGGAATCAGGTTAGTTACGATATTCTTATATCAATATTTCATATTAATTCAACATTTATTCCTTATCAGATAGGTGAGTTATTAGAGATAATCTATTCATAATTTATATTTATAAATAAGTGTTTAAAAGGTATAAAAATTAACATCATCAACCACAACCCAAAAATCTAAGAAGCCAATTCTTTTGTCCTTTGATTTCATCAATATCTTTGATTTATCCTTGTTTGATTGGGCTGTAGTTGTTTGTATAATCATAAGTAGATTTTCTTTTTGGCTTTCTTTCTTAAAATGTTACATGAACAAGAGAGAATACAAAATTTTAAGTCTACTCCATCTTAAGATCAATTGAATATGAAGGAAAATCAGTTTTAGGTTTTCCATTCTTCTTTGCTATATAAGCTTCATAATTTTTAGGATTTTAATCAATTGGATAATCCTTGCTTGCTTATTATAAGGCACGACTGATTGCAATCACAAGCTCAGTTTGAGAAGGTAAATCTATCACTACTTCAATTATTTATTCTTCATTAGAAATGTAGAATCTATAAGATTTTGTAAAATGATTAAATGCTTCTCTTAAAGGACTGATTAAAGATTTCTTAACTTTTTAACCTGATGTTTTTGTACTATCAGTTTGTGACATTAACTACTAAATGGAAATTGTTTTTTATTTATTAGAATTTTTAAACTGTGTTAAGATTTTATTCTAAATTGTTCTAAGTATGCCATTATAATATGAAAGTATATTAAATAATATCCATTAAAAAAAATTTATCACATTACACTTATTTTATCACTTAAAAATTCTGAACCTTTTCCTTGAACTCTTTTATTTTCTAGAATATAAATTCGATCTTATAACATTTTATTTTTCTTTTCTAATTACTCCATATTTTTCCCCATTTTTATAATTCTATCTTTTGCCTTCTAAAATACTTAATAGCTATCTTTTTAAACTAATAATTCTTTCTAAAGTTCTTGTTCTTATTTTATTTAATTAACTATATTTATTTTATTGTAATTACCTTTTTAATCACGTTGTTTATCAATTCCAAAAGTCTTATCAACAAATTATTTGAGACCTAATACTATTTAAGAATTTTAAGATTCATTCTCTAATTATGGGATGATGTTGAATAGATTCTCTTTTATAGATGCTAAAGTAACTTTTAATTAATCTGTTTCTTAATAATTCTTTTTTAATTCTTCTTTTTTGTGAATTAACGTAATTTATAATTCGTTATAAAGTTATTATTACTATTATAATTATTCTTTAAGTTATCTAATCTCATCATCTTATTCATTTAATTATTATTTACATACTTTAAGTTCTTACTCTTTGTTTATTATACTTTAATTTAATTATTATACTTATTTTTCTAATTCTTATTTAAGTTTCTTCTCTTTTTCAGTTGTCTCAATCTACATTTATATTTTACATTCTAAATTGCTAATCTATTCTTAATAATGCTTTTCTGTTTCATCATGACTCTTTTTTGTATCAAATAATAGTTCATGAAGTCTTTATAATTCATTTGTCTTTATTTCTATTTCTTGCTAAAAATCAAATAGTTTTTTTCTAAACAATTTATTTTCATCACTTCCAAAATTAAAAAATCCTTTTTTTGGTTCATTCATCTAAAGTGTTTTTACTATAGATTTACATTAAAAAAATCTAACTTTCTCTGTAATTCATTGTATTTTTCTTCTTTTTCAACTAATTCTTCACATTTCCTTTTAAAAGCTAATTCAGTTTTAGCTAATTTTTGATCAAGTAATGTTTTTTAGTTATTTAATGAATGACATTTCTCTTCAAATTCTATTCTCTTCTATTCTTCTTCTGAAGCCTTTCTTTCCTCTACTTAAATTTTAGTTTTCATCTATTAGAAAGCTGCATTAAGCTTTTTCTTATTTTCTTCTGAATTTAAATCCATTTCATATATATTCATTGTATAATTATAATCATTTCTTAGATTTCTTTTTTTTGCCTCTTATTTTCTTACCTGTATCAGGTATATTAGCTAATAAAATCCCAGGTTTTGGAAGCTGTACCTTTTGAGGATTTAAATGTCCTTAAGGTATAACAATTGATTTTTATAGGATTGAGATAGGAACAAACTTCTTTTCTGAAGCTAATCTATTTTTCAATACATTAATTTCACTAATCTAAATTTATATTACTTTGAAATACTTATTTATCTATATCTGATTTAATACTATGACTTTTGAATACAGTACTAAATTATTACGAAGGTCTAGCACTTCTGAAACAGCTCGAAGACAAAGTACGATTGTTTTAAATGCTTTCAGCTCTAGGATGATTTGATACACCCCCAGGCAACCAGCTCCCTCTTGCTTTTTTCAAGAATTCAAGTCTTTACGAATTAATTCTTTATTCCAAATAAGCATTTTTATATTAGAAATCTTCAGCCTCATCATCCACTTAAGTAGGTAAAACTGTATTTTCAATAATTTTAGTAATTGGAATGGCACTTTAAACGATTCTGCCTTTAGCAAAAGATGTTTTATTAAGATAATTTGAATAAGCTTTTTCTTCAGCAAGATCCATCTTTTTAGATTCAAAGATATCAGAAACTTTGATACCAACTTTCGAGAACTGAGATCCCATATATTATAGCTATAATTATTATACATTTTTATACATTTTCAGATTGGAGTATTATTTCATCAATTCTACTTTTATTAGCTGCCCAATCTTTCATAGATTAAATCATTTCAATATCTTCTCTTTATTCTTTAATTTCTTTTATTCTTTATTATTAATAATATTGATTAAGTCTAGCTGCAGCCATTTTATCTTCTAAATTAGTTGGATCATAATTGTGAAATGTTCCTTAAAGTTCTCCAAGCCTTTGAGTTTATCCAATCTAATAAGCTAATTCAGTATCTTTATCAGCTTTATGAGTCTTATTTTCAGGTGCAATACTAATATATTTATCTGCTCTTTCTTTCTTCTTCTTTTTTTTTGTTGGAGAAAGATCCTTTTATGATTCAATATTTTTTTATGAACTATTTACTTTATCAGGAGATTATTCTTCATCTTCATCTTATTCTTATTCTATGCCTTCTATTTTATCTAATTTATCTCTATCAGTTGGCTTGTCTGCTTTGAGAGGAGATTCCTCCCTTTGGAATTTTCTTTTAGTGCTTTATTATTATTCATCAAAAGTTTCAAAAACTGGTAAATTTGTATCATACATCCAAGAAGATTATTGCTTAATGACAGAATACTATTAATTAGTTCTTGGTCTTGATAATTTATCAACTTAATCAACCATTTTATAAGTGGTTTACGAGGTTTAAGGTCTTGTATGTTAAGAAAAGCCCATTATACCTGGAGTAGTGCCAGGTCTTGTGCTTGTATCAGACAATAAATTTTTTCTGTGATAACTTTTCACTCTATCTTCAGGTGGATCTATATCTGGATGCATTGATCTATATTTTGATTTGTAATCTTCGATTCCAGAAGCATACATACTTTCATTATAAGAAATGGGAATGTCTTATAACGTCTAGATATTATGAATATCTATATTACATAGTCTTTCTTTTCTATGAGAGATTATGTTAATTATTATTTTTACGATTTTGGTAATTAACGAAAGAACCAATTAGAGACTTTATTTAAAAATTCTAGTTACTATTACCTATTTCTAGTGCTAACAACTTCGAGTAATGAATTCTTTAATTATCTATAGAGGTTATCATACACAAAAGGGTCTTTTAATTCTATTTATTATGCTCGATGGAGTGTCACTCTTTCATTCCAAGACATTATTTATTGTTTGAGCATCTGAAAGATTTGATTATTATTTAAGTATCCGGATGTTAATCCATCTAATTCGATCTTTAAGAATTAGTTATATAATTACAATTAATAATGTAGGACGTTCGTTAAGTTTATTGATGTCTTCTATTTTATATCCTGTTCTTTAGAGACGTTCATTCAATAGTTGGTCTATTGTTAATGGAGGTTCTACAAGAGGTTTACCATTTAGATAAAGAGAACTCTCCATTTTCATTTTTTAATTTATTAATTAATATTTCTTATTGTATTTTTGTCTGATGGAAACCTTACAATACATGATATATAAAATCATTTCTGTGGTTATTACCATTAATAGTTTTGATACTGTTGATATTATGGGTACTGTGGATATTGTTGATAATCATAATATTGATATTGATAATAAGGATAGTATTATTGTTGATTTCGTTATTATTGCATCTAATATTTGTATTGTCTCAATGCTTATTCTCTTTCATCAATTACTGTAAAATCATTTAGGATACTCTTTTTATCTGCAAACTCCTCAAAGATTTTCATCATTTCTTTTCCTGTTTCCCAGTTCAAAAACACTCCATCTCTAGATCGAGTTACTTCTACATTATCACTATTAATTAATTCTAATTAATTACCTATTTTTCAAATGCTCAAAATGTTTGTTAGGTACATCCTTTACATATAGCCATTAGACATTAAAATGACCCTTCCATTTCTTGATTTCCCACCAATACTGGAAACTTTCATCCTTATATCCTGATGTTAATTTGGCAACTCCAACAAATTATCCACTTCTTACAACACTGAAAAACAAGTAAACTGTTTTTCCTTATTCTTATGCTTCCAAGAATTTAGCATTAAGTTTCTCATTATTTTCTTTACTTGATGTCCAGATACCATATTTTATTGACTAAAAATATATAATTTTTGAATCATATACCTTGTGAATATCATCATCATTATTACTACGAAGTATATAAGCATATGCCTCTGTATCTGCTAAATTTCTATTTGCTTGATTAATTTGTTTCAAAGCAGGTATTAATTTAGATGCTTATTCTAAATTAGTATAATCTTGGCATGATATATAAGGCACTTTTAAATCTCTCTTATTTCTGACATATGGTTCATAATGATTATTCATTAATTTTTAATCAAATTTAAATAATCAATAAAAAAATAAATAATCATTCACTCTTCCATTTTCATATAGATTTGTTATAGTTTTAAAATTATTCTTGATAATTAATATTATACAATATTTATGAGAAATTCCAAAAAAACACTTCTAATAGTAGGTGGTGGTTTTGCAGGCATGACAATAATTACTTAGACTTATAAACAGTTCAATATTATTTTATTAGATCAAAAATCATATTTTGAAGTAATTAAACAATATAATTAAAAGTTTGTACCATCTGTCTTCAATGCTTTCATCCATCCAGAATCCATTTTTGATCTAACCTTACAATTTAAATAGAGTAAATTTGGAGTCCTCTTTATATAAGGCAAATTAGTATTTATTATTAATATACATATATAGACTCATATTGAAGATAATATAGCATATTATGAAGGAGGCTAAATTGAATTTGATTATTGTGCTATTACAATAGGTTCTAATTACACAAATCCTATTAAGTCTACAATTCCTAAACTTTCAGATAGATTTATTGAACTTAAAAAAGCTCAACTAAAAATTATTGAATCCTAAACTATTCTAATAATTGGTGGAGGCACTGTTGGAATAGAATTAGCTTGTGAAATCAAAGCTTCTTATAAATAGAAAACAGTCGCTCTAATTACAAAAGGTAAAATATTATCAACCATGCCTAAATCTGCTTCAGAATATGCTAAAAAAAGAATGCTAAATTTAGGAATCGAAATTTAAGAAAATTATATAGGACCTTCATTAGATTCTAATTTTGATTTAGTTTTTAATTGTAAAGGGAATAATTATGAAAGTGTTCGTCTTAATAACAATTTTGAAATGTTTGATCCAAAAAAACAACTCTTAGTTGATGATTACTTAAAAATTAGAACAAATTAAAATATATATTGTGCGGGTGACATTTGCATATCTAGTTAAAATGAAACTAAAACAGCATTTGCTGCTGAAATGTAAGGAGAAATCATAGCTTACAATTTAAAACATCCAAATAAATAGATTAAATCATATTGGATACCTAACACTTATATTATATCTTTAGGTGGATGGAAAGCAGTCTTTGTATTTGAAACTTTTACTTTTGGTGGTTTTATACCTTATTTGATGAAACTCTTTATTGAAGTTGTTGTAGTCAATGATTTTAGAGGAATAATTGGATTTAATACTATTCATTAGATCATGAATTATATTGTTTATGTTATGCTCTATATCTATATGATTATGTAATTGCTATTTGCTATTGCTCCTTTGGGAAGCAAAATTAAATAAGATCAAAGAGTTGAATTAAAAAGAATTTAATAAGAAATTGAAGAATTCAAAAAACAATGATTATATATTTATATTTCTTTTTAAAAAATGTTATAATTTACATTAAAATAAAATATTAATAAATCAATAACTATTTGCAATTGACTATAAAGTGTTTAGCATGTGTTCATATTAAGATTTAAGATCTCGAGAATTTAATAAAAATTATTCACTACTAATTTTTAATTCCTCATATTTTCTTTCTAATTGTCTAAATTTTTCATCCTACTATTATAATTATTCTTATTAAGATTTTATTATTTGCTCATATCTAAATTACTAAATTGTATTCATACTTGTTCAGTATATTTGTATTTGTCTAATAAATTTAACTATTGATATTCTTTTGTTAATCTAATTCTGATGTTTACAATTCTTTTTCTTATTCATATTATTTTAATTTATATAATAGTTGTTAATTTAATTCTTAAAGTCTTTAAGTATATTTTTTATTTTCTTTTAAACAAGTCTCACATTCTTAGTATTTCTTTTCCCATTCTTTAGATTATTTTTTTATTTCTTAAAAACTCTCATTATTAAATTCACTTTTTATTGGAGTAGATGTACAATTCTATTATTTTGATAATAATTCAATTTGCTTTTACTTTTTTGCTAATTCAATTTAAAGATTTTAAATTATTATATTTTTTTCTTTTATTTCCTTCTCCATTGATTTTAATGCTTCTCTAGTACCAGATAATCGCATTTCTAATGATTTTATTTATTTTGTTGTATTTTCAATATTTTNGGGAATAATTATGAAAGTGTTCGTCTTAATAACAATTTTGAAATGTTTGATCCAAAAAAACAACTCTTAGTTGATGATTACTTAAAAATTAGAACAAATTAAAATATATATTGTGCGGGTGACATTTGCATATCTAGTTAAAATGAAACTAAAACAGCATTTGCTGCTGAAATGTAAGGAGAAATCATAGCTTACAATTTAAAACATCCAAATAAATAGATTAAATCATATTGGATACCTAACACTTATATTATATCTTTAGGTGGATGGAAAGCAGTCTTTGTATTTGAAACTTTTACTTTTGGTGGTTTTATACCTTATTTGATGAAACTCTTTATTGAAGTTGTTGTAGTCAATGATTTTAGAGGAATAATTGGATTTAATACTATTCATTAGATCATGAATTATATTGTTTATGTTATGCTCTATATCTATATGATTATGTAATTGCTATTTGCTATTGCTCCTTTGGGAAGCAAAATTAAATAAGATCAAAGAGTTGAATTAAAAAGAATTTAATAAGAAATTGAAGAATTCAAAAAACAATGATTATATATTTATATTTCTTTTTAAAAAATGTTATAATTTACATTAAAATAAAATATTAATAAATCAATAACTATTTGCAATTGACTATAAAGTGTTTAGCATGTGTTCATATTAAGATTTAAGATCTCGAGAATTTAATAAAAATTATTCACTACTAATTTTTAATTCCTCATATTTTCTTTCTAATTGTCTAAATTTTTCATCCTACTATTATAATTATTCTTATTAAGATTTTATTATTTGCTCATATCTAAATTACTAAATTGTATTCATACTTGTTCAGTATATTTGTATTTGTCTAATAAATTTAACTATTGATATTCTTTTGTTAATCTAATTCTGATGTTTACAATTCTTTTTCTTATTCATATTATTTTAATTTATATAATAGTTGTTAATTTAATTCTTAAAGTCTTTAAGTATATTTTTTATTTTCTTTTAAACAAGTCTCACATTCTTAGTATTTCTTTTCCCATTCTTTAGATTATTTTTTTATTTCTTAAAAACTCTCATTATTAAATTCACTTTTTATTGGAGTAGATGTACAATTCTATTATTTTGATAATAATTCAATTTGCTTTTACTTTTTTGCTAATTCAATTTAAAGATTTTAAATTATTATATTTTTTTCTTTTATTTCCTTCTCCATTGATTTTAATGCTTCTCTAGTACCAGATAATCGCATTTCTAATGATTTTATTTATTTTGTTGTATTTTCAATATTTTTTTGTGAATTCCTATGACTCTAAATGTCAGCTATACTGCTACTTCTTTTCTCCATGTAATTATTTATGGAGTCTTATAAATTATCAATTATTGATTCCTAATTATTTTCAAATTTATAAGGACCTGGTTTGTATGGAGATTCTAATAATCGATGAGGTTCAATCCTATTGGGTTATTCTTCCTCAGTTTCTTCATCAATTTTACCTAAAATTCCTTTTTCATTTCTAAAATTTGGATTTACATTTTCATTATCATTCTCCTCTTTTGGTCGTTTTTGACTAAATGAAAATCTTACTGCCTCCTACCTTAATAATTATTATAATTCTTGTTCTAGTATTTTATTCTCTTCTTCTATTTATTTCAAAAAAGCAGAATTCATTTAATTTTTTAAATTTATAATACATATTTCTATACTTATACCTATTCCATACATCCACTGTTAAAATTATGAAATCTCTGTTTACAATAATTAAATCATTTTTACAAGATATATAATTCTATAAATAATAAATCTTTGTTTTTTTAACTATTTAACAGTATTTTATGAATATTTTTTAATAAAAAAAATAGGAGTTTAATTAATAATTATTTAATTTTCAATATTATAAAATTCACATAAATCATATTATAACTTATTTTTTTGGCAATTTAAATATAAATGGTTCATTTACAACTTTATAATTTCTATTTACTAGACTACAATTGATAAAATTAACTCCTTCTTACTCTGTTTTTCCATATCCTTCATGAATGTGTCCAAAAAGATGATATTTCGGTTTAATTTTTAATACTCTTTTTAATAATGCTTCATCTCCAACATGTTTTTTATTTCCCCAATTATCAACCAAATCGCCATGATTCAAAGGTGGACCATGAGTAACAATTATATCACTATCTTCTTCTATTTAAGACCAAAATACTTCAGCATTTTCATTCTTTAATTAAAATGCCCAAGTACAAAACTCTAATGAATAAGGACTACCCCAAATTTTAATACCATCAATTACAATTGAAGAATTTAATAGATAAATGCAATTATCTTTTAGTTTCTATAGCAATTCTTCATCATTAAAATTTGAAACTTTATGATGATAATCCCTTAATTTTGATTTATAATTTTCTGTATCCAATGATATATCGTGATTACCTGCAATCACAACTTTATATTTAAATGGTTATTTTATCAACCATTCAATAAAAGAAAGTGTTTCTTCTTTTTAACCCCTTTTGGTAAAATCTCCACAGTGTATTAAAACATCTCCTGGAGGTAAGGGAATATTACAACAATGAGTATCACTAATACAAACAAATGTTAAGTCATTTTCCATTTAAAAGTATTTTTTTTTTGAAATAAATATTATTACAAATAAATATCGATATTATAAGTTTATGAATTTATTAAATTAAAAGAATTAATACTTATATATCATTATATCTTATTATTAATTTATTATGTAATAAAAATATTTAAGCCATTTAAACTATAAATTGGTTTTATATTGTTTCATTCATTATTTATGATTAATTTTCTTTTTTTAATGTATCATTTCTTTATATATATTTAACATATTAAAAATAGTAATATATTAAAATGATCCTCTTATTGTTTATTAAATAATGTAAATAGTAATTTAATAATAATATTAATTAAAACGAATATACAATATTAATGGAAAGAAGAGAAGATGAGGTACAATACTTTAAGTTTGAAAAAACAAATAATTAACAAGACAAAATTATTTTAACTCTATTTTCAATATTGATGAATGCCTTAATAGGAAGTTTATTCTTTTATTATTCAACTCATGAAAATAAGTATGGTACTTGAATTTACTATTCAAAGGTGGTGATTAATGTAAATATTTAAGGCCTTGTGCATTATGGTTTTCAATTTATTGTTTTTTTAGTTTATTTGCTTGGATGTAAAATGAATAATAATAATTTAATTTATATTTAGAGTACTTAATCCATATGCAATTTATTATAAACACGATTAAATTTTTGATTATGCAAACATTGTTGAAGGATCCATTAAATTAGTTTTCTTTATCGTATTTTGTGTATAAATACGAATATAATTAGATTTCATTTATAATTTCAAATCATTGTGGGTAACTAACAGTTTTAACAGCTATATACATAATCTTTAATGTTTTTGTATTCCTGATATTGTGTGGATTGACTTATTTCATAAAACCTAAAATAGAAGAATGAATTTGATAGTTAATTATATTTAATTTATGCAATAATAATCAATATCAGATTTCGATAATCTTGAACGAGAACATTAATTGATTGATTAAGTTAATTAAAAGTCAAAATCAGCAAAGTTTAAATAGTATAAATAAGGATAATATTATGGAGACATTTAAAACAATATTAGACATGGATATGGTATATTGTTTAACTAATTATTATATTTTTAGGACTAATGACATATCAAGATAGATATTATATTGGATTTTGGAAGGATGATAAAAAGCATGGGTTCGGTAAGGAAGTATTGGATAAAGGAGATTAATATGAAGGTTAGTTTGAAGATGGAAAACCTCATGGTGAAGGTACGTTGGAAACTTCTAATGGAATTTATTCAGGTTAGTGGGTTTAAGGAATAAAATAAGGTTATGGTAAATGGAGAGGAAAAAACAATGAAATTTATACAGGAGAATGGAAATTCAATAAGGCAAATGGGTATGGAAGATATGATTATTAAGACGGGGGATGGTATGAAGGTGAGTTTAAGAATTATCTTAAATATGGCAAAGGAAAAGAAAATTATGCTAATGGAGATTTTTATGACGGTGATTTTATTAATGATAAACCAGATGGATTTGGAGTATATAGATGGGCTGATGGTTCATCTTATCATGGAACATTTTGTAGTGGAGTTAGGCATGGAAAAGGTTATTGGTTAAAGAATGGAGATCCTAAAAATCATGAGAGTTATGATGGAGAATATGTTAACGATTTGAAATCAGGACAAGGTGTTTATAGATGGCCAAGTGGAAATGTATATGAAGGGGAATTCTTTAATGATCATAGACATGGATTTGGAGAAATGAGATGGGTGGATGGTTCCTTTTATAAAGGTTAATTTCACAATGGGTAAATGTGTGGAGAGGGTGAATTAAAAAGAAATAATAAACCAATTATCTATGGATATTTTGAAAATAATAAATTAGTTAAAGAATAAAAAAAGAAGTCAATACCTAAAACTATGAATTAGAGTTAAAACAATAGTTATGATGGCAAAGGAAATTATTATTCTTTGTATCAATCTTTCAATCAATTTTAAAATGCTTAACATTTATAAAAATATCATTTTAAGTCTGAATCTATAGAACCCATTATTAGATAATTTAAAAGGGATTGTAATACATCTTTTGATGAAATTAATAAAAATGAAATTTCAACCCATTAAAATAGATTTAAAATCTCCATAGATTTAGATGAACCTTAAGGAATGACTACTTAACAAAAATACAAATCATTAAATACAACAAATCGTGCTTTTTAAAATCAACAAGAGAATTTAATATCAGTTACAAATAGAACATAAGCAACTAAAAAAGTTATTATAGATAGTGTTAAATTTAAAAGAAGTCAGTTATCTTTTAGACTCTAATCATTAAACTAATCTACTAGATAAACACAAAATTCTCTTCCAAAATAAGGTGTGAACTGATTTGTAATATATATATTTTTCTAATCATTTTTTCCATAGTTATGAAATAATTGAAAAACAAATAGCTCATTACTGAAAGGTTAAGAGTTAAAATGCAAATTTTATTTAAGAATTATTTCAAGATCATATTGAAACTCCATTCTTTTAAAACTTAAATTCAAAATGTAATTGAAAAATATAGGGGGATATTCAAATTGTATAATTTTATGATAATATTTTTCAAATCATCCCTTCTTTAAATAAATGAACCTTTTGTTTATTAAATTACCAGAATTTCTTGAATGTCTTATGTAAATTTTTTCTTATTATGAACATTATTACAATTACTTTTAAACTTTTCTTTCTTTATTTTCTCGAAGTACTTTGGTTTCATTAATAACAATTATCAGATTCTATAAAAAAACATATGCATAAAGTATTTATTTTATAAACTCAAATGATGTTTAAATATATTCTTTTTAAATAACCTATATATTAAAGACTTATTTGATGTGAGTTACGAATTTTTATATAATAATACTCGATGTATATATAACATAAGTCAAAATTTTTAATCTGAATCACCAAAAACTTTGTATTTAGATTTTTAGTGTTCAATAATTCTAATGGCTAAAGCTTTCTTGTAATTTATTAACATTGTTCCATTTTCTTAATATGGAATTTATTCAATTATCCTTTTTTTACACATTTGAGTCACTAGCACTGTTTATGCATCAAAATTCATTGGATTATTAAATAATTATTTTCAATCAATTTAGATATACACTTAATTAAGGCGAATAAACCTACGCGAATATAATTATTCCAATTTATTTAGAAATTAAATAATATCAATTCAAAAAACAAAATTTTACATTGAGGAATATTCTAGATTGAATATCATCCAAAGTAAATTTTATTCAATCTAAAAAGAAATAAAATTGAACATATCTTAATCAATAATTATTTAGATATTTTAATTATTATTGGAAAGATTATTTATGTGTAGAGAATAATTACTATAAAAAATCTCGCTAAATTTTTAATTTCTTTGGATTATATTAAAAATTTGTCTAGAGTATATTTAGAGAATAATTTTAAAACAATATATATATATTTACAAAAAAATATATAATTCTAAATAAAGAATTGTAGAAATGAAATTAATTTTTCTTTAGGGTATTTAATTCAAGATAAAAAGAAGAGAAGTTTATAAATAAATCATACATGCATTCCTAGCTATATTGGATAAAATGATAGTTGATGATCAAAATTTATTGATTGGAAGACTTAGATTGATTAATAAACGATGATATTAAAGGTATAAACTTAAAAATGATACTATACTTCTATATCTACATATTTTTATTTTTTAATTATTTTATTTTATTGAAATAAAATTATATTTAACCATGAATTCAACACTTAGAACTGATCAGATTATTTATTTTGGAACTGCAAATACTCCGAAAGTTTCTTGTAGATATCATGAAGACAATTATATATAAATTTTTTGCAAAAAATAGTATAAAAATATATTATAATTTAGAGAATGCAGTTTGCCTTTGTGCCCTGAATGTATAAAGATTCATTCTGAAGAACATGAACAAGATAGAGTAACAAGTGATATTGATTTGTTTTCTAATTGCCTTACAGAATAATATAATAAATCATGAGAATATCTTAATCTTTGGGCAGTAGATGTTTAAGAATCAGGTAATTTATAAGAGGAGATTTAAAAAGCATAAGAAGTATGTAATATATGCTATATATTTATAGTTCTAGCTCTAGAAGTTTTAAGATGCTAAAAAACAATTTTAAAAGGTTATTGATGATTATTTTAAAATGCTTGAATCAAATATATTAAATGAAACTTAAATATCAACTCAAAATTTAATTAAATTGGTCAAATTAAGACATAGAATAGAATATTTGGAATGGAAAAATTAACATGAAAATTTATTAAAGCTCAATTCAGATAAAGTATTTATGAAATTAATATAGTCTATGCCTCCATTAATCTCAATATATTCAGATCCAAGATAGACTCCTTAAGCAGTTTATTAGAGGAATCATTAAGAACATATTGAATAGTTAAATAGACTTAAATTAAGCATTAGATAAGTAATTATTAATGATAATCTAAATTAAATCATTACATTCTTAAAATAATATATATAATTATCTACAATTGTATTAGATTCATAAATTTAATAAATACAAATTACAAATAAAGTTTAGCCTTTTTTATAAGTTTAACCTAAAATATAAAATCTAACAATTGTATAAACTTAACCAATTATGAATTAAGCAATAAATTCAAATATATATTAACCAAAAATTATATAACATTTTATAACCAGTAATGTAATAATAACCACCAATAATACCAATTACCCAATCTAATTTTATCAATAGCAATATTATCATCCCAATCCTGTTTTATAAGAACCTATACCTATGTCAATGCCAATTATACCATTTTAATAATCGACTCCTCCTTAAATCATAAGATCTACTTAAAATCTTGTATAGCCTATTGTTGATAGAGGAATTTCCAATGGACAATTAAGAGAGACAATGGCATAAAGATATTATGATAAAATGTAGAAAAATGAAATAAAATGATTTATAATATTATTATCTACATTTATATATCACATAATTTCTCTACTATTCATATTAATTGGAGAGAGTGATGGACCAGGAGTATTGGAATAAATTCCTGTAGAANCTTCTATATCTACATATTTTTATTTTTTAATTATTTTATTTTATTGAAATAAAATTATATTTAACCATGAATTCAACACTTAGAACTGATCAGATTATTTATTTTGGAACTGCAAATACTCCGAAAGTTTCTTGTAGATATCATGAAGACAATTATATATAAATTTTTTGCAAAAAATAGTATAAAAATATATTATAATTTAGAGAATGCAGTTTGCCTTTGTGCCCTGAATGTATAAAGATTCATTCTGAAGAACATGAACAAGATAGAGTAACAAGTGATATTGATTTGTTTTCTAATTGCCTTACAGAATAATATAATAAATCATGAGAATATCTTAATCTTTGGGCAGTAGATGTTTAAGAATCAGGTAATTTATAAGAGGAGATTTAAAAAGCATAAGAAGTATGTAATATATGCTATATATTTATAGTTCTAGCTCTAGAAGTTTTAAGATGCTAAAAAACAATTTTAAAAGGTTATTGATGATTATTTTAAAATGCTTGAATCAAATATATTAAATGAAACTTAAATATCAACTCAAAATTTAATTAAATTGGTCAAATTAAGACATAGAATAGAATATTTGGAATGGAAAAATTAACATGAAAATTTATTAAAGCTCAATTCAGATAAAGTATTTATGAAATTAATATAGTCTATGCCTCCATTAATCTCAATATATTCAGATCCAAGATAGACTCCTTAAGCAGTTTATTAGAGGAATCATTAAGAACATATTGAATAGTTAAATAGACTTAAATTAAGCATTAGATAAGTAATTATTAATGATAATCTAAATTAAATCATTACATTCTTAAAATAATATATATAATTATCTACAATTGTATTAGATTCATAAATTTAATAAATACAAATTACAAATAAAGTTTAGCCTTTTTTATAAGTTTAACCTAAAATATAAAATCTAACAATTGTATAAACTTAACCAATTATGAATTAAGCAATAAATTCAAATATATATTAACCAAAAATTATATAACATTTTATAACCAGTAATGTAATAATAACCACCAATAATACCAATTACCCAATCTAATTTTATCAATAGCAATATTATCATCCCAATCCTGTTTTATAAGAACCTATACCTATGTCAATGCCAATTATACCATTTTAATAATCGACTCCTCCTTAAATCATAAGATCTACTTAAAATCTTGTATAGCCTATTGTTGATAGAGGAATTTCCAATGGACAATTAAGAGAGACAATGGCATAAAGATATTATGATAAAATGTAGAAAAATGAAATAAAATGATTTATAATATTATTATCTACATTTATATATCACATAATTTCTCTACTATTCATATTAATTGGAGAGAGTGATGGACCAGGAGTATTGGAATAAATTCCTGTAGAAAAAGTGTGTTTATGTTTACTTAAACGATCTGAATTTATTGTTTAATAATTTATTATAGTTCTAGCAGTTAGAGGAGGAGTACTCAAAAATAAATGTGTTCTTTTTTTTTTACACAATTTATAAAGATATTTTTTTTTAAAAGATGTAATTGCTATATTATTAGGATGTTCATATTTAGGAGTAAATCCAAGCTTAGGACTTTAATATAAATCATTTCCAAACAAAGCTGATCCTGCATCTTTTTCTGGATCACTTTGATATTTTAATTAGTAAATAAAGTTTTTTTCTTCAACTATTGTACCAATATCCATTTTATCTTCTCTTTCTTTACTTCTAATTTTTTTTGGATTGTATTTAACTTCAATATATTACTTAACAGCTGTAAATTTAGGTTAATTGATTTTATTTACACTTATGAGATTAGAAGTTTAGAATATAGTTCTAAATTTAGTTTTCCTTAAGTATTCTTATTTGACCCATTATTTACATTCTTCAGGGAACTTTTATAAAAATTCTAGTTTATGTATAACCATTAAAGTAGCTTCATTAGATAAAACAATAGCATTATATTCACAACAGCCATCTTCATTCATAGCTATTTCTTCACCCAATAACTAACCTTTAGCTGCTCAAATTATTTAAGATTTTACTTAGAATGCATATCTTTACCAATTAATCATTTATTACTTTTTCTAATAAGATATCTCCAAATTGAATCAAATAAAAGGATTTTTTATGTTATCCATCTTTAGTTATTACACAATTCTTTTAAAATTATTCCACATCAAAACTATATGCTAATTATTCTAATTATTTTGATGAATAATCTCCTTGAACAGGGAATTTAGTAAAAATTAAACTTTTTTTCTCTTTCATCTATTATATAAATTATTATCTAATTAAATCGAAGTCGTCTTTTTTTAAAATTAATAAGAACAAATCTTCAGTATAAGCACATGCAGTCAATGCTCTTGGAACATTCTCAATTAAAGCTCTATCTCCAAAACCGTCCCCTCTTTTTAATATTCTAACAGTTTCACCAAATTTATCACTCATTTCCTAAATTTCTTATTGTGTTATTTAGACTTTCTCATTTGTTTATCCTTAAACTATGTTTGCCTTCATTTTATCAGCAAACTTCTTTGAAAAGGCAATCTATTTGAAGAAATTTGTTCCTGATGTTAAGGTTGTTATTTTGGTTTGGGTCTTTCTAATGTAAAATTCATAATTCCAATATATTACTCTGTTTTCAAAAGCACAGGTTTGATGGATAAAGTTTATTATTATTACAAATATTTATGATTTTCAGGAGACTTATCAATGTTTTGTTATATCATCTGTTATTATTATGGCCTTTGCTTTATTAAAGCCACTTTACCATTAAATATTATATATAACTTATCATTTGACTTGTCTCCTTCTTTAAAGATGACCTCTCCTCCTTTAAAGTGCTCCATTTTGAATTTACCACATAACTATGATTTCAAAGAATTATACATATAACAGACTCTCTCTTTAAGTTCCCTTAAGATTTTTCTCAATGAAGGAATTAAAATATTATAATTGTTGTAATTTCGAATAGATAACTTAAAGATTGTCCATAGTAGGATTTAAATGGTTATTCAATAACTTTTGAAAGTTGAGATTCTAAATAATTCTTTTCTATTTATACCTCATTCATAGTGATTTATTTATTTTTAATTTTAATATGTAGGACTCTATATCAACTTAATTGAAAACTGAATCAGATTCTATCAAAGATCCTCCAGCAAGCAAGTTTAAGCAAAACTTCATGTAAACTAATTAAAGATTTTTAAATACTAAAAAATTAACATACTCTAACAAAAAAATAGCGATTTCTAATTAGAAAGATGCATGGAAATAAATGTTTGGCAATTTCTTGCATGATATTAATCTTAAATAGAAAAAGGATCATATCTCTTAAGAAACCAAAGAGGTATTAATGAAGCATCTTCAATTTAGCATCTTTAAGATCCACTTGTGAATGAAGTCCCATTATTCCTTCCATGTTCAAATAAACAATTTAAACTCTAGTTCTATAAGTATTTAGAAGGGGAGTAATCAATTAATGAATTATTAAAGGCAATTAGATTTCCTCACTTAGAAGCAGTAAGTAATTTTATTATTGTTTTAGTTATAAATCGAAGATTAAAAAAAATAAAAAAGGAAACTATCCATTGTTTAAAAAATTAAGAAATTTAGAATTAATGACATGCCTAAATCAAGTGATAAGACTACTTATTTAGATATAGGAAGTTCTACAAAATAATTGAAAGTCTAACAATTAAAATTAGTTGATTAGAGAAGATTTACAGAAGCTGGTAAATTGATGGAATTATTTTAAATTAATATAAATAAGAAGGTTCAAGTTTTAAGAGATTTTATTTAATAAAGAGTAATATTTATTTTTTATATAAGATCAATTTAAGATAATAATTAAACAAAGAATAAAGGGAAGAGGAAATAAGAAATATACATTTTATTAAGACTTTTTTTGATATCACTAATGATTACAATTAACATATCTTAGATTAGTAAGAAGAATTATAGGATGATGCTTAATNTTGATGGATAAAGTTTATTATTATTACAAATATTTATGATTTTCAGGAGACTTATCAATGTTTTGTTATATCATCTGTTATTATTATGGCCTTTGCTTTATTAAAGCCACTTTACCATTAAATATTATATATAACTTATCATTTGACTTGTCTCCTTCTTTAAAGATGACCTCTCCTCCTTTAAAGTGCTCCATTTTGAATTTACCACATAACTATGATTTCAAAGAATTATACATATAACAGACTCTCTCTTTAAGTTCCCTTAAGATTTTTCTCAATGAAGGAATTAAAATATTATAATTGTTGTAATTTCGAATAGATAACTTAAAGATTGTCCATAGTAGGATTTAAATGGTTATTCAATAACTTTTGAAAGTTGAGATTCTAAATAATTCTTTTCTATTTATACCTCATTCATAGTGATTTATTTATTTTTAATTTTAATATGTAGGACTCTATATCAACTTAATTGAAAACTGAATCAGATTCTATCAAAGATCCTCCAGCAAGCAAGTTTAAGCAAAACTTCATGTAAACTAATTAAAGATTTTTAAATACTAAAAAATTAACATACTCTAACAAAAAAATAGCGATTTCTAATTAGAAAGATGCATGGAAATAAATGTTTGGCAATTTCTTGCATGATATTAATCTTAAATAGAAAAAGGATCATATCTCTTAAGAAACCAAAGAGGTATTAATGAAGCATCTTCAATTTAGCATCTTTAAGATCCACTTGTGAATGAAGTCCCATTATTCCTTCCATGTTCAAATAAACAATTTAAACTCTAGTTCTATAAGTATTTAGAAGGGGAGTAATCAATTAATGAATTATTAAAGGCAATTAGATTTCCTCACTTAGAAGCAGTAAGTAATTTTATTATTGTTTTAGTTATAAATCGAAGATTAAAAAAAATAAAAAAGGAAACTATCCATTGTTTAAAAAATTAAGAAATTTAGAATTAATGACATGCCTAAATCAAGTGATAAGACTACTTATTTAGATATAGGAAGTTCTACAAAATAATTGAAAGTCTAACAATTAAAATTAGTTGATTAGAGAAGATTTACAGAAGCTGGTAAATTGATGGAATTATTTTAAATTAATATAAATAAGAAGGTTCAAGTTTTAAGAGATTTTATTTAATAAAGAGTAATATTTATTTTTTATATAAGATCAATTTAAGATAATAATTAAACAAAGAATAAAGGGAAGAGGAAATAAGAAATATACATTTTATTAAGACTTTTTTTGATATCACTAATGATTACAATTAACATATCTTAGATTAGTAAGAAGAATTATAGGATGATGCTTAATATTATAAAAAATTAGTACCATGCTAAAAGAAATTAAAATAACTATTAGTGAATTATGATAATGTACAACCAATTATTAGACATTAAGAAAAACATTTTGATAGATTTGATTATCCTTCTTAAGGTATGTTAAAAAATTAAATGAATTAATATTCTAAAGATTATTTAGTCGAACTTGAATAACAGAAATAAATTTAATTTAAAACCGCTTTAAATTAAGTTCGTAAACTATTAGAATAATAAAATGTTAAATTTTAATCAGAATTAAGAAAATCTAAAATTAAAAGTAATTAAAATTCAAAATCTTAATCTCCACTAACTCTTCATAATTAAGAGAATTCAAATCCTATAAATTCATAAAGGGATTGTCCACTTGATGTTATTGTAGCAAGTCCAAAGAGAACTGTTAATTAATATAAATCTTACTCTTAATTGAAAAATTCTATTGCTGATCCAATAAAAAGAAAAGATTATGTTATTACAAAAAAACCTTTTTATCTTTTTACTAAATAAGCAGATGGAGATAAAAATTCAAAAAATACGAAAGGATTAATAACAAATTTTGATGTTAAATTATACGATTATATTCACAATAGAAATATATACACATTAAATAAACAGTATTAATTTTATGAATATTAAGAGTTTAAGAAAAAACATAAAAATTTCATACATTAATAGAAAGTTAATAGGAGTAATAGTTAAATGAACAACTTGACACTCAACTTAATCAATTAAGAAAAAAAAGATTAAAATTACGTTAGCATGGTTCTTTAGAGGCATAACGTAGAATAAAAACTGAAAAATTACCTGATGAAATATCAGATGATTAATCACTATAATCCATTTATGAAGTAAATCTTGATGTTTATTATGATTAATCAAATTAATTAAGTAAGAAACTAAGAGAAAAAGATGATATTGGATTTGCAAAAAGAATTAAATAACTCATTAAATTAGAAGAAGTTAATACGTATTAGATTATATATAGATATTTAGATAATGTTTAAGAACAAATATATAGAAATTAAATAAATCGTAAAATTCTCTGAATAAATGAATACAAAATATTTAATATCTCTATTTTATTTAATTGTAAGTTAGCTAAATAATATAAATTTTAAATTATTAATATAACAATGAAAAGTAAAGATATGGATGCTCCTCCACTTAATGAAGATGAATTAAATGAAATTTACAATTGGGTTGATACTGTACCATTATCTAGACCTAAGAAACATATAGGTAGAGATTTTGCAGATGGAGTTTTAATTGCGGAAATTATTTAACATTATGTTCCTTCAATAATTGATATTCATAACTATAGTTTAGCTCATTCTGTTTAATAAAAATAATATAATTGGAATACTTTGAATGCAAAGGTACTATATATTATGATTTATAGGTGTTTAGAAAAATGGGATTCTAAATTACCTAGAAAGATATTGATGCAGTTATTTAAGTAATCCCTGAAGCTATAGAGAGAATCTTAAAAGTAATTTAAGTGAAATTAGATATGTTTTTGGAGCATTCAGAATAAAATTAAGTTCAAAAATAAGAGAAGCCAAATGAAATTTCAAAAAATTAAAATTAAGTTAACAATACAAAACCAGTTCTCAACAATAAATAACATGATAAAGATTTAGTTATTTAAGATTAAAAGGAAACTATAGAAATACTTGAACTTAAAATATAGAAACTAGAATAATTAGTGAAATTAAAAGATAGTAAAATTTAATAGTTAACTTAAAAACTATAATAAGCAGGAATAAAATGATATAGTTACTCATATATCATCCACATAAATTTTAGAAATAATTTTTCTCTGTGTCACTTTTACTACTATTTGTCTCACTTTTTTCAAGACCATTTTCTTAATCAATTACTTATTATTAATTTCTTTTTATATTGTTTTATAATTCTTCTTCATCTGGTGTTAGATCTTATGGCTGATTTTACATTTTCTAAAAAATTGACATTCTTTATTTTTTTATTGGTTCTTGTTATTCTGAATTTTTTGTAATTAAAGGAGAACTTTAAGGAGTTGTATTAGGTGTTCGTCTTTATTTTATTGAATTCATTTCAATACTCATTTTTTACAGTATGCCATCACATTTTTCATCTTCCAAATTAGATTGATCCACATTAGAAGTATTATTGAATGTCATGGTGCTGGATTTATTTGGTCGCCTCTTAGGTTTTTTATAATAATGCTCTAATTTTTCTAAAGGATCAGTTTTCATCTTTAGACCCAATTATTTAAGATAAGACACAATAATTTGCTCTTTTTTTATCCATTCATTTTCAGGATGCTAATTACTCATTATTACCATTTCAAAAGAATCATCAGTCTATTGATTTGAAGTATATAGATTCTATCCATCATTATAGTTTGAATTTTCTTAATGAACATTTTTGTCAGCTGTAATTGTGTTTTCTGATGAATTAATTGTTGTTTCACATGACATATATTAACCTATATTCATATAAAGTAAAACTCTTGAATGATGAATGAATTTTAATATATTTATTAATATCATTAAACCTTACATAATCAATGCTGAAAATTACTGCAAAATTCAGAGTTTTAGAGATTGAAATACAATTTTTATTTGAGTGAAAATATTATTAGATTTAAAGAGCTAATTATATATATCATAAGATGTTTATCAAAAGTAAGAGATTTTACATAATTAAGACTTAAACTATTTATTAAATAATAATTGGGATTGCTAAGAGTGTCAATATTATTATTTTTAAATTACATTAATTGAAATAATTAAAATTACAAATAATTAGGTAATTTTCAAAGTTTTCAAAGAGATATATTAGATAAATTCAAAGATCATCGGATGGTTCCACTTCCCATCCAGTTGCTCCAAATCTCTCTTATATGGCAATAAGGGACTTAACTTTTATTTTTGCATTGTTAGGACTAGGCTAATTAATTGAACTATTAATTGTATATTAAGTTTCAGCTCTATTTTTTCTAACCAGTTTCCTTTATGGATAAATAGATCTTTGAAAAGGGAAAATCAGAGTATCACATGATTCCTTCTAAGATGAGATCGATTAGAAGATTTAAGGATTGCCATAATTAATATTATCTAATTATTTTGAGTATTTTTAGAACACCAATTTAGTTGGCATTTAATTATTGTCATCAGCTATTGAACTACATCTAGTTTTTATTGTATCTAAAAATTTGCTTTTTGATGGAGATGGCTTCTTTTCTGATTCTAATTAATTTTTTGCAAAGATTAAGCTTCTTTTTCTCATTTTAATTCGGTCTGATTCTTCAGGCAATTAATATTTCATTTTCAATAATGCCATTCTAGTTGATTTTTTAAGTAGTTCTAAATTAATGGCACAATTAAATCTAAATCCTATTGTTTTTTGATTTGGAGAAACCTTATTGCTTTTCTAATTCATTATTGAATAATATTTATTTATTTCTTATTATATTATTATTAAGAAAATAAACATAATAAACATATTTATTAATCAAATTCAAATAAATCTTATCATTTCATAGTTACATTCACTTTCCTAAACTTTGTCTTTGCAACCTATTCTTCTGCAATATTCTTCAAAATTGATTTATTTTATAATAATTCCAAATTTGTCATTTTTTCATGTGCACTTTTATTTCTACTCTCTACTATTTATTTCTTTATATCCTCTTAGTTTTATTTATAATTATTTTTTATAAACTAAAATTAAAATAATAATATATACAAGTTATTTTTCTTTTTCTTTTTCAGTATAATTCATAAGCTCTAATTTTTATTGAAGTAATAATAATTTTTATTCTTCTTCTTCTGATAATTTTTTTTATTATTTCTGTTAAATTTACAATTACAATTATTATTTCACTAATTCCATTTTCTCTTTTTCTTTTAATTTCTTATATTATTATTATTATCTATCATATTCTTCTTATTTTTTTAATTATTCCAACATATATTTACCTTCATTTTCCTCATTTTCTTTTTATTTTGTTAATACCTAATGACTGTAATTACTCATAAATTATTTTATTTTTTAATCTCTCTCCCTCTTTTATTCTTCTCTTCTTTCATCATCTTATATCATTTTTTATAATTATTATTATTACAATTTAGTATCAATCTCCTTTTACAATTTAAGTTCCTCTTATGCCTTTTAATATTGTATAATCATTATACTTTATAACGTAATTTTTCATTTTCTTTCAAAATCTACTAAAATTTATCTTTTTATTCTTATCTTCTTTTATTTAATTCTTAAGATTCTCTATTTATTTCATTTTTTATCTATTACAACATTTCATCATCCTATAATTTTGATTATTTCTAACTTTCCCTTCTAATCTAATAAATATAAGAATTACTTCTTATGTTTTTCTTATTAAACTTACTCATCTCTTAATTTTTTTTCTTCTAATTATTTTAGTTTAATCTATTCCTTTTTCTATTTTTCAAATTACTCAAATTCTTATTTCCTTTATTAATTTAATTATATAAATTTGGCTTCTTTCATTGCTTCTTCTTTTTTCATCTCTGCTTTCTCTTTTAATTATTTATCTAAATCATCTTTTAATTTTTATTTTAATTAAAGTTCTCTCTTTTTTTTTTCTTCTTGTTCCTTTTAATATAAAGTTGTATCATATTTAATTATAGCTGCCCATTCATCTTATTCATCATCATCCAATTAATAAACAGATTTTTATTTATTTTCAGATGTTAATGAGTCTAATCTTGGAATTTCTGGAGGATTGTTCTTTATTTAAGAATTTAATTGCTCTTATCCTTATGTGATAACTTTTGTTATTTATTTTGAGTTATTCTCATTTTTTTATTTATCTTCTATATTTTGTAACTATTGAGTATTATACTACTATTTTAAGGTTTTAATAATTGCTTCCTTTTCAATATATTATTTCTTGACTGCTTCCTATATCTCTGCTTTCAAAGCCCTTACACCACTTTCATTAAATGATGAATATTTTGAATTATAATCATGTACGTAACATGTAATTAACTTTTTAGCATTTATTAAATACTTCTTTATCTATTGGTTTTTAACCGAATTCATTGATGAGTTTATTGAGTATGAAATCAGATATATTACTAGATTACTTTATTTTGTCTGACTTTTTTTATTATCTTGGATACATGTATACAATTTATAATAAGAATTATTACATATATAAGTATGAAATAAAAAACATATAACTCATAACTAATTCGTCAAATATACAATTTGATTTAATATATTTTCTTATATATTTCTAAAACTTTGTTCTAATTAATGACAGAATGTCTTTTTTCATTCTCAACATTTTTTGAGTAATCTTTCATTTAATATTAAATGACTACCATAATTTTATTCTTTATTTATGTTTTAGTATGATATTTATTTATTAAATTTGTTAAGATGTCTTACATAAATTCTTTTTAATCAAAAATGAATTTATTAATCTAAAGGCAATTTATATTATAAAGGGTGTTTAATAGGATTTTCATCATTTTAGCTTTTTATTGTACCAAGATCAGATAAAATAAAGGGATTAAAATAATATTTACTAGAACGAAATATATCTTAACGATGTATTATTTTATTCAATAAAGAATCAAAGCATTACTTTTTATGTAACTTTTAAATTATTTATCATAAATGTTTATAAGAATTTTTGGAATTTAAATTTCAACTTCAAATTCTTTAGTTTATAAAGTGAATCTTGTAATTTTATATTGACATAAGAATAATTAAATTAATTAAATTATTTGTTTAGATTAAACTGTAAAATATCTTTTTAAAATAGTAGTCCATTCATTGATTTTGTTGAAAATTTTTAATATAAAGGTTTTATTCAAAAATAGACCTTCTTCTTGTGAAGAAGTCTTAGATTCATTAAAAGTTCTAGGATTGATCATAATAAGATATATTTATTAAGAAATTGATAATATATCTTAAGGAAAAGGTAGATTTAATTGATTCAAAATAGGAGTATTTATAATTTCAGCATAATTTCTGTTCAAATTCATATTAAAGAAAACTTTGAGTATGTCTGAACTCATTAGCTTTTTCAATTTCTTTAGGATAGTAATAACAAACATCAAATTTTGAGTATACTTCATTTTTATAATTTAAATCATTATATAACAATTAATATTGGAGACATTTTTTAAAGAATTTAATTCCAATCTCAAAATATTACATTTTATGAATAATTTCCAAGTCCAATCTAAGATTTCATTTTATATTTATCTATCGTTTATTTTACATAATTAACCAGAATTCTTGTTTAATTATGAAAAAAGATAGCCCAATCTATGCTAAAATTTATTATAAAATCAATTTTCTTATTGCAATATTATTAATACTTGAGTTTCAGCATTTGATTTAAGAAAAATCAATAAAATGTTTTTCCAATATTAGATATATTCAATATTTAAAAATAGATTAATTAATGATTACCTTATGGATCAAATTTCATTCTTCTTTTCACTTCATTAGAATCAATTTTTCTTAATTACCGATTAATACAAATTATTTCTATTGAGAACTATTTATCTATTAAAAGAATCTAATATTTGTTGCTCTTCTATTAGTTTCTTAAAGTGATAAGTCTTGTCTATTATCTAAATTGAATTTAGAATCCACTCTTCATGTAAGATTAATTTTGCTTAAGTGTAAATTTGATCTCATTTTAATTTGACCTCTAAATGCTGAACTTGAAACTGAATCATTCCACTTCATTAAATATAAGAGTAGAATATCCAATATGTTGGGTAGTGTTATAAGTTGTTCCACTTTGTAATCTTGATTGATAATGACGATTAAGTTGTTTTTGATTGTTTTATGATACATTTCATTAATCTATCCATTCACTAATTTATACTTTTAAGAGTCTACTAATTTAAAGTAGCCTGCACTTCTAGAAGTTTTTCTAGATTATAATAGGTTTTTAATTTTAGAGCAGACTCATGTCTTTTTATTATATTTTATTATTAGATAAATTAATTATTAATAGTGAATATGATTTCCAAAAGAAGTTTATCTAAAGGGCCATAAAGTTTCAAAGTACAAATTAGAAAATTGCCTCCACTTTGTAGAGAAGAAGAATTTAATGCAACTATTTAAGAATACATGAGTGATATTGTGATGAAATATTATGTAAAAGGCAAATTGAAGTAATAATTACATCCATTAGAAGAGAATAAGAAAAAATAGATTCAAGATGTTATTTATTTTTCAACAGCGAATCCTCAATGAATCGATTCATCTAAGGGTATAAAAAGGTATTCTGCGATGAAAAAGGTTTATATTATCTACCTGATATCGGAAAGGCTTTGCTTTAAAATTAATAGGATTTATTGAGAAATAAGCCAAAACCATTAGAAGGTGAATATTAGAAAACAGAACTCTATAAAAAATTTTTAAAGGCTTAAGAAGAGGAACAATTATAATAATTGGAAAAGGAAAATGCTTAGATTTAATAATCGAAGGAAGAGGCAATAAATGTGGAAGATAAACCAAAGAAATTTGAGAAAGTTAAAACCCATATTATTATGGAATTAGAGAAGGAATATTAGAAGAAGAAAGAATTGAAGACTTAAATAGATAATTTGACAACCACAAAAAACATCATCAAATTAAAATGTGAAGAGGATGGAAGAATAATTGAGAGAACATTTGTAATAAATTAGATTAATAATTATAGATTTTCGTACCTAAGGCAAAAAATTGAATGTAAATTAAATTAATAATCAAATATTAGTAAATAATTGAATGATCATTATATAAAACAAAAATCATATTAATCATTCATGGTCTCTACTAGATAACAATTAAACCATTTTATATAGTTTTATCCACTTTTTTTAATACTTAATTTTCTTAATTATTAGATTTTTCTATTTCTGCAAATTTTTCTAATGATTACTCATTCAATTCTTCTCGACACATAGGGCAAGTTTCATGTTTCTTTTCCACCATCCATGCTTGCAAACAATCAGCATGAAATACATGAACACAAGGAGTCACTCTACAAATTGATTCTTTATCATATTCAATTAAACAAACAGTACAAGATTCAAATTATATAGTATCTATTTTCTTTTCTTAAATCTTTGGATGTCTCTCTAAATTTTTCCATAAAATCTTTTTCATATAATAATCAAGCTATTAAACACTTATGCCATTTTTTTGACCTCTTCTTTATTATGATAATTATATTTAATTTTATTGAATTTCATTTTACACTCTATTTCTTTATCTATATCTTATTAAAGTAACTATAATCCAAGTTAGCACTAAAACTACAGCTAAAGAAACCAAAAAATAAATAAGCATTAAATTTGTATTCACTTCTGAATCCTCGGATGGAACACTGATATTAAAATAAAACTAGCATGTATCAGGAACTACAATTGTTAATAATAGACGATCAAACCTAAAGTTATTATAATATAAAACCTATATAAATCTGAATTATAATTTAATCCAGAGACATCAATAATAAGGGATTTTGTTTTAGAATCTGGAGAAAATGAGAAAGAATAATTATTATAATATGGAGTGGGTACCCCATATTTGAAGTTTTCAAACATAAAATATACAAAGATTTAAGAATACTCTGAAATAAGTATATTCGAAATTCCTACATCTAACAAAATTGTATCTAATTGTTTTGTTTATTCAAAATAAAAATACTCTGTTCCAGATATTGTGAGGTTTTCTAATTTTTTATCTATCATAATAGGAGTTGCCTTTCTTGAACAATCCAAATCAACTCTATTTGGTTCGCATGCACAAGTACCTATATTACAATATCCTAAAGAAACAGAAGTGCAATCATTAGGACACGGAGTACTATCAGTCTTCTTTATTCTAATATTATATTAATAAGTTGTTTCTTCTTCTCTTTTTAAATTAGTTATATAAAATTTATCACCTGATCTAAATGAATTAGCTGGTATCACTATATTTTGATAACTCTTGCGAAGATAGTAACCATTGACATCAGCATATGTTGCTGATATAGTTTTGTTGTCTTTCATAGAAGGAAGACTGTTTTTACTAATTGTAAAAGACAAATTGACTTCACCATCTCCAGGAGCTAAAAATATTAATCTTTAATCGAACATAAAATTACTCTATTTAAAGATATTTTTAAGTGTCAACTGAACTAACTTAAAAGAACATAGTTCCATTTCCTACTTCTTGTATTACATAATAATCAGAATCTTCCAATTCAAATAATTCTCCATTTTCCAAGTAATCCTAATTGATATTTATCGTTTATATTCCTAATGCAGTTATAAAAAAGTAATATAAAATGAGAATCATTTCTTCTTTATAAAAAAATTTATTATCAATATATTTAGTATTTATTTCAAGTATTTCTGATATTATTTCCCGGCTTTATAAAATTTATATTGATCATTCTTAACTTCAATACACTAACAAAGTCCAATTTAGATTAAGCTCATGATATATTTCTAAAAATAGTTTTATTGAAATTCAACTTGGATCATTAGAAAAGAGATAAACAGAATTTTTATTAATTATAAAAAGTAATTAAACTAATTATTTAAAATATATATCTCAATTAATTAATTAATCTGCTTGAGAATATTTTAATAATAAATGAACTTTGATAGTTGAGATAGACAATATTATAGCAGAATATAAATTAATCATACTTAATTCATAATGCTATTATGTTGTAATAAGAAAAAAACTAAAAGAGAATTTCAAATCTTACTGAATTTTAGTTCAATTTTAGGATATTTTGTAATACTTTTTGAAATTCATATTAACATTATTAAAATAATAATATTGTAATAAAAAGAACTCTAATAATAAATTAAAAGGTAAATTATACACAAAGTTTTATTTATATATTAATTAGAATTAATTTGAAGAAACTTATATGGTTTAACATTCTATTAATAGCAATAATGGTCATGAATATAACAAAATTACATTAATATTATAAATCGATATTTTTGTAAAATATTAAATTTCAGTTCACAAAATTTACAACTAAGTTTTAGTTAAAAATTTTTTTTTAGTATAAAAGATCAGACAATGCAAGGAAATATTAATTAATTTGTTTGTTAATGATTTAAAGACAACAAGAAATATTACTTAAAACTAATTATCACGAAATTAGTTTGCTTCCAGGTAGACCTATATACGAATATGAATTGGATATATTAAATTCAACTCCAGAATTAATATAAGCAGCTTTAAAATAATTTAGACCATAAATTTTAGAAATGCTAAGGAATTATATGAGTATTGATAATAAAATCTACTCTCCTAAAATAATTGATGGAATTGAGAAAGCAAGATCAAAAACTTTGGGAACAATATAAAACCATGAAGAAGCAGAGTAAATAGTATCAATAAAACTCATTGATCGTTTAAGTGAAAATCATCTAAGCAAGAACTAAATAATTGCTAGATTAATTAAGTAAGTTGTTAGAAATCAATTCTAAATGGTTTCTATAGGGAAAATAGGTAGTAAATTATTCTGGAGTTAAAGAGCTGCTAAATAATAAGAGAACAATTTAGAAGTATTAATTTTATTTAAAGTTTCAGATTTGGCCAGGAGTTGAATGCATTTATCAACCAAGTACTATTTAAAATTTCAAACCTAAATTAATTATCGATTGTGCATTTAGAATTCTAAGATACAGATCTGTTTTAGAGGAATTAATTTAATTCAAATAAAATCTTGACATTGTAATTGGATAGATTGTGATGACCACTTATAATAAAAAGTTTTACTAAATATCTGGTATAGAATTAAAAATGAGTCCAAAATCAACATTTTAAAATTAAAATGGCGAAGCTATAACTTTTGAACAGTATTATAGTTCAAAGTATAATTAAAAAATTGAATCAAATTAACCTTTATTAAAGGCAATTGTTAAAGGAAAAAGAGATTAAAATTAAAAAGAGATTTTTTTAATCCCTTCTCTTTGTTAAATGACTGGGTTGACTGATGAAATGAGAAATGTAATTAGATATTATAATTTTTTAGGATTTCAACGCAATGAAAAAGATATCCGAAATAACAAAACCTTCGGCTGAAATTAGAATGAGAACAGCATAAGATTTTATTTAATAACTATAAAATACAAAAATTATAAATAAAAAGGATAATACTTAAAAAGAAGTTTTAAATGAATGGGGATTAGAAATAAAAAAAGATTGCATATCGATTTAAGCTCAAAGACTAGATCCTGGAAATATGTTGATGGGGAGAGATTTAAAATTAAATTTAGGAGATTACAAAACAAATTTAGATAGATAAACACAAACTTAAATGTATCAGACACCTCAATAACAACTAATGTTAGCAATTTTTTATAATGTAAATTCAGGCAAATAATCATTAACTTCTTTCTTAGAAAATTTTAAGTTAGCTTGTGGAGAATTTCAATTTAATGCCTTTTATTAACCAAAAGTCATCGAGATGTAATAAGATAGAGAAGAAGAATTAGAAAGATTATTATAAGATCTAAAAGTTTTTGCTGATTAAAAACAAATAAAAGTTAATTTTTTGTTATTTTTGTTACCAGGTTAAAAGAAAAAAGCCAGATTATATAAAGCCTGTAAAAGAATCTCTATGGCTAAATTTGGTTGTGCATCTTAAGTTATTATAGAAAAAACTTTAAGCAGAAATACAAGATCTATTGTAAATAAGATTTTAATTTAATTAAATGCAAAAATTGGAGGAACTCCATGGGCATTAGATGGTATACCTGATATATTTGCAAACAAACCAACAATGATTTGTGGAGTTGATATTTTTACAAAGATTGGAAGAAAAAGTCAATTAGCATTTTGTAGCACCATAAATAGAAATTTCAGCAGATATTATTCTTAAGTATTGACATCTGGAGAATTTTGTTCACACTTATAATAATGTTTAAAAGCTGCCTTAATTGCTTTTAAATAGGAATTATAAGTTTATCCAAAAAATGTTATTATTTATAGGGATGGAGTTGGAGATGGTTAATAAGCAGCTGTATTAGGAACTGAATTACCATAATATAAGTAAGCTTTAAAAGAGTTAGAATTAAATGATGTATCACTTACTCTAGTCATCTGCAATAAAAGAGTTTCTGCAAAATTTTACACTGGAGGTTAAGGTAGAGCAGAAAATCCACCTCCAGGTACAATTATAGATAATAAAATTATCACAAATGAAGAGGCGATAAAGTTTTATTTAATCTCTCAATTAAGTAGATAAGGAACTGTAACTCCAACTCTTTATAAGGTTCTTTATTCTGATTTGCAAGGTATAAATATTAATTTTAAATAAGGTGTTGAGTAAAGTATTAAAATCATGACTTTCAAATTATGCTGGCTATTTTATAATTTTACAGGTTCAATAAAAATACCTGCACCGGTTCGTTATGCACATTGTCTCTGTAATTTTATTGGAGATAATTATGATGATAAAGATAAAATTAAATTTCTTCCACAATCAGACTTAATTCATCAAAAAGTGCTATTTTATATTTGATTTATTTATAATATAATTTCAATAATAAATTATAAGAATTATATGACTATAAGAAATGATACAGGATAAATCAAAAAAGAAATAGATACAAATAATAGAAATTAGTATAGGTTAGTTAGGAGTAAGAAATATTATTCAAATCTTAGATATTATTTGAATAATTACTAGCTTTATTGTATATTAAAATTAATTTATATTTAATAGTATAGAGTTTGAAAATTTTTATTCAAGAATATTGATAATTTGGATTAAAGATAGAAGATATTTTCAATATAGTTTTTATTAATTGATAACTATATTATATTAATTTTTAGACATTTATATTATCACCAGAATCAGTTTAGGTTAATATAATTAATATTCATGAGATTTAAGATTACTTGTGGGGATATATTTATATAGATTTTTAAGGTAATAATTAATAATTTATATAATATAGCATAGAATACAAAAATAAATTTATAAATTATTAAATCTAATCTGATCATGATTTAACGTCAAGATGTAAGATGCAAATATATGTATCTCATGTTAATTGCATATAAAATCAACAAAAAATTGAAAAATTAATATATTTATTTATTTTTTATTATATACAAGGATAATTCATGTCTCATAGAAGTCTTTCTATTGATTATTCTGAAAAATTAGATACTTATGGGGATGGTTGTCTTCCTGAAACCTAAGCAATCTCAATATTATTTTTGAATTACTTAAAGACTTAATCCATTAACGAATCAGATACCTTAAGAAAATCCAAAGAATATTTAAAGAAGTTATAAACTGCTTTAATCATTTTGATTTGGTATGAATCCATAGCGTTTTTTGGTTGCATTACAATTCTTATAATTAGTTAAGAATTCTAATTAATATAGATTGCAATAGGCCTATTTATCAAATTATTAATATACATTAGATTAAGCAATTCAGCAAGAAAATAAAAAAAATATATTGGAATGAAATCTACAATTACTAGAAAAATATTCTTAAATTTTTTAAAGTAGAATATAAATATTGATCCTGAAAATAGAATTGAAATAAGATTAATTGACCAAACTATTGCATGTAAATTGACTTTTAAATAGATTTTTAAGGAATTTGTAAAATTACATATAAAGTCTATAATAATCATTTTATTGATAACTCTAGTGATCTATATTACTTATTTTGAATTTTTTCTTTCAGAATTTAATGCTAATAAATATCTGATTTTCTCTGAATTTGCATTAATTACATTACCACTTACGTTAATTTTAACAACATTAATTTCAATTTTAGTATTTATTGGATTTACTTCCTTAATCAATGTTATTCATTTTATAATGAGAGCAATAATTAAAATTATTGTTTCAATTCCAAGTTTTTTAAGATCTATATTAAAGATATTTAGAATAAAAAAGGAAAAACATTTTGTTTTGATGAAATATATTCACAATTAATTTAAATAGAAGGATATTTGTTCAATTTGCTTATGTTCAATTTAGAATTAAGGCATTTTATTACCTTGCAAACATCTTTTTCATATTAAATGTATTGAAAAGTGGTTTTTTGAAAATAATTCATGTCCTATATGTAGATCAAAAATTACCAATAATAATGAAAATCAAGAATAATGATTATAGTGTTTATTTGTAAAATATTATTTACTATATTAATTAATTTTAATTATAATTTTAAAGTAAATAAAAAGATAATTAAAATTTACAATGCTATTATTTGATCATAATAAACTTATATTATTATCAATTATTATTCATTCAATTAAACAATAAGAATAAACAGGTATAATATAAATATTATAATGAATAAAAATTGATTTTTATGATAAAATTTGATTGGCTAATTTTTACATCATTTGGATTTATATCTCATATACAACCTCCACTTTTAAATTACATTAATATCAATTCAAAATATACAAAAATGGCTGGAAAATCAGGAAAAGGAATCGGTAAAGTAAGTGCAAAGAGACATGCAAGAAAACCAAACAAAGCTTCAATCGAAGGAATCACAAAACCTGCAATCAGAAGATTAGCTAGAAGAGGAGGAGTTAAGAGAATTTCATCATTCCTTTATGATGACTCAAGAAATGTTTTAAAGAGTTTCTTAGAGAATGTTGTCAGAGATGCTATCACATACACTGAACATGCTAGAAGAAAGACTGTCACTGTTATGGATGTTGTTTACTCATTAAAGAGATAAGGAAGAACACTCTATGGATTCGGTGCATGAGTTTTATTTTCATTCAGAATTAATTAATTCTATTCATACATCTTCTCCTTTTAGTGCTTATATTTTTATTTAATTGGTAATCTAAATTATTAAATTAAAAAAATATTAACAAAGAAATTTAAGCAATTTTATGAATTTCATAATATATGAATAATTTCAAAAATTTCTCTATTTCTATTTAAATAGTAATCAAATATGCCAATAAAAAATACTTATTTTTAATTAATACTTATATAATTATATTGAATGATAAACTTTATATTTTTTTAGAGATAAAAATTTTTGTTATTTAATATTAATTTTAGAAATCAGAATTACTATCTTCATAGAATTAATTATTAAAGTCAAAAAGATTGAAAAGTAAAATATAATTGATTTTTCTAATATCATTCAATATATTTGATGTTTGATATTACTCTATTAATTAGAAGTATATTATTTTTTAATCTATTTAGTAATAGATAAATATTAACTTTATTTTTATGATATTTTAATTGGATTATTATAAATATAGCAACTTAATTAGATAGTAGATATATTAATTTTAATTATTTAATTAGAGTTTGATACAATATATTTATATTCCTAAAAAATTTAACAATATAATGCTGATTATTGATTTACTATTGAATAGTAATTAATATAAAAAAGTAATATTTGGAAATATATTGTATGAAATTCGCGAAAAATAAACAAAAAATTAATTTTTAATTAAATCTTTTTCAAAATGAAAACCCATGTCGAAGTTTCAAGTCAAAGAAGAAAAGGCAGAAGAGCCTAATTAGGAGCACCATCAAACATCAGATATAAATTAATGAGCGCTCATCTTTCTAAAGATTTAAGAAAGAAATACAATGTTAGAGCATTGCCTGTCAGAAAGGATGATGAAGTCACTGTTGTTAGGGGTATAATTGTAAATTTGAGCATAGGCACACATAAGGGAACAAAGGGTAAAGTTTCATCAGTTTATAGAAAGAGATGGGTTATTCAAATTGAGAAACTCACTAGAACAAAAGCTAATGGTATGTTAATAATTGTTATTGTAGGAATGCCATACTAAATCCCAATCAGACCATCATAATGCATTATCACAAAACCTTACCTTAATGAAGACAGAAAATAATTGTTAGCAAGAAAGGCATCAGCCAAAGTATCAACAAAAGGAAAGGGTGAAAAACACACAACTGAAAGCACTAAGAAAGCTGATTGATTTATTAAAATATAGAAGTACATTAGAAATATTCTTTTTTGTTTGCCACAAATTTATTTATAAAAGTAATATATAATAATATTTCATTATTCATCATCTTCTAACTAAAATCCATTAAATTTTTTTAAATTTTCTAAGTTGGGAAAGTGTTTCTCAAAGTTTTTAGCTAAATTTAAGATTTTTGCTGCAACTTCTACTAACTAATCTTGATCAACTTAAATAATTTAAGCAACATCTTTAATCTATTGATATTAATAAAATTATATACTTAACTATCAGCATTAAAAGTTGTTTCTAATTATTCAACTATTTTGAATGCAACAAATATTAAAGCAGCAGATAATAATGTATAATTATTCTTGCCACATATCTCATAATCATACAAAACCATTTTGGCGAGATACAAACATAATTTTTTTAAATATTTGTAATTTTTCTCAAGCAATTTAGATTCAATAAAACAATTTGTTAGAATTAAATTGTACAAGTCAAAAAGTGTTCCACCAACTAAATCAAATCCAATTGTTTAAAGTATTTCACTCTCTTTTTTTTTAATTTGATCAGTTGTTAATTTTTTATGAGCAATTTTCTCATAAACAACAGATAATTTCATAGGATGAATTTCTTCATATTTGGCAGCAATAAACATAGATGTTACGCCACATAAATGTAAATCAGATACTTCTAGTTATTTTTCATTTTTTGCAAAATAGAAATCTAAAGTTCTCACTGCTACAAAAAATGTTTAATCAGTGCATTTATAAGAACAAAGTACTTCCACCATCCAATCAATCATCTTAGCTCTTAAATTACTCGGAATTGAATGAATTTTCAAAAATTCTTATGGTGTTGATTTTTTCTAAAATTGTTTAATTGATAATATACTTCTTATTCTTTTAAATAGAAAAATATTTCATCTGTGTAATATTTTTACAAATTTTTATTTTCTTTAATAGTATGATCAAATTTTGGTTTAATTGCGATATTCTACAATTCTTGAGGTAGAGTATAGAGTTTGGTTGTGATTCCTTTATGTTGAGGCACATTTTCTTTGTCTTCCAACACATCTTGATTAAGGGATCTCTTTACTCTATCTTAATTAAGCATTTTCCTTCTTAAGTCATTGTTACTACTAAGCATTGACTTGTTGATTTGTTGAGTGTCTTTATTTTATACATAATTGATTTACCTTCATTATAAAGCATTGTCAAATTCCTTCTTACAGGGTCTCTATTTTCTATATAGGTCTTAGTAATTCTTCTTAAAGGCTATTACTATTGATTTTCAGGAACTCCACTTAGTGATCTGTTGTATTTAATTTCCATAATTTATTCGTTAAAATAATTAACGTCGCGCAAAATTAATTATAATATAAAATCCACAAAAATACAGGAAATAAAAATATTAATAAAAATACTCCTTTTTCACTTTATTTTATAAAATAAAATTTTATAATTCATATAATGAAATAAAACAATGGCTAAACACCAAACAATGAAAACTTAAGAGTAGTTATAAGAGTCCGTCCACCAATGGCTAGAGAAATTAATGACGGCAAATTCATCTCAACTGTTTAAGTTGCCCCAGATAATTTATAACTTTGCATATTTGATTATCATGCAATAGAACTTGTTCCGGATGAAGATTTAGAATAATATGTATCTAATCCATCTAATTACACTCTCCATTAATTTACCTTTGATTATGTTTATGATCAAGATAGCACATAAGAATAAGTGTATAATACTACAGCAGCTTTATCAGTAGATTCAACTTTGCAAGGATACAATTCAACCATAATAGCATACGGTCAAACTGGAACTGGCAAAACATATACAATGCATGGATTTAGTTTCAATCCTAATTCTGATTAATTAGGTATTATACCAAGATCTTTGCATAATATATTTAATCACATTCAAATGAAAAGTAATTCATCTACAACTTTTATGGTTCGAGCATCATATTTGTAAATATATAATGAAAACATTAATGATTTATTAAGAGATTCTCCAACATTGAATATAAGAGAAGATAAAAAGAGAGGAGTTTTTGTTGAAAACTTGTCAGAATGGGCAGTAAGAGGTCCAGCTGAAATTTATTAATTAATGCGTAAAGGTAATGCTAAAAGAGTGACAGCAAGTACTCGAATGAATGATACAAGTTCAAGAAGTCATGCCGTTTTTATTATTACAGTTGAATAAATAGAAGAGAAAGCTGAAGGAAAATCTGCAAAAGTTGGCAAATTGAATTTGGTAGATTTGGCTGGAAGTGAAAGAGTTCGAGTGACAGGAGCCACAGGTCAAAGATTAGAAGAATCTAAAAAAATAAATTAATCTTTATCAGCTTTAGGAAATGTTATTGCAGCTTTAACTGAAAATAGAGGTTCTAAACCTCATATTCCTTATAGAGATTCCAAAATAACAAGATTATTAGAAGACTCTCTAGGTGGAAACTGTAAAACAACCTTTATGGCTATGATATCACCAGCTATTGATGCATTTGGAGAGTCCTTATCAACATTAAAATTTGCAAATAGAGCTAAAACCATTAAAAATACTCCAATTGTAAATTAAGATGGAGATTAAGGAGCTTTATTAAGAAAATATTAATAAGAAATTTAGAAATTGAAATCAGAATTAGAAGAAAGAACAAAGTAACCACTTGAAAATTTAGTTAATGAATTAGAAAAAGAAAAGCAGAAGGCTTTAGAAGATAAATAAGAAGCTCAATCGGCTTATGAATAAAGATCAAAAGATTTATTTAAAGAAACAGAATTAAGAAAATAATTAGAAGAAAAGATTTCAGCATTAAATTCTCAAATGTTAGTAGGTGGATAAAAAATTGAAGAAACACCTTAATTTTAAAGTGCCTTAGAAAAGTAATAAAGATTGATAAGATAACAATACCAAGAAAAATTAACAGAATTAGAGAAAGAAAGATAATCAATTGAGGAGGATAAAGCTTAAACAGATAAATATAAGCAATTATTATTAAAATAAAGAGATATTATGATAGCATTAACTAATAGATTGAATGATAGAGATGAAACTATACTTCAATTATAGGAAGAATTAGATGTTTATGAGAAATTATAAAAAGAGAATGAGGACTAACTTCATTCACAATAAATTAAATTGGAATAATTTGAAGAATTGTTTATGGAAAATAAGATTGAGATTCCTTTAGTATTGTAAAATTAAAAATAATATAATAAAGAAAAGATTTTGGGTATCTAAAATGATGCATAAATTTAGAAACTAGAATCAATACCTGTGTAAACTTTACATAATAATTAATAAGTTTAATCAGATGCTCTTATATCTTATGAACTGAAAAATTAGATTGAAATAAACAAATAAATTCAATTTGATTTAAAATTAACAAGAATTGAATTGGAAAAAAGTAAAAATGAAATAGAATAATTAAAGAAACAAAAAAATTAAGATTAAATCTCTATCATTGAGAATGCAAGAAAATCAGTTGATAGAATATTGGAATAATTAACTTCTGAATAGAGTGAATAAAACTTAGAGAATGTTGCTAAAGAATTAAATTAATTATAAAAGATGCTAAAGTAAGTTTTATAACCATCCAGAAATCATGTTAAAGGTCAATACTCTTTTAGTAAATCAACAAGTGACTCTCCAAATAAAATAGTGTTAATAAATAAATAAAATGATTAGATGGCTAAATCAACAGGATAATTAGTAAAATTAATGCAAATGAAGCCATAACCTAAACAAAATTAATCTCCTGTCTTAAGGTATTTTATTTATCTTTCTATTTTAGTTCAAAATTGAAATAAAAACAAAAATCTGTGGGAGATCTCTGGAATTAAATTTGAGTTTTTAATTAAAGTCTCTTTATATTATTTAATTACAATATATAAAATTATATTAATCATTTTATCAATAGTTTACTTTGATTGTTTTACAATCAATTTATTCACAAATGGCTTTTAATGGATTTTGTTTGAATTTCTTATCAAATTCAGGTATATGTTAACCATTAATATTTATCCATGGAATTTCAACTAGATTTTATGCAAGTGTATATTTCGCAGCTTTATGTTATAAATAATTCCCAAATTTAGATAATGCACATTTTAATGACCTTTCATATACACATTCTTAATTTTAAACACATTTTTTAAGGCTTAAATTAATTAATTCTTCATTTTGTTATTTTTCTTGATGTATGCATGTTAAATAACGTAATTAATCAATCTAGTCTAATTGTTCTAAAACACATGAATCTATTAGATTTCCATAACATTCTTTGTTACCATGTTAACAGTTGAATTCATATCCTTGATTTATCACTAATTTTTCATTTCCTTTTCCAAATGGAATAAAATTAAATTCAACATATTAGTAAATTTATTCATAATCAAGCAGGGCTTTCATTCTTTTAAATAATCTAACAGTATCTGGACATTGGCTTTCAATAAAGATATCAATTTAAGTAGCACAATTAATCGGAAAAATTAAAGTAAAAATAATTGAAAACATTTATTTTATTAATAAAAATAACAAATTTATTTAAACTTAATATGAATATTATATGCTTATAATGAAATGAGAAAATTGATGAGGAATAATACATAAATAATAATAATTAAATTTATATCTATAGACATATTAATTAAGTTTGTCATAATATAAAAGGTAAACCAATTCTGGTTATTGGTGTCAAAGCAAGTTGATGGATTTGATCAATATTCCACCATTTACAATCAAGTAATTCATTTTAACATATTTTGAATTCATCTTTAAATATTTCTACTTCACATCCAAAGTAGAAATCTTATTTACCCCATCTAGATTAAGGTTATTAACCAAAGAAAATAATAGATTTATATTGTGAATCTACTCCTATTTCTTCTTAAATTTCTCTTGTAATTCCTGCTTAAATTGTTTCATTTTCTTATAGTAATCCAGCAGGAAAAGCCCAGGAATATCTAACTGGTCCATTAGCTTCTTAGACTAATAAGATTTAATTTTGTTTTCTGATAATTGCACCTACACCAATTGAACATTTATTTTAAGGTTATGTGAATGCTAGAGTAATTGTATCATTTTTAGTTTCAAGCATTTAATAACCTTATGAAATATATTTTGAAAGTAGGAATAATTAAGTTTTAGAGAGAATTATTTAATTATTCATAAATAAAAATATTACTTAAAAATTATATGATTAACTCATGCTAATCCCTTTTCTTTCATGACCTCCAACATGGTTTTTCCAATTTAAGCAGGTGATTTCACTACTCTAATACCTGCTTATTCAAGTGCTCTAATCTTTTCAGGTGCACTTCCCTTTCCCTCTATTTAATGAATAAAATAATATATTTACTTGATACAATAGCTCCTGCATGTCCCATTCTTCTTTCAGGTGGTGCTGTGATACCAGCAATAAATCCTACAACTGGTTTATTTTTAGGATTATTTTTCTTAATCCAATCAGCAGCCATTTCTTCGTTTTCACCACCAATTTCTCCAATCATAACAATACCTTAATAAATATATTCTAATTAGATACCTTCTGTTTCAGGATCAACCATAAATCTTTCCAAAACATCAATAAAATTAGTTCCATTGAAAGGATCTCCACCAATACCAACAACTGTTGATTGTCCTAAACCAGCTCTTGTAGTTTGATCAACAGCCTCATATGTTAGAGTACCAGATCTTGAGACAATACCAATTTTTCCATTTTAATGTATGTATCCTGGCATGATACCAATTTTACATTCATTAGGTTTGATAATCCCTGGACAATTAGGCTATATTATTTTATTAGTTTTAATACTCCAATAACACGTGTAACTGATTAAGATCTTAGAGCATGTTTAACTTTAATCATATCATGTTAAGGAATTCCATCAGTAATGACAACCTTTTCATTTTAATCAAGTATGATACCACTAATCCAATTTATGCTTCAATAGCTTCAATAATGGCTGCAGCAGCTGTAGGAGGTGGTACATAGATTACAGATGCATCACATTAAGTAGCTGATTTAGCTTCTTGGCAATTCTTGAATACAGGTAAACCAAGATGTGTACTTCCAGCCTCTAAATTAATAGAATTGACATTTACTCTTTGGTGAAACTCCACCAACCATTTTTGTAAAGTAGTTCAATGCTTACTCAGTTTAGAATGTACCCTAGCTTAAGATTAAATTGTATACCTAATTACCAGTGATACCTTAGCATATGACTTTGGTATGCTTATTGACCCATACATAAGGAGCAGTGGTTGATGAAAATGAACGAAAGATTTATCTGCCAATCATTTATTTTATTTAATCTATATAAATATTGAATATAATTTCAATAAACTACATAGCATTTATTAACTAAAATTTAGTGAATAATAAAGATGACTAAAAACTCTGTTCCATCATTTATTAATTAATGTTTTCAGATCCTTAGTTCCATCCTTTAAAGAAATTGGTTTACTCTAAGTTGAATATATAAGAAACAGAACGTATTGATATTTCAGCAATTTTGTAAATATTTAAAACTATTTCAAAGGGATGCTTATGTCCATAAATATCATGGTCATTCTCTATTAAGAGATGATGTGTTTTTAATGTTAGCAATTAGTATTATAATAAAAAAAAGAATGAAAAAATTAAAATAATAGATTCTTGAGGCTAAGGAATCCATTTTCAATGATAATAACAATAAAATATAAAATTAAAATTTGGTTACTCCTATTGCAAAAAAAAGAAAGGTTTAGAAATAAAGAAGAGAATAAATAGTTGTTGACAATTAATTAATCAAATTACCTAATTATTTCTCATAAACTTAAAGTAAAAATTATAATTTTATAATATTTAGATTCATAATTAGCCAAAGAAGAATCAATATTACTACCTGGTAGTTAATAAACATCATTTCATTCATAATAATAAATTATGCAAATAGAAGAAGAAGGAATTGCTCCTGAATAAATTTTTGTACCAGATTACAGAGATTTACTTAGAAATTAAGGTCTTATGCAATAAATACATCAACAAGATGAAAATATATTTTAAACAGAAATAAAACAAGCTAATATAGAGAATGGTGTTGTTTATAATTTGTATTAATAAATGTTAGAATAATTACACATCAGTATAGATGCTGAAAGCGTATGTAATGAAGAATGTGAAACGAAATAAAATACTAGGAAAAAAGTAAAAGTTTAAATGGATCAAGGAATTAGAAAACAAAAGATTTAGAATTATAAGAGTTAATTCTATGAATTAGAAGATGAGGAATCTCATTTATTATAAAAACTAGAATCATATCTTATCAATGAATATAAGATATAACATTAAGATTAACTAACAAATTAAGATGAAATGTTACAATAGATTTTCTCGTGTCTTAATGATTCCAGTTACTAAAACTAATTATTATCTATGGTTAGTATTATGAATCCAGAAGAAATCTACTTAAATTAATCATGTGAAAGTAACAATAAATCAAATGTCTCTGTTAAATCTGTTCTTAGAAGTAGGAACTTAAGTGAGGATTCTATTAAAAGTTTAAAGAGAATACATTTTGTTGAAGAATAACATTTAGAGGAGATATAAGAAGAATTGTCTAATCACTATAATACTTCAATGTCTCTATTTTAAGAAAAATCAAGTTATGATAAAGCAGTATAATTTTATCATATACTTTGTGATGCTTAATCTTTAACTAATGTGAAAATTACTTAGTTAAATGTAGAAAAGTTTGGACCAATAAGTATTTAATATAAATGATTGTTTTTATTATAAAATGTTGTAATAATAATTTTACTATGACGTGTTTAAAATAGTCCAATAGATGTCTGCCAATTAGATTATCACCACAAATGAAAAGGAAAATTTAAAAAGTCATAATTCATCTATCTATATTTAGATATAATAATAAATCATGATTCAAAGTTTGTATAGACCCTTGATACTATTTATAAATCAGAAGAAAATGAAAAATTTGAGAAAATTGTTGCTGAAATCAAATCATATATCAAATCCATGAGACAAAGAAAACCAAAATATTTGAAAAACAAATAAATGCGTGTTATTACTGATGAAACAGACAAAAACATATATGATGATATCATAGCAGAGGTCTCTTCAGATAGTGATTCAATGTCCTGAATATTTTTGATAATAATCTTTACATTACTTTATTATTATAATTTTATAAATATCTCAACAAGCTATTATTTAAAAAGCTAAATAATTCAATAAATTAAATAAAACACATGACATTCAATATGATATAAGTTATGCTTATTCTAATAAAATTTTTAATTTTTAATTCAACATAACACTTCAATTTATCTCACTCAACAAGGAATTATTTACATCTTATCAGTAGATCTATACTAATGCAAAAAGAGGTCTTAAAGACTGATCAATAAACATTTTAAAATGAAATTAACTATTGTATAATCAATTATATTGTAAATTATACATATATAATTAATAAATATTTATTTATTAAAATGTATGATCGGGATTTCTGTTATTTTTTATGCGAAATCAATCCTAATTATATTTTTTTATAATTTTTATATATCAATAAATAAAAATAATTTCTAATTTATCAATCTCATTTTCCTTATTCTAATCATTGTAGGAAATACTGATTCTATATCCCTTTATGTATACTTGAATAATTGTTTACTCGTTAAATTTATTATTTTTTTATAATTTATGAGGATCAAGTTAGGTCTTAGAATTTAACTAAAATTGTGTTTATTAATTTATTTATAAGTTTAAGTTATTTTCATTAATAGAAATATTGCATATCTCAAATTATAAATTGTCAAATAAATAAGAAATTTATAAATTTCATAGATTAATATTTAGAGTTTGCATTCTTTATGATTTAAAAGAATTCAATTTTAAACAAAAAATAAAGTTAGTATAAAAAATTAACGATTAATAATAATCAATTGGGTTATTGTAAAGGGGGAGGTTGTTGTACAACTTCTCCAGTTTTAGGATCCCACAATTCTCCTGTATCTGGATCTTGAACCAAACCATCATCAACTTCAACTATCTTTTTAGGTTTTGGCCTCTTTTTTTTCTTATCAAAAAATAATCGATCATCTTAATGAATTGGCTTTAAAAGCACAGGTTAACCTTAATCTAGAAAGGGACGCATTTAAAATTCATTAAATTCTTTTAATTTTTAATCAACCGATTAAGAAACATTGTAAATTAAATAATTCTATCTTCTCCTTTACCAAATTTCTTCATTTTCTCTTTCCAGTTCTTTTATTCTTCTTTATATTTTATTTGTTTATTCTTCTTCTAATCTTTTATACTTCTACAATAAATTTGTAAGCATTTCTGACTATCTCTCAAGAAGTGCCAACATTTTCTCTTCTCTAATTTTAGCTAATGCATCATCTTCATTAAATTATACAGCAACTGGCCAAATCATTTATTGTACAGGATGAACAATTGGTTAAGGAGGCGGTTGAATAGGTTATACAACAGTTTCCTCAGCCTCTAAATATTACTTCTTTGTATATTACCACCATCAATTGGAATTAATTTTCTATGTATTCGGCGAGTAACTACTGGTTATTAAAAAGAAGGTGTTTAAAATTAAGTAGATGATTTGGATATCAATCTTTTAGTAGAAGTATCAATCAACCCAGGTTATTAGGATGCAAGTAAAACTTGTTCACTTTGTTTCATAAATATATAAAAATTTATAATATTTTGTATATTTTATATATTCATTTATTCTAGAATTATATAGCTATAAAATTGTTATATACTAATTATATTACTAGTTTTAGAATATTTTATGGATAAATTCAAAGTTTAACAATAAGCATCAATCATTTTAATCAAAATTTGTAACTTTTAGAGATTGCTAGAATATTTATTATTAAAATAAACAATTAAAGATATAAATATTTATTCATTTTGTAATTGTGCATTTTTCTATTATTAATTCTCCATTTATTAATTTGTATTTATAAACTCCCATTTCATCACCTAAACATTCTAAAATAACAAATTCAGGTTAAATTATTGCATCTCTAATAATAAATAATTAATTAACTATTTAATTGATCCATAAGCTCCACTCATTGTTCCAGGATTTATAAAATATTTCCTTTCAAATTTGCTTATTAAAGATTGATGAGAATTTCCAAAGACCGCAATATCACATGAATTTTCTTTTAAAAATACACTAATTGTTTCTTCATCATTCCAAGGTACAAATTAATGTCCATGAATCAATAAAATTTTCCATATTCCTATTTGAATTACTTTTTGATCATTATGGATTTCATTGTTTTCCTAATATCAAATAGGAAGTCTACATCATCATATTAGCCTCGAACACAATGAAAATTTGGTGAAATTTACTTTAACCAATCAAAAGTCTCTTTATTTCCAACATTTCCTGTACAAAGTACATGTTATAATTTATTTACTCCTAAAGCACTTACAATTTTCTCATGAATTTTCTACATTCTTGTACCAATATGCAAATCTCCACATAAAAGTATAATCTAAGAATTTAAATCTTATTTACATCACCATAATTAGATTCTTGTGCCATTTAATATATTATTTTATTAATAATAATAATTTCCTTTTATAATTAAACACATTCAATAAAAACTATTTAAATAAAACAATTCTTATAAATCTATTTAAAATTAGTTATTAGGAATCTAGTATAAATTATTTTTTATTCCTTTTAATTGAGCGATTTCAAGAAAAAATCTAATAAATATTTAGAATGAAGAATACAAGTAGATGAATTATTATTATTTTGATAATTTTAAAATATATTTATATATTCAAATTTGTTCATCTTTTCATAAACAGTCCTTAATAGGTTGATACAATACATTCTACTAATTTATCTGAGTAATTTCCATTTAATTTAATTTACATCTAATTATTTTTTGATGAAATTGAAATTAAGAAAATAGATTTTTCAATTTAAATCCTTGCTAAGGCTTCAACAAATTGATCATTAATTTAATTAATTTAGAAATCAGGTAGCAATTATCCTATTTGATTTTAAAAGCTTGTTTAAAAGACTTTACTATTATAAAAATATGATTTAGGACTTTCTTATGGTACTTCTAAATATGTAAAATATTTATTTATTGTACAAGGAAGACAGAGTTTTATGCTATGCAATTTTGATTATATTGAATAATTTATTGTAAGCTCTAACAATTAATAGGGAAGTTATTCAAAAGAAATGCATACCTTTTAGAATACTTATTCATTTCCTTTAATAGATTATTAAATATTAGTAGGATAAGTCTAAAATTATAAATTCTGAGATCTTTAATATTCTATGCGTAAATCATGCATTTATTCCAATGTTTTGTTATGAAAGACTAAATTTATTAAGAGTTATTAATTCGATTATAAACTAGTTTAAACTCCAATTTATAAATTAGCATCAGAGTATAAAACGGACTTTTTAAGTAAACAGGATTATCTAAATTTGACTGTAAAGGCATCAGGCAAAATAGCAAAAATCTTTCCATCATAATCTACAAACGGAGAAGTTATTTCTTTTGACCCTCTAGATTTAGGTTAAGAGACAGATTAAGGAGAGTACATAGGAACTTTATTTAGGGATATATTATTACCTTTATATTAAGTAGATGCTGTATTATAAGAGAATACAGAATTAGTATGACCAGAGTGTAATAGAAATTTATCAAATTTAATCAATTAGTTTTATAATGTCTAGATATACTATTATTATCCTAAGATTTATTATCTTAATGATAAAAACAAAGAGTTTTAAAATCCTGAACTCTTTTATTTTTTTGAAACCATCGTACCTGTTTAACTTATGTTAGTCATTGTATTCTGTCTATATTCACTTAAACATTATTATGTTGATATAATAGGTTACTTAGTATTTTATATAAGTCTTCTCTCTAAAACTAATATTGTTTAATTTAAAGTTTTATTTTCTTCTTACAATTAATTTTTTTTTCTAATAGTTTCATCTAATTTTTCAGTTAATTCTTCAATTTTAAAATCAGATTTATATATAAGAGATTTCAATTTTTCAATTTCATAACTCTGATCATAAATTCCAAAATGTAATTTTAATTTTGTAACCTATAAATAATAATATATAATTATTACATCAGTTTGAAATAATTCACTATTAGATAAGTCATTGGAAGTTAAAAACTAATTAATGTTGTTAGAAAATTGTTTTTATAATTGCTATATTTCAGTTTGTAATTCATTTATTTTTTATTCTTTATCTAATAGTTGTTTTTCTAAACTAACAATTTTATTTTATAATTAAATAACTTAAGTTTGAAGATCTGGAACTTTTATTGATAAAGCATTATATAGATTTTGAAGGCAAAGATTTTCAATCTATAATGTCTCTTATGATAATGGATTATATAAGGGATCTTTTTTGATAATCTCTAGATTTTCAAATTCTTTTTCTAATAGAAATGTTGCCTTTCTTAATACTTTTTTTCTTTAAATAGGATTTTTATTTTTAATCTAAATAAAAAAATCACTATATGTAGTATATTTATGTTAATAAAAAAGATGTGCTGGATTCATTGCCAAATAATTTCTAATTTATTTAGTTGAAAGATTAGCTTAGTTTTTAAGTAGTTCTCTTAATTAAATAATCATTGATAAAGGAATCAATTAATGAGGAATATTCTATTCAATGTTTTCAAAATAAATAATCTTTGGAAACTTAACCCCTAACTTTACTAACTTTTCATAAGTGATCTTAAAAGAACTTAAATAATATGATTAATAGTCTAGAGGAAACCATCGACTCCAAACTCTTATACATTCTAATACAACTCTTATAAATTATTCTCCAATAACTTACAAATCTCTATTATCTAACAATATTTTGATTAATAAAACCTTAATTTGGACTTTCACCATTTAAAAAATATGTTGTTCCTCTATCTGGGTCATCTGATGTATATTTATATTTTGCAATTTCTTCAAATAATGGCAATAACGTTTTTTAGAGTGTATAAATATAATTGCTATTAAATGTTTCGACAAGTTCTTTATTTAACTAATTTTAAATAGAATTATACTTTTAAAGCCATCAATTTTGTATTTGGACTTTCAAATGGATCTTTGATTATTTTTACCATAGATTATTGAACCTATTTAATAAAATATCTATAATTTATATGATGAAAATGTCACATATCAGAATATAAGATTTTGAGTTTGAATTCTTCTGTTTTTGTGTAAGTCTCATTTGAACTTAAATATTATCTCAAAATTTAGGTTTCCATTTAATTATTAATATAAAAAATAATATAATGAAATATCAAAATTTAAACTTTTTAAAAGGTTTCATAAAAGGACCATACGAGAATTTAGGGTCTGTTACAGCAGGATAATCTCCTTTTTATTTTCTAAATATAGTTTAATTTTCCTTAAATTTATCTTAATATTCCCTATTGAAATTCGGATAACACAAACCACCTAAATCAGCTATTTCACCCATACCACCCTTTATTATCAATGTGTAATTATACTTTTTTCTTATGCAAAATCTTTAATTCCTACTTTAGATCATGAAATGGTTATTATTTTCCTTGAGTAAAAGAAATAAAATCAAATTTGACTGATGGTACATTCATCATTGATCCTGGTTGTACTTATTTTATATCTTATTGAGAATTGTTAACTTTGGAGGATGATGTCTGTTGCATTTATACTTATTCTTGAGCTAACTCGAATTTTGCTTTTCTTGGAAAAGGATGATCTTATGATTAACCCAATTTCCTTAATGGAGGCAAGGATTATTGTTATCTATTGAAATCTACACAAGTTATGATATTATAGTCTCTATTTTCAATTTAGTATTTTGATGCTTTCATTATATATATATTTAATAATTATTTTAAGTTAATAATGGCAGAAGTACCAGATGAAATAAGGGATTTATAGAGTAATGTTGCCCTTAGTATGCTCACTGATCTTTTTAAGTTTAATTACTATAATATTTTATAGACAAGGTAAAATCAATTAAGAGCAATGTGATTCATATAAGAAAAAGTTTCATAAACTCCATGATACAGTTGTCTAAACCTTTAAGAATCATCACTTTTTATGGGAAAAATCAAAAAAACTAAAAACTCAATTAGCAACTGAGAAATAAAATCTCGAAACTGCTTTAAATGATTAAGTATTAAGTTCGAAGATACATTTAGGCTAATGCATAAGAAAAAGCATAAAATTTAAATGCAAGTTTAAAAAAGACAGAAGCAGAATATGAAATGATGGAATAATTAATTGATGCAAAATAATTTTAATGTGAAGAAGTAGAACATGAAAAATCTATAATATTAACTAGAATATCTGAATAAGAGAAAATGGCTAAGAGTAAGGCATTACCTGAAATGCTTTAAAAAGATGCTGAAATAGAAAGAGAGAGAGATTTATTATTAGAATATAAATAAAAAATTGAGAGTGAATAAAAAAGTATAGATGAGAAAACAGAAAAGATTGAACAATTAAAGATTGAGAATGATGAGAAACTTAATAAAATAAGTAAATTGAATGATGAATATATTAAAATAAAGGATGATCCAAATCGTTTTAGTAAGAATGCAGAGATGTTAAAGAGTGCAAATAAAATTATGTTAAAGGATTTATAAGGATACAAAGATGATATAGGAAAAAAGAATAAATAAATTGATGATTTAAATATGGAACTAAAAAAATTACAATTAAAATTATAAGAATATGAAACATAAATAGATGAAGAAAAAAGTATTACAGAAAAGAATTAAAGAGAATAAGCAATTTAAAATGATCTTTCATCAAAATTAAAAGAAGAAATAAGTGATTTAAGTAGTTAAAAAGTGGCTAATGATATTGAAATTAGAAATGGTTAGTTAGAAATTAGAAGACATAGAGATACAGTCAGTTCTTTAAAAAAGGCAATTGATCTTGATAAAAAAGAATTAAAAAAATAATAAACATAAATGCAATAAATTAATGATACTCTACATGAATAAAAAATGATATTAGAAAATATAAAAAAGGAGATTGTGAATTTAAAGTATGAAATTGAAAAATAAAATGAAATTGGAGAAAATATTGCTGAAGAATATACTATGTTAGAAGGGAGAGTTAGAAAAGTAAAAGATAAAGCAGAAGAAAAAATATAGGAATAAACTAAAGTAGATAATGAAATTAAAAAATTTGAAAAATAAATGATTGAATTACAAAACTTTGAAGCTGAAGGATTAAAGAGAGTCAAAGCTTTAACAGCAACTAGAGAAAGTATGGCTAGAAAAGCATCAAGTGCATTAGCTGAAGTAAGAGAAACAAGAGAAGAACTTAAAATTAAAGAACTATTAATTATGGATCTACAAAAAAAAGCATAAGAAACAGAAGCTAAAGAACATAATTATAAATCATTATATGAAGAAGTCAAATAGGCAAGAAATAAATATGTAAATATGATATAGAATAGTTCATAAGATTTAGCAGAATTAAAAGAAAGAATTAAAATTTTATAAAATGAATTAGAAATTTTAAAAAATGAGTCTTAAGAAAAGGA